AATCTTCTACCTATACTTAGAACAGCAGCAGAGCGACGGAGTGATTTGGATATCTTGTACGGCGATACAGATGGCAGATACTAATGTACTAGATCGGTAGTATCGCGTGGACTGTGTTGTCATCTCGTAGAAGGAAGCAACATCCCTTTTTTTTTTTCTTAGAAGGAAGCTTCGACATTCTGTACATCATGTAAGACAATAGGATGTGGAAGCCGCCTATATATGCAATGAGGAATCTGTTACTGTAAAATTTGGCTTGCTGGATTTGGACCTCGTCATGCCTATGTGAATTGGGTACTTAGGCCGATTAAAAATGCTGTCTAGAGCTTAATTTATTTCCTTACTTATGACACTTTCTGCCAGTACCGGGTAGCGTAGGATCGTACAGGAACCCCAGCATTCCAGTTTCTCCCAGGGAGTTGGCGGGCAGTTGGGTGTCAGTTACCCAATCCGATCACTGTTACCAGTAGGGGGTGTGGTGTGTTTCCGATGGGTGTGTGGGTGTTACCAGTCGAATATGACTAGCTAGCTACATCATAGTATGGGGTTTTAGAGTAAGGGAAATTATCTACGGAATGCAAGTCGGGGCCAGGCTAGCAAAAAGCACGGTCAAATTCAAGGACTAGGTTCTTGGTGGGATCAAGGGCAAGAAATTAGGACCATTACGGGGGGCAAAGGGTTTGGCTTTCGGGATCCACGAGACATAAATGGGTAGCTTTCACAAGGGAATTGAGATACGGGGCTGCATGAAGGACATCATTTGAGAGTAAGGAAAATTGAGTTTTGAGGCAGTAGCAGAACAAGGCGTTGTAAGAGAGTCTTGGCTTGAGGGGCAAGAATGCCATCCACTGAAACACAAAAGGGGTGGAAGGAACGCGATTGGAGTCGCACGCGTCTCTTATATTTGGAAAATTTTGTCGCGTTCTTTTTGGGTTTAAAACTTTGACGGGATCTTGGTTGCGGTAAGAGGCACAGTCCAAATCAGTGACAAGTACGTCAATAATAGCTGTAGTACCTCGTTCAAACAAGCCGCGAATGGAAAGATCACCACGTAAGAGCTGGGGGGCTGGAGGGGGATTGAGAGGGGGGGGGAGGAAGGGGAGGTAAGGTAGAAATTGGGTGACCGGTAGCTAGCAGTGTTGAAGGCTTTTCCGTTTCGGGTTGGTTTCGGAACAACCATGCGGCAAAATGGAAGGGTGCGTCTCAACCGGGATATGGCACGTACAAATAGTGTCAAAGCGCCATGAGAGATGACAAGCCCACGCTATCTCTGGTGGTTTTTGGCAATGTGGATGCTGGTGAGTAAACAGACGAAGAAAGAGGGAGAGTGTCACCCAAGATCTGGTTTTTCGTGCACGCACTAATTTCCTGCCTGTCTACTTGGATCATTGCCGCAACAGGAAAGTCCACCACCATTGGCCATTTGATTTATAAATGTGGAGGTAAGCTATTGACTGGGTAGAAGCAACTGGTCACTGAATTTGAATCCTCAAAATCCAACCTACCTTGACTATCAGGGATTAGCGACAAGCAAATTGAAAAGTACACAAAGGAAGCAGTCGAACTTGGGAAGGGATCGTTCAAATATGCCTGGGTATTGGACAATCTCAAGACAGAGTGAGAAAGAGGGATCACCATTGACATATCCCAGTGGAAAGTGCAAACAAGCACCTACAATTTTCCATTATTGATTGCCCAGGTCACTGGGGTAAGTGCCTTTCGTTCATATTTTGAAGGACTGCCAATAAATAAATGATACTGAATGTCCTGGATACCTGCTCGCTATGTTCCATGCCACTGCAAGATTTCATCAAGAATATGATCATCGGGACCTCCATGGCCGACATGGCCTTGCTTTTGGTGGATGCCAGTGAAGAAGGCAATCAAGCTGAATTTCATCAAGACGGACAGACTCGAGAACATGCCCTCTTGGCATATACACTGGGTGTCAAGCAAATGATTGTTGCTTGCAACAAAATGGATGACAAACCAGTCAATTACGGGGAAGAAAGATTTCAAAAGATCAAGGATGAAATCTGTGTCTATTTGAAAAAGGTAGGATACAAACCCATAGTAATCCCATTCATACCCATTTCAGGATGGGAAGGCGATAACATGGTCGAAAAATCCGACAATATGCCATGGTCCCACGGTCCGACTCTGTTGGAAGCACTCAACAATCTCACATCACCAAAACGATCCACTGAAAAACCACTTCGTATACCCATACAAGACGTTTACAAGATTGGTGGCATTGGAACCGTCCCTGTTGGAAGGGTGGAAGCGGGAGTGGTACGGCCAGGCATCATAGCCAAATTTGCACCCGTGAGTCTCACGGCTGAAATCCAATCCGTGGAAATGCACCATGAACAACTACCAGAAGCTTTCTCTGGTGACATTGTCGGTTTCAATGTGAACAAGTTGTCTGTGCGAGACCTGCAACGGGGATATGTTGCTTCGGATGCCAATATTCAACCTGCCAGTGCTGTCAAGTCATTTGAGGCACAAGTGATTGTCATGAATCACCCCGGCAAAATCTACAATGGCTACTGCCCTGTGGTGGACTGCCATACGCACACATTGCGTGCAAATTCATTCACATTAAGGAAAAGAATCACAGAAGATCTGGCAAAGTTTTGGAAGCAGATCCTGAGTACATAGAAATGGGTGATGCTGCCTTGGTGGTAATGGAACCAACTCGACCAATGTGTGTGGAAGCCTTCAGTGATTTCCCTTCTTTGGGACGGTTTGCCATTCGAGATATGCGACGAACAGTGGCTGTGGGAGTGATCAAGAGCATCACCAAAGAAGAACCACCCTCCAAGTTTGATTGCATGATGTGCTAGCTAGTATACAAGAGAACGATGACATTGCGTCAACTCGCGGCTTGTAATGACTGAATCTAGTCAAGCCCACTACTGTAATCAGTTCTTTGAAAGTACTTGTTCCAAACAACCTGTACCAAGACCAAGAGTCTTACGGACGTTAGCCCTTTCTTGGCGCGCGAACCAAAGTAGCTTTCTAGCTTGTTAGCCAAGGACATGTCAAGCAGCCACAAGCAAAAAGATGTGCTGTACATTTCGATAGATTCAATTGTGTTATGTAGATATTGTCATGGGAAAACTTCTTCAAATCATTGTGGAGCAGCCGCACGCCAAAGAGGACCGACGAGTGACTCCAGATCCCTGTACTCCTTCCACACCCCACTGTGTGGAAACTCTAACACTCTGGGTTCTTGGATGAATGACTGTGATCACTCGACTCTCACTCACAGTTGCTAACCCCCCGTCTCACAATTTGGGAAATCCATTCCCACACTCAAACCTACACTTGGTTCACAACAGAAGTCTGCGCTCAAGCTCATCATCAGAGGTCCCTATATGTACCCCTGATCGATGCTGCTTCTTCCTGCCTCTTTTGCAAGATCAACACTAAGGCAATAGCACCCCTCAAAGACCACATTCAGCTCGCGACCATAAATCAACAAAACTCGCAAGATCGGTCAAAGATCTGTCATTGAACAGTCAATTGCAAGAAGGTGTCTCCTTCTCAGCTCACAATTCTTCCTTCAGCCAACGCTGCAAGCAAGAACTAGAATAGATTATAATCCACCTCTCCCTCCCTTGGTTGGCAGAATGTTGCACAATCAAGGGGGACTCCAAGTCCCCCTGACTGCTTCATCCGTGCCTTGGTTCCCACTCGTGATTCTTGCAATCACAAGTGGCGCCCTTGGGCCGTGGAGACGGTCGGCTTTGTAAATGGCCGAGTTTCTCCACTACGTCCTAACCAACTCTAATGGTCGCGCAGTGATGCTTTAGGCGAGCGCCGATTGTCAGGCTCGATGTGGATTGTAATTGGACGATGTTCTTGTTCCTCGTCATCAATCACCAAGCATGACCCATGCAAGGGCCTACCTCTAGCTCTGGCACCCATCATCCCTCTTCCAGCTACAATGGTAGTCGGCGACTCTAAAGACAAATCAGAATCTTTTTTTTTAAGGTGCATAATATAGAGAACATGGCCATGAACAAAGCATGAGGAGGCGTCTACTGTCGGCGCATACAGGATTGCTCCAATTCTTTTGTTTGGATACTACCCCAAGTGCAGTGTTGCTTGGTTTGGTTGCCCCAAGTATTTAACCAACCGAACCGTGAATGACAAGTGGAGGTACCGCAGAGTACGATATTGTTAGGGGACGACGAAAGAAGAATCAAATCATGAGACCACAACTCCTGATGCAATGGACTGATACCACTTGGAAAATTGAATCCCCGATTTTTGCAAATAGGATGGCACATAAATTGATGATGATGACGATTGTTTGGTAAAAAAGGCATTGACCATCGCATGCAATTTTTCGGTCCCGAGATTTCCGCCTTTGTATTGCAAAAGGTTTGCGTTTGACACATATACTCGTTGGCTTGTGACAAGAGACAGGATCCTTGTCGTAGGATGTGTTTGTCATTGGGTTCCAAATCCTGACATTCAATAACAACACTCGATACCTTTTTCAGCGAATCGCCGGCAGATTTGAGGACTTGCAAATCGGCGCCTTCGGCATCGACTTTGAGATGAATCGATTTGATATTGCTGGGAATGTGATCCAACAAATCTTTCAATGGAAAGACCATGACCGTCATGGTTCCTGCCTGTTGTCCCGATACAGCCTTGTGCTTGGACGTCCGTTTTGGTATTGGGCAAGAGAGATCCACACGCCCCTCCCACGGCTTTTTGGAATTCGGCAGTTCCTTCGTGGGGTCCCATGGCGGCGTGAATGGCAAAGACGCGATCGCGTTTCTGGTTGTCGAGTGGATCTTTGGGAGATCGCTTTTTACCAGGACTGTTTTGCATGGCATATAGTTGGCGGCCCGCTGTTGTAAGGGGACAATGGATTCGGGCAAGGGGTCGATTAGGATGAGAGCAATGGATGATTCTTCGGGACTCTTTTCCAGTGTCCCCAAGTAATGGATTCGGGCAAGGGGTCGATTAGGATGAGAGCAATGTAGGATTCTTCGGGACTCTTTTCCAGTGTCCCCAAGTAATCCGATTGACGAGCTCCAATGTCAATAATCACCGACGTGACATCGGGAGGAAACTGAATGATGCCCGTCTTCATGTCCATGGGAAAATGGAGTGGAGCTAGTCTCTTGAACAGAGACTCTTGTGATGCTGGAAGTTGCGGGGATGCTGATGATTGTGACAACGAAACTGATGGACTCTTCAACAGAGATCGGGCTTCATTGCTGCCCGCACCAGGCAGGAACAGGGACCGGGAAGCCGTCCACGCCACCAAGAGGAAACAGAGCAGCTTACCTTCCTTGGCCCGAATGGTACTTGTAAAGGTGCTGCTGGTAACGGAATCAGCAGAGAGCTTCATGATGACGACTACCGTTAGGATGGATTGTCAGGATGATCGTAGTTTGGTGTTGTGTGTCGTGTCAAGTGTTGTTGTGTTGCGAAAAGGTTTAACAGCGGATATTGGGATAATGTGGAGGATGGGTTGCAGAGGAGGGAGTGTGAGTGGGGTCCAAACTGAGATTAATAGAAAGACCAGGTAGTGGGGTAGTACAGGGGTAATAAAGCATCGTGAACTCGGACAGCCCAAAGACACATTGGTGCCTATGAAACAAAACGTTTTGCCAGGAATGACCATCAGGAACACAAAAGTACATGACATTGTAGCGGAAGAGTGCAGTTGTGGATCGAGAACTCAGACAGCCGGAAGACACCCCCAAAGATACTCTCCGAAAAGATACTTTTTGCCATTAATGACCATCAGGAACACAAAAGTACTAGTAGCCTGGCTACTAGCTAGTGCAGGGCAGTTGTGTGGACAACCCAAAGACACTCCCAAAGATACTTCGCACTCCCAAAGATACTTTTGCCATGATAACCAGCAGGAACACAAACTTGCAGAACCCACGGGTAGGACGAGTAGCCGGTACTGGTAGTAGCCGAAGCAGGGTAGTTGTGGAGCGTGAACTCGGACAGCCAAAGACACCCCCAAAGATAACCCCAAAGATACTCCCAAAGATATTACCTCGACAGGTAAACTGCCTGAGTTCTCAACCCCTTTAATGCTATTTCCTATTTCCTATTTCCTATTTCCTATTCCGGTGAAGCCAAAGTATAAGGATAGAGATAGTCATAAGCCAACAAAACTGAACATTGATGGCTCAATACAAGTTAGGAGTAGGAATAAATCATTAATATTTAAGGTTAGTGCACTCAGCACAAAAGCACAATAAGCCAGCAGGAGCTGTAAAGGTTAGAGTTACAATAAGGGAATGGCAGCTGGTAAATTATAGAGTTGCGGGCGGCAACACACGACGTAGTCGGGTGTTGACTTATTTTTCCAAAGATCCGATACTTTTTGCCTCGATGATCACAGAACTTGCAGAACCCTCCAAGGTACGAGTACTAGTACATGTAATAGCCGACGGATCGATCGAGGTATCCAACAAACCACACCCTTGAAGGCAAATCTGGGATTCAGGTAGATGCGGTAAAACATATTTTTGATTCAAATATGTAGAGTAAAATATATCTTTAACCCCATATTTACCGCATCTATCCTTATGTAATCGTTTCCTCAAGCTTATCAGTGCAGATCCGCCCGTTGTTGGGAGAACTCTGGAATAGAAGTGAGTCCATGGTCAGTCCACAGTGATGTGGATGTTCTTTAACGGTTTTGGGAAGTTTCGAGACAGAATTCTCCATCTTCCGGCAAATACCTAGCAATTCCAAACCTTAGCTTACGGAGAGCAACAGCCTCTGGACAAGATTAATCTTGTCGTGATCGTGAAATCTCTGCTTTGATACTAGGTTTGAATCTTCGAGATTCACTGGTAAAGACAAAATAAAGTTCAACCCAGCAAAGCTATGATTCGAGTCCACAATTCCAACCATGGGCGATCGTCTGAGAAGAGATGGAGTATTTGATCAGACTCTTCCGTTCCGTTTGTCATATTGAAAAGGCAGACCATGATCCTCCACCGGCGACGCTGCCGGGGCCTACAGCCGGCAACCCTGCACAGGTGCCACTAGACAATTGGTCGAACCAACCTCCTGCACAGATGCCACCAGACCATTGGTTGCACAAACCTCCTGCATCTGTAGAGCTTAAATTAGAAGTCTGAAATTAAATATCGTAAGATTTTAATCTAGTTTACATCGGAAATGCGGACACGAATCTACGAGGGTGCTAGTTTAAATCCACTTCTTCAAAGTCGAACTCCACTGGGCAGGATCCGCCATCTTCTTCAAACGGTACATCGTTGGGATTATCACGAAGCCATTCCAGAGAATCGACGTTCCAATGATGGGGATGGACACGAAGCCATTGTAGCTGCACTGGATGATCTCTCAGCCACTGCACAGGATCCCAGGGTGCTTCTCTCAAGTCCATGTTGCCGAGGCAATGTGAGGGTTGTGGTGGACGTAGCGCTAAACATCTCACTGGTATTAGCGAGTTCAGGGCACGATCTATTCACTGGTTAACACTTGAAGTCACGATTAGCAGCTCTACTGTTTTACTTTCCACTCTAGCTTCCACGCTCTTCAACACGCTTCTCGTACGTCAGTCCAAGGTTCCGGATACTCGGAAGATCCAGTAACAGGAAGTTGCTCCTGCAAGATCGGATCGGTCTTCTCGGAGAATTGTGATCGAGGGGGCCGTCGCGAGGTCGGCTCGCTTTTTAACGTCTGAATGGTTGGACTGGCTTTCTATTCGGAAATCTATCGGTGACTGGGATGGGTCACGTCTTCACTAGCTAGCTAGGTTGTCGTTGACAGAGAGCATTCAGAAAGAAAACCTAAATAACATGGAGATGGATGCCCCAAATTGCATCCACAGTTGCAGTGAATAATCTAAAATCCCATATGAATAATTCCACACCAGGCTAGTCCTGGAGAAGGGGAATAGCTCTCAACCACAGAGAGCATTCAGAAAGAAAACCTAAATAACATCAAGGTGGATGCCCCAACTTGCATCCACAGTTGCAGTGAATAATCCAAAATCCCATATGGATAATTCCACACCAGGTTAGTCCTGGAGAAGGGGAATAGCTCTCAACCACAAAGAGACAGAAAGAAAACCTAAGAGAAAGAAGAAAATATGAACACAAATCACAAAGTCAGCAGCGGCGAGCCCACTGCTCGCGATCGCTCGGTGTCTTGGTGGGTGCATGATGGTTGCTAGGTCTCAAACGCTTCCGTTTCCTCTTCCTGGGCAGCAGAAGCAGAGGACGGTCCGTCTTCAGTGGACACAGAGGACGGTTTGTCTTCAGCGGAAGCAAAGAATGGTTTGTCTTCAGCGTCCTTTCCAGTGGCCAACCCCAAGGCGGCTAAGGCTTCGGGGACAACACTGCCACAAATTCTTCCAAGACCTCTGATGAAAACTTTGGCTTCTTGTGGGGTGGTGCACCAGTGGCGACACTAATTTAGCGCTTGGCTTGGCGATCACCCTCAAGAATCTTTTCAATTGCATCAGCATCTTCGTACAATTCCGCAGCCATGGCCTTTGCCTTGGACTCGGGTGAAAGACTGGGTTCGCGAGGGGGGCGAAGATCGGGGAACAAGATCTCAGCCAGTTGCCTGCGGAGGAGGACAACACTGTCACTAGTCCGCGGAGTGATGAGTGCACCGTCCACACCATTCAAGGACAGAAAGTTCAGAACCTTCTTGAGAGTGTCGATGGGGCAATCAATTTCACTGCACAAGGACTCGAAGCTGGGAACATATTCCAACACAGCTCCGCGCAATTCTTTGGGAGACCGTTCGCCCGCAAGACGAGGGAGCTTGGCCTTGCCTTGTGGAGTCTTGTGACACACTGCGATTTCATCGAGAATTTTCTGCCATGTCGTTCTCGGCCTCCACTAATACTTTGAAGATCTTCTTCTCCTGCGCTTCTAGACCAACCAAGACCGCCACATCGTGGTCAACATCATCACCGGCCTCATCTTCCTTGCACTTGGCAGCATCAACCGCGGACTTTGCTGCAGCAACCTTCTAGGACTTGCTGGTTGGACATCGTTTTGTTCCTGGTGGCTTGGGCGTACTTAACTTTCTTGGCCTTCACAGTGAGCTTGAAGCGCTCCTTGCGCTCCTTCACGGTCTTGCGGTTCTTCTCCAGAATCTGGATCTTGCTTCGAATTCGGTAGCGACTGGATGATGGCCCACGGGTATCAAAGAAATCGCCCACTTTTTTTGTCCGCTTGGCGTCGACGGGAGTTTGATTCTCGTGCACCTTCGAACCAACCAGCCGCCCGGGAGCGAGAAAGAATCCCATGATGGATGTTGGGATAGCTAGCTTTGAGAGTTTGTTGGTTAATCCTCTGTGCCGGCTCCGGAGTCGAGTCGAATTGTGTGTGTCAGAGGTGAGCCTTATCGATCATGCCCTCAACTCCATAGCGGTACAGCATCCCTGTAGCCTCACAGCCTCACAGTCGCGAGTCGTCTTTTGACGCCTGTCCAACAACTGTGGAAGGAAATGTACCTCCTTTGTTACATTTACTATACAAAAACTGTACATTTGCAACACGTGCAACCAATGTGCAACGTCCATTGAGCTTGGATGAAAAATCGGGGTGGCGTTTGTATACTAAAACTGTACCCTTGCAACATGCTGCAACACGCTGCAACACGCTGCAACAGCGATAAATGCCTTGATGCCGTGCAATGTCAGTTGAGTTTTTCGGACTGGCGTTTGTCGTTGAACTTCTGGCTGGCGTCTTCCGGGACTGATCAAAATCTTGCAAAACAAAGGCACGTGTTCACTACTCTAGTAGAGGTTGTTGCTGTATTTGGCAACCAGGATTTGGTTCGCTCTTCAATGCGGTATTAGAAATACGGGACTCGGGTGCTCACTAGCTAGTAGGTTATGGTTACTCCAACTACGTTCTAGCGGTCACGGCTGGCTGACTGTTTCCAAGCGGGTAGGCGTATAGCGTTGGATCTTCTGTGGTCTTCCAGACTTGATCAAGATCTTGCAAAACAAACGTACTGTCGTGAAAGTCTATTCAAACACAGTAGTCTAGATGTAGAATGTAGAATCCACAGTCAAGTCTAGGCGGTCACAGAGCCGACTCCTTAGTTTCTGCAGATTCTTAGTTTGACAGAGATCGACTGATGACATCGATATGAGCATACAGGCGTCAACAGAGATAGGCTGATCGGTCTGACTAGAGTCTTCGAAATGATTGGCTGTGTACATGGGCTGTGAAAACCACATTCTTGGACTTTCATCTTCGTCGTCTTCATCTCGGCTCCAACAGACTAACTGAAGGAGCCATCTGACATGGCTGTACGATATGAACGCTTCAGTAACGAACTCTTGCTTCATGTAATCCATCATCGTCAAGTAGCTTGGGAGGCTGGAATTTAGGGCCGTAACTATCCACATTTTTTTGGGTATGGAGACAGCACCAGAAAGGGCAGCTTTGGATAAAATGATCCCAGAGGGAAGGATTACTAGAAAGGATATCAGTGAGTTTCAAGTGGAGCGGCCGCGAGAGAGCTACACATATTGGAATCTAAACCCACAAATTCCTAGGAGGCCTACTACGGTGGAGGATATCCTCAGGATCTTTCTACCCAGACTAAAAAGAAGCGACCATGACAGAAGAAAAAAATAAGGCGATAGAGGCGTTACTGAAGAAAGCCATGGCTGGGTTTGATAACAGCGAGATAGTTCCTAAGCATACCACGAGGGTTTCCGAAGAAGAAGAGACGGCGTTTGTAAGGCTGGAGAAAGGAAACAAGGATAAAGATAAAGATAAGGAAGAGGAACCATCTAAAAAGAAAGCTAGAACGATCAGTCCGGAGCCTGAAACAGATAGCAAAGAAGAAACGCAAAAGGAGGCTGCAGACAGAGATGGAGAAACGCTTCCTCCACCAGAAGGCGGATACGGATTTGATCCTCCTCCTCCTCCTCATTACTATCAACCACGCTACAGACCTTATCGTTACAATCGACCTTACTATGGTTACCCTCGCGGCGCAGGGTACGGCTACAGATATGGCAGAGGATACTACACTCAGCCGTGTTCTTTTAAAATTTGATTGTTTACATTTTAAATTCAAGGGACAGCCGGTGGAGTCTACTTTAGGCATTTTTTCGAAATCTTTGCGGCCGGTTTGAATATACCAATAGAATTTAGGGAGATCCTCGTCTTTCATTATTGATCAATTTACGGACACGGCGGCGTTCCTTAGAATCAGTGCTGCTGGCAAGAGAATGGATAAGGAAGTCCTCGTCACCAGGATACGATCCCTTTTTCTTCGATGTCGTGTTGATATATTTGTCAACTAGAAAGGGATTACGGGAGCACACAGACGGGAAATACTGCATCAACTCGCAAAGGGACGCTCCAGCCTCGACTTCATCTTTCATTAGAGCTACCAGCTGACGGAATGGAGAAGAGAAATTGTTGGAGGAAATATTCCTGATACCTCTGTTATTATTGACTCGTGTATTAAACATCTAGTCCGGTTCCCATGCATATTCATGATGCAAGGAACCAAGGGAGTTTTAGGTCTAAAGTGTTGCGGGGGTCCTTATATCCAATTCAATCACAAGAATTGCTATGCACCACCAGAAAATCCTCACTTTTGCTGTACAGCTTAAACCAAAACCAAATTACTCCACAATAAGCTGCAGTATTACTAGCAATCAACACTGTAAAGCAAAAGGCCATCTCGAGTTACTACTACCGATCTCGAGATTGAATATCAAGGTAAACCAAGTCAAAGCAAGTGAGTTAACACCTGCAACAGAGCAGAGGTGCGCAGAATACAGGCCGTAGCATCAATATTAGGTATACGAGAAGCTTCTAACAGACGAAATCAGTACACGGAATCGCGCAAGCACGATTGAGAATCCCATTGTCATCGCGCATCAGTTTCCGGCCGGAACTGTCGCAATCCAAGGGTAGCGCCGTGTTAACCAGATCAAACTACACGGATTTGGTACTTGTCGTGTGGCAATCCGTCTGTTATCCAGTGAGTTACAACCGATTACGTCATCGTGTCATCGCGCGGGATTTTTCGATCCCAAATCGCTCGAGCAAGAGGCCATCAACGGCGTTCAAGCTACTGATCTAACCGTTCAAGATAGCTAAGTAGACCTATACAAAGAAAGTTGCGGAACACGACGACAGTGTTCTGGATATCCTTGGGAGCTTCTAACTTCAAGAATTGACCGAGATACGTCTAATCGTGTCATTGGTGCTTGTGAGCTTGAAAGTAAAAATCCCGGTAACAACTCGGAGCTTTGAATCTTCACAAGAGAGTTGATCTGTGCATTGAAACTCATACAGCAACCACATCTAACACTACTACTGAGGTCTGCCACTACAGAGCAACCATACGAAAGGCCACAGAGGAGTTCGCTACTACCCTGTGCCACGAAAAGGTCCATCCAACGGACACATCAAGAAGAACACCACGAGTTCCTCTGGAATTCCGTGAGCGGTCAACCAAGACCGAGGCTATTCAGCCAGCACACCAAGAGTGCACGAAAAGAAGGCTATCCAGCCACCAAGCAAGCTTTTTCAGACAAAGCAAACACTCATACGAGAGTCCACCGTGAGATCCTTCCTGCAGGACTATCCACACAACGGTTCCACGAGAACACAAGCAAGTTCCAAGGAACAAGCAAGCACAAGAGTGCATTACAAGAAAGCACGAGAGTGCATTACCACACCAGCAAGACCATGAGATTCCAAGGAAGAGGTGGTCGTGGTGGAGGAAGATACCCTTCAAGGGGGGGTAGGGGATTCAATTCCTCAGGAAGAAGCCATCAAGGCAGAGGCAACAGGAACCCCAACAAGAGTTCCAAGCGCCAATACCTGTTCCATCCCAATGGACAGGCAGACAACAGGTACTATCCTTTTGAAGAGACTCTGACCCACATTGTCCAGAACCTCAGGGTCACACCTGAATGGAATGATGTGCCACTGGCTTCATTGGCTATTGAGACCATGACCAGTCAGGCGCCAACCAAGCCGACCAAGCCGACAGCTAAGCCAACATCTGCGGATCCCAAAATCCTAGAGTACGATGCCTTGGAACTCAGCGAGTACAAGTCCGAAGCATCCACCTATGACAAGTCAACTCGTTACTATGAGAACATCATCAAGACTGGTGCAACTACCATTCAGATGACGTACTGTACCGAATCCATGAAGTCCAAGCTGAGAGGGCTAGGAGACTATGAGGACGCAGTCAAGCTCGATCCCATCGTGATGCTCAAGAGGATCCGTCTGATAGTGATGCAAGGCTCTACCAAAGAGTTCCCATTGCTACAATTCATCAAGACCATCCAACGTGGTTTGTTCCCGAAACAAGGTGACCATGACAGACTTGACTACTACTTGAGGAAGGTCGACAGCAACGTGGATCAAGTCTATGACCTAGTGGGAACAGCGTTCATTGATATCAGAACTATGAACACAGACGACTACACGGCCGCATCTGGGTAGGATGCCAAAGACCAGGTGCTGCTGACGGAACGAGCCAGGTTGAAGGCAACCGTGGGCTACCATGGACTCATGGAAGGCAAATACGGAGACTACCAAAAGACCGTCGAGGCAGCCTATGCTATGGACGGCACCATCCAGTTCCCTGCTACCCTGGATCATCTCCGAGAGACTCTGTCCAATGACAGATTCAAGACCAGCAAGGAATGGTTGGATCAGAAGCAAGCCAGGGAACGGAAACCTTACTCCAATCCCAAGCTACCTCCTTTCGATCACAAGAAGATGAAAGAGGGACTACCTGCTGCTGTCTTCTACCAACAGTCACAGCCAGGTGAAGCCTGCTACTGTTGTGGCAGCCCAGATCACAAGCTTCCGCAGTGCAAGGTCAAGTCCAAGATCCCCAAACCTGAATGGGCAATCAACAAGTTCAATGGCATGAAGAAATCCTTCATGCCGCAGTACCATCAACATCAGATGCAACTGCTCCAGGGAGTGCCTACCACCGTGGTGACGGCACCAGCTCCAGCTCCAGCCGGAGACACTTCGACCAGGAGTGGAATCAGTGGAATCCCTCCACCTCCTACGAGCCAGTCAAACTTCCAACAGTTTCCCATGCCGAGCCAAGCCTCACAGGCCAGCGCGCCAGGGTCAGTGCAGTTCCAGTTCCAACACCATCAAGCTGACGGAGTCCCGCCACTGATGGCCAGAGATGACTCCACAACCAACAGTGAGTCGGAAGAATCCGTAGACTGGGGGGCATTCGCCATTGATGTCCTTGGAGGAGTCCCGCTTTATGCGGAAGAGTGGAGGCGAGATGACACATCATCAGAAGAAAGCTACCACTCCGGCTACAGCCACGATCAGCTTGACGAGGGAGGTCTAGACGGTGTAAGCATTGGGTCTGACCTCGTCCTACAGCGGTACAGTGACACCCATAATATTCTTGTGAGTCGTTCTGCCTTCCCTGATACTACCTTCAACACAGATCCGTTCGAAGGAGTGATCCATCGGAATGGGCAAGACGATGATCAGAGCTGTTGTTCCGACTACAGCTCGGATTCAGAGAATGAGTTCCGCTGCTTGTACGGTGGACCCAGCCGGTGCCAGCGCGAAAACCAATGAGGCAATTGTTATGAAGACTTCAAAGAGCAGCAACATCAGGTTGCGTTTGAGTTTCCAGGAGTGGCAGATGCCGAACTCACAGGAGTGGCAGAGCCAAATCTTGCAGGAGTGCCGGTCAAGCGCCTCACTCCTGATGGTCCCAACACTGTGTACATTGACAGCGGCAGTTCTGTCCGCACAGTCATGAACGAGCACATGCTTGTCAACCGAAGATCTTCCAAGCGTCCCATCGAGATGGGAACCAACGTTGGCAGCACCAAGTTTTCCGAAGAAGGTGATACTCCATTTGGCGTCAGCCAGTTATGCCAATCCAGGAGGTATCGCCAACATCAACTCCCTGTCCCGTGTTGTTGATGACTGTACCAAGGCTCAAGATGGGTCCTATGTCCTCATGGACTCGAGAGCTGATGATGCCATTCACCACTATGAAATCATGAAAAATCTTATCTATTCGGTGATAGTGGAGGGAATCTTTGTGGTATATAATCCCACAATTTATCACTCCCCCATTCCCGAACGCTATCTATGACAGCTCTGCAGGTTCTCGAGATGTGACTCCCGAGTTCGCAGCAGTTGAGACAAGCCAGCACTAATTACACGTACTGGTGTGTATGCAGGTATTTTCTTACGCTTTAGCGCTGCCTGTATCCAAGCGCTAGCCTTCTGGTGTCACGGAAGGATCTTCGTTCTCGTACGTCAGTGGAAGGACTGACATCAGTGGAGGTACGTGTGCTCTAACTCGCGCGATTGCTCCCACAGGAACCTCGCGGAATTCCTGGGACTATGCTGGAACGATCTTATAAGCGATACCGTACGGTGTGAAGAATGGTGTTCTTCGAGCGAAATCCTGCACGGACGTATGCAGGGGAACTGACTGTCGATGTACTAGTACGAAGTAGGAATACTAGTTCTTCTCTTAACTCACGAGCGATTGGAGAGCCATCTGAAGGTCTTAGACGTTGTTCTCTCTAGTGTTTTTGTTTCCGACTAAGTCACGATTGGGGAGTTTCGCGGTGAACTCCCCCATAGTCTATGTGTGCATTCCTAGAGGGACGTCTTATACTATTTACGAGTGAGACTTGCCAATCCCACCGGTTTGAGGTGAACTTCTCCCCCAAAGTCTTAACGAGGTGATGGTATGAAATGTCACGGGGAATGTAAGACCCTAACTCCCCCGGAACGGTGCATGCTTACGTATGTGTCGTGCCTCTCTAGCCCTGCAGGGTAGTGTGTACATAACTGCAGACTTGTAGAATGCATGAGAAGACTTATGGGCTACTTAACTACTAGTGCATACTGACTAGCGAGCTTTCCGACATGGAGTTATTATCGTGGGAGCAGGAACGATTCGGAACACAAGGGAACACCATCAAGAATCGAACTCCAAGCCCACAAACCCTAACTCCCAGGGGACCGTAGCTAGAACTACTAAACTACCCACTGCTTGGCCCCGTACAGAATCTGGTCTACTGTGAGGAGATGAGGTAAGCAACGAAAACGGGTAAAGCGTCGTACTGTTAATCCTATGAATTCATGAAAAATCTTATCTATTCGGTGATAGTGGAGGGAATCTTTGTGGTATATAATCCCACAATTTATCAGAATATTCCCACGATTCTACAGCCGATTCTTTCCAGTCTCCATCCAAAAAGGAGTTTCAGAAGTTTACCAGGAAGCAGATGGCAAAGGAGTACTACAGGATGCCAGAAGAAGGCTCTTCGTGGTCAAAGCGAACCTACCACTGCCAAGGCTCCGCCACCAGCGTCAGTGAGTTTGGGTGGTTCAGATGCAAGTCCGGATAAAAAGTTTGCCTATTCGGAAGGTGGCGAGTTCAAGATGGGAGACCCTAGCAATGAAAAAGACAACATGTGGATTGCATTGTATAACTGCATGCTTTACGAGGTGTATCGCCTGGTCAAGTTCATCAATGAACAAGAACAGAAGGAACTCTTGTGCAACTTGGTCATGGATAAGTTGGGCCACCCCGCATTGACCCTGACCGGCAATGCAAAGAAGGACCGACGTAAGCAATTCTTGGGTGGTTTTGCTTATCAATTGCCATGTGCACCTTGCAGATCTCACACCATTCGCCTCCCTTTCTGCATGCTGCTTTCTTAGGGATTCAGAGGAATCGCGAACAGTTCAACATCCTTTGGCGGAAGCAGGTCTGTCGTCATCTGAACAAGGCCCGCAACTATGTGCAGAGCCAGTGCTTCAACCATGTGAAGAAGTTTGTTGCGGAGAAGGGGACGGCTGACTTCCCCTCCATGGATGACATCTTGAAGATTATGAACCGAGACAAGGTGTTGATTCCCCCAAAGGAGGATGCCACTGATGAAGAAAAGGCTGCTCATGAGGACCTGATGAAGAAGGCTGTGTGGTGGTGGAACTGCTTCCTTGCACAAGTGGCTGTCGCATCCAAGTGGTGGAGGCAAGGGATCCGCACGCATAGCACCATTTCGGAAGCAACATATGAGGGTGAGGTTTGCGTGCCTCCCAATACGGAAGCTATGGCTGTCCTCTTTTTTGAGAATGGCGCCACTCCGGATCCTGATGCAAGGGATAAGGAAGGCAATCTTCTGAATTTGCCAGGAAAGTGGCCTGCATACTTCGACTTGACAAACAGGTGCAAGGAGAAGAAGGCGGTCCCAAGGTCCAAAGCAGAAGATAAGGATGGAAAACATGATGGCCGGTACTCCAATGGCAAGGGTGGAAATTGCGAATTTGGAGGGTGGACTGATGCCGGACTTGCACGTTTTGAGGACTTGCGGCAGCAGGTTGTGGCTTCAAGAGCACAGCCTCATGCTCAAGAAGTAGAAGAGGCCATCCTTGCACGAGTCCGCATCGATGCCTTTGGTATGGGTGGTGAAGATGATGGTGAGCCCCCCAAGAAGAAGAAGAAGAAGAAGGCGCCGTCCGGGGTGAAGCTTAGCTTGGGCTTGTAGGTGGCCAAGGTTCCCAAACTAGAGCCAAAGGCTGCCATTTGGCATGCTACGCTCCCAAATCCAGGGGGTCCTTTGCCTTGCTTTCCCCCTCATTCCTTCTCTTTTGGCATGGCTACCATGGCGGCTGTTACCTCTTCCGTCATTGTTTGGTTGCCTCCCGAGTTGCTGTTTTGCATCCAATGCCACCCTGTTTTCTTGCCGCACCTTGTCTATCGATGCGATGTTCGGTTACTTATTCGGTAACCTTTTCTCCCCTTTTATTCCTGTTAACCATGACAATCTTGTCTCCCGATTGTTGTTGTTCGAAACCTCTCGCTGCAGTATTCGCCAGTAGTATCCTTAAAGATTCTAACCCCAATATTATCCCAATCTTCCCCTCTTTTGGTCTAGTTTCCCGAACTGTACTTAGTGATTAGTATCCTAGGAACTCTTAATTTGGAAGCACGTTTGCAGTGTTTTTGGATGCTTTGCATGACCGTTAAGTAGGAATTGCCCTTCCATTCGGCTTGGTACTGGATCCTGCTTTATATGGTAAACATCTTTGTTCGGAGGGAAAGAACTATTAAAGCCGATCCTTTTTAATTACCAATGACCCAGACATGCTTCAAGTTATGCACGGTGTCCACCACACGCATTGTGAACAACGAGGGTGTAGGTTTGTTAAACGGGCCGTACTGGATCATTGAGCATGCCTTTAACAGATTTGTAAGTACTGTTTCATGGGGAACCAGAAGCTTCGGTGCATAATCCGCAACCTCCCTTCACGATCTGTATCGTAGGGTCGACCTTCGACTTTAATCGATAACCTACCTTGTAGATTGGTATCCTACCTTCAGGTGCGCTTCTCAGATGTTAGGGTCGGTTTCATGCATGATTGAGGAACGCTCCTGTAGCTTTGCATACTTAGATCCATTGGCACAAATCCAAGCTTCTGAATTGAATTGAATCGAATCGAATCGGTTTTGAATTCTTGAAAGTTTGAATGAATAAATCGAATCTTCAATCTGGCTGAGTCCTAACTTTCTGAATGTCTGCCCTACCCCACCCCGTCTGGACACATTCGAATGCTTTCTTGCATCCCTGGAACCCTGGGAGCTATCTTTATTTGAGCAATTGGAATGGACCCAAGGACCACAGGATGCTCTTCTACTGATAAAGCACTGGCCATTCCTGGTGGCTAGTGTGGAGCGGCAGACATTGAGGCTGACAATTCCTCCTATGGGTGGGTGATCTCATTTCAAGGGTTCCATTGTGGCACGGGGGGCTGGTCCAGTATATGGTATGACTCCAACCTCGTGCAGGGCAGAGGCCTATGGAGTCTTGGCTCCCACTCGACTTATTCTGAGATTGTCAGAGTTCTTCCATTGTGAACTCATTCAGCCTTATACACACATTTTGTGGATAACGAGTCTGTAAATGGCAAGCGATGAGTGGAAATCCACGTGAATTCCCATTGTGGTGCGAAGCAGCTGTGCTGGTTTAGCCAGGTGGAAGAATCGCTGTGACACCTGTATACTCCAACAGTAGGGTCAGCAGTGCAAGCCATCTGGCAATACAGAAATAGCTGAGGAACTCTATATACCCAAGGATGATGCAGTTCTTCAGCCAAGACCAATATAGAAAGTTAGCTTGCCAGCACCAGCCAAATGAGATGCAAGAGAGCCAAAGCTGCATGGCTGAGTGCTGTCGAGGATTTTGTGTTCAGTTGATTTTAGCATAGTTTAAAGAAGAAGAAGTAATGAAAGGATAGTTGACCAGATACAGCCTCAATAGCACTAGTTTCCCCACAGTTGAAGCCTTCCTGTGTGGATTGTGCCAAGGCAAAGAGTGAGTTGTTCAATCATTGCTGTGGAGATTGAATAACAGGGGCAGCCAGCTTTGTGGCTGGCCATTCCCAAGTGCCAGAGGAGTGAGGCTCCAAGCAGAGCTCTCCACTCCAGCCAGCTCTTTGTGCATCTACCCTGACTGGATCTCATAGGCAAGTGTGCCAAGTGTTTGGACTACCAATGGTGGTGGTACCCAAACGACACTCAGGAATCAGACTGGGATGTGCTGCAACAAATTGATCAAACATTCAGGGATGCTCTCAGTGTTCCAACAATGGAGCACATCAAGAGCCACAAGGACAAAGATAAGGCTATTGAGACTTTGCCAACAAAGGCCCAACTCAATTGCAGAGCAGACAAACTGGCCGGCGCATTCATGGCTGCACACCAGGGAGTATATCATACAGTGATGCTCCAGTTCCCGGTGAATCTTGCACAGTTGCATCTCCCCGGCGGGACCTGCACCTACAAGGTGACACGTACCTTGAGGGACCTACAGAATGATCCTGCGGTGCTGCAGGATATGGTCAAGGATAACTCTCAATAGGATGATAGCACTCCGGATCTGATAGACTGGACTGCCCATAGCAGGGCCATCAATAGGCATGAGACCAGAAAAACAACACTAGTGAAGCTTTTGTTCGACATTCTTCCAGTGGGCAGAAGAGTCCACAACTATGATGCCAAATACGATCATCGGTGCCCACACTGTGGTGGCGACAATGAAACAGCAGTCCATCTCTACCTGTGCACTCATGAGGATCCAACACTGTGGAGAACAACCATGCAGCAGGCTGTCAGCAAACAACTGCGCAAATGTGATACTGATCCATCTCTGTTAGACATTGCTTTGCAAGGGCTTGAGCGCTTCTTCGCGGGCAGGCACCTGTACCAGTCTGAGTTCCCAGAAAGGTATGACCAACTGGTCATTGACCAGAATTACATTGGGTGGGGCAACTTCCTCAAGGGCCGACTCTCCAAACTGTGGACCAAACACCAGGGAGACTACCTCCATCATGTTCAAAAGCATACATCCAAGAAAAATGGTACCGTCTGGACTACCAACTTGGCCCATCTCTTGCTCCAACAATGGTTTCTACTTTGGGATGACCGCAATGCAGCCAGGCATGGACGTGATAAACAACAGCAGTAGATCAAGAAGCAGCAGCAGCTTCAATGGGAAGTAGAGCTTCTGTATGAGCAGGCAGACCAGGTGCCACTGTCTCTTGTCAACTCCATTTTCAAAAGGCCACTAGTTAGAGGACCAAATGGAAATGGTACCGTCCGATATCAAAGCCTGGCTTTCAAATTGGATGCCAGTGGTGGACAAAGCAAGCAGAGAGCAGCAACAACTGGCCGCAGCCTTCCATGAGGCAGCAGCAACTTTGGATCAGGCTTTCGGGTCTGACCTTGATTTAGATGGCAGCAGTGTTGACACTATCATCAATAGTGCAGCTAGTAGCAGTGCTGATGACAGCAGCAGCACGGGCGGGTCCGGTTGGTGACCTTTCCCCCCTTAATATCTTGCCTCGGTTGGGTTTTAAACTTTCCCGGCTGAGGGGGCCAACTCTCTCCGCCCCAATGTTTGTGGAGGTTATCGGTTTAGGGTAGCGGTACGTGGACAAGTTGTACTCAGAGTAGCCTTAAAATAGAATTCTATTACTGACTTCCCCAGCAGGGGGGGGGGCAGCACAACCACCACCGATAGAGGGACAAAAAAACACACAATCCACAACACTCAATCACAAATTTACCGGTATTATCTCGACCATGATGACCAAGTCATGAGGAGACAAGATCAACCTTCGCCAGCCATATTACTCCCTACTGTAGCTAGATGGGTCGACCGGTAATGATGCAATATATACCAACAGCCAACAACCAACCAATAGACAATTTTTGTGTTGCTCAACTGAAACCACCAAGCCAGTGGGGCTAATGAGAGTGGTCTTCTGTGTGACCTTGAGATCTCCTCTCGCACGAAATGATTGATTCTACTAGTATTATCCCATACGGTAGATGCCGCTTGTTCCCTTTGTTAGTATGGACGCTGGTGGCGAAAGAGGTGATGCTCAGTCGAGTCGAGTCGAGTTGAGTCATAGGTTGGTTGCTCTTTATTCATCCATTCAATGTACCAGTACGCTACTCTACTCTGAAAAAGAATCTTGAATGATTCAATGGAATGGCTGGATGTATGGTGCCGTTGGTACTTCCCATTTTGCCCATGGATGTCTCGTGTCATTTGTCAGCTCATCTGGCTCGTTCTTTCCGGTGTATGCGAAGCCCAATCATCTGACGTGTCCTTTTTAGGATCTTTGGACGGATCTATGGACGGATCTTTGCTAGCTTCAGTTGGCATTGTTCTCTAACTGCTCTGCGACCAACACCAAACCATGATGCTTCCTCTGAGTTGTCTGCTGCTGCTGTGCAGTTGGTCTGTGTGTTGTTGCGAAGGGTATGTGTCTCCTGCCATTCGGGAACGCTGGGCTGCCGGGTATACCAAAGAAGAGGCGATTCAAACGATTGAAGAATGTGCCGAAGAAGGAGATGCCTTGAATACGCAAGATGATTTATTCTGCGCCGTCAAATATCTGGATCGATTTGGGTCCTCGCTCCACTATAAGGATGACAAGGTCAAACAGGAGCTGATGGCGCAGTGTCAGGGATCCTGGGAACTTCGCTTGGCATTGAATTCGGACCGAGATCAAGAATTTTACCCCCATCCCGAATTCCGATCCTTTGCCATGGCATTCATCACGGTGGAAGACGACTACTTTGGAAAGGGCATTGCGCCCAATCCTACCTTTTGCTTTGTGTCCATTGCGGGACCTTCCACCCAAAATTACAAGACACGGCAGGTATTCATGGAATACGAAGACTACTACATTAATGGGCGGACCGTGCCGGGGTGGGATCTATCCTACTATCTGAGAGGATATCAGCGAAACTGGGTTTCCACAGAACGAAAACGACCACCACTCGCATTCACCGTCATTATGGCAACCGAAAATGCCATGGTCGTAAGAGGAAGCAAAACGGGAGGAATCGCCATTTTTAGAAGAATCCAAGACGATATGAGACCAGCGGCGTATGGAGTATAGTAAGGAATGAATAGTACAGTAATGCATCGATTCGAGGTGCAAAACAGAGTCGATTGCTCGTCAGTGCTGAGTTGTGGAGGGTGTGCCAATGACCAGCCATGAACCAACCAACCACTGCCTGGAGTGCCAAACTTGAACAACTAGCTATCTAGAGAGGCAAATCGTCTTGTTCGTTCGTTCCTTCATTCCTTCCTTTCCTCCTTCCGACCCAATAAAATGGAATTAGTGAAGCAGATCAGAGGCAGACTTGCTCAGGCTCCTTTCTTTTGAGCGAAGAATCCACCACGTGCGTGTACTCCCCAAAGTAAGTGTTGTTCACTGCATTGCTAGCTATTGCTTTAGCTAGCATGGTACAACTGTTCCGTCGAGGAGCTATTGTGGTTCATGTACCGTACCGGCACGAGTACAGGCAGGATAGTATAGCTAGAATTCTATGGGGCGACGAACAGTTCTAGCTACCGGTAAAGCATTATCCTCGCAAAGTCTGCTTGTCCTAGCTAGCTATTATAACTAGACTCTCAATCCATGATGCCGATATAGCCTCCAGAGTGAAGGGGAGACTGGCTGTACTACATGTACCGTAGGGAGCCCTGTCACCAAAGCCACAGCAGCTCTCGTCTATATTTAAAGTTTGCTTTGATTGCAGCAAACATTCTTTCTTTCCCGTCACATTGATGATTCATTATAATATATATTTTTTAGATGCTCTAAAAGAAATCACTTCAGGCATGACATCCTCCAACAATGCTGATGGTATTGTCCCTTGAAGTTGCTGCAACACACACTCCTTCTGGCCAGCCATGCAGTCACACAGCCATCAAAAGAAAAGTAAATGTGGAGCAACTCGTCAGAAACCAACCAAGAAGGACCAACCATGCCCAGCCACATTCTTGATTCTCCTCCTTCCATCGTTTGAAATTTCCTCCATTGTTTGTTCGTTCCGTTCCGTCCTCCTTCCTTCCGTTCCTATGGATTGCATCTAAACGCAGGTAGCCTCCACACAATCCGGATCAGCTGCGCATTCGTCATCGGCGCAATCACAGGCGGCATCAGTACATGTCTCCCATTCAATCCATTGGTCTTCAGTCCAGGCCTCAATGTCTTCATCAGTAGCGTCACCCCAGCACGCATCATAGCAGTCCTCATCGTCAGTATCATCAGCATCATCACCACTATCACCTTCACCGTCTCCACTCTCTCCACTTCCGTCTTCTCCACTTTCTTCGAGTTTGCGAATCTCCTGAAATATTCATGTATGCATGCATGGGGCCATGTGAGTGGGTGAGCAATAGTAGAAAGGACAACCAAGTAAGACAAAGTAGCAACACCAGCAATAGACTTACACGCTTGTGGGAAGCAGGTGTACGAAGCGCCTATAACAGCCATTCATGTAGATTATGTATGTGAGTGGATGAGCTAGCTACAAAGGACAACCAAGTAATTCAAACGACAACAGCAATGGACTTACGCGACTGGATTCGTGGTGGGAAGCAGATGCCATGGCAATCAAGAGTGCAATGAGCATGGAGAGGAACGAAATGCGCATCATCTTGGAATGTTTGTTTGTTTGTTTGTTTGTTTGGAGTGCGTGAAGCTGAGAGAGAATTATTGACTTGACTTTGGCTGCTATGCTGTGGAGCTGCTGGAAGTTAGTATTGTGAGCCTAGATTGTTGTTGCCTGACGTCTATCTTTGCTGGGTAAAAACACAAATCTTGGACAGGATATGCATGGCGCTCAGGATACTGTACCATACCGGGTGGTTTACCAGAGACGGACAGCAACTGGGTAGCTTTTGTGTTTAGCGCTTGGTGGTCGGACCTTAAATCCAAAACCAACCGTTCTGGTTCTAAATAAAATGCTACTCTGCTAGCGCTCCCCGATCTTGGCCAGTCATGAAGTATCCATGACTGATACTTTGAAACGCACACTCACTCAAGAAGAGCGGGGGGGTCAGAGAGCTGTCTTGCTGCAATGGCTAAGTCAGAAAATATTCAGAAAATAAGATACTACCACGGTGCCGGTACGTACCAATATTGTAGCTAAAAGTAGGCAGATCGGAAGCCAACCATGCATGCAACTTTGTGCTTTCATGTCGAGGGACCCCATGCACACACGATGCTATTTCCCAGGCTGTCCTCGTTCTACAGTACATAGCTGCTAGCTAGAGCCACGCGTTTGCCCGTATGATACGGAAGGGAATTACTAAGGGTAGTAATTGGACGAGCCATCAGCCTATCTAGCTATACCGGTATAGTATCAGTGTTGCAGTGACTGAAGAGGAGTTTCTGTTCAGCTCGATACTCTCTTACTAGCTGTACGGCGAAATGTCCCATGCTGGAGCTGGTGTCCTTACCGGATCCAGGCCTTCCATATCAAAACAACACGTACTGTAGCACTCTAGCCGGTAACTGCTGCACCGCTCATGTTTTTAGCTGATCAAACAAAGTTGCATGCGACCTGCAACACTGAAAGGAGGAAACTGCCTGAATGATTCGATCTGTCCAAGCTAGAGCCAAATGATTCAATCAGAATGGTTGCTTTCTTGTCGTTACACTCTTACTGTACAGCGTATCCGCCCTGCACGGTTTCGCCTTGCTTTGGCTCCACTCAACCCAGCAACATCCTTATGCAGTCAGGCTCAACTTGGCCAAACCACCCGGGGATGTTCGCAATACCAGCCTGGTACCAGAAGAAAGTAGCGGGACCGGTCGGCTATCAAAAGAGAAGAATCGTATTCTAGGACACTGTATATATACCGGTACCTCCCTGGGTTTGCCGCGAGGAAACTGGCTACCACTGGTAGTATGTGATGACCGGTTCGATCCAAAAGGGGCAAAGCTCTGGCTCTTGTCACAAGCGGATGCCGCGGTCATGCGGTGATAATGTAGTCGGCCATCAAGGAATTTGGTTGTGGCGGGTAAAGCAAACTTACCTCGAGTCGCCTCAGGTACCGGTAGTCAGACGTCCAGCGTATATTCCACTCGTCCAGCTTTCAATTTGACTGGCGAAAAATGTTGTCCATGCGTGTTGTCCAGAAAGCACACTCCAATAGCTTCTTGCAAAGCAAAACCAACAGTCAAACTAGTGCCTGCTGAAACAATGCAGATTGCTTGATCTCCTGGCGTTCACCAATGAATGGGGCCTCAGCTGCAAGATCGCAATAGCGAGTACTATCTGTAGCTTTCAAATTGCTTTCCCGTTGCCACAACGCACTCGACCGATTGAGTCCGTCTCTTTGGTGGCACGCCCATCCAACTCTTGGGACACGCGCCATGGATCTTTCGAAAGCAAACATCTATGAAGAGGATCCACTGCATGCCAATCAAGAACTATTCATTGCTGCAATCCATGGTCTCGTACGTGTGTGCACTCGAATTGTCTCGGGCCCCTCAGTAGCTCGAAATGCCTACCTCAAGATAGCCAGAGGTGACCACGGCTTGAGAGAACCGAACACAGCGCAACGCACATACATGTATCATTGCAAGATGATGTCTTCATGCATCCAACTACAATTGATGCCACGAACCAACGTCCAAGCCAGTATAGGTGCTACGCTGGCGTCTAAATCCTAAAATGAAATGACTAATACCAAAGTCAAGCTTTTTCAGAATGCAAAACCTTCCAAATCCTTTCGTCACAGGCATGCAAATTGCCAAAAATGAGGGCATCGCCAAAACAGATGAGATCCCCCTTTACCCGTTTGTCTCCGAAAGCATCGACTTCAAGGAAAGCTTCGGGGTTTGAATCTGTTTTGAAAGCATAGCACTGCTGTGGATCTAGGCAAGTTTCATAGTAGGACCAATCTGTACAGGTATCATTGAACCATTCAGCGCTGCAGGAAACATCAACCACAAAGCCATCACCGCTCTGTGCCAAAGTGTCGAAATACGTTCCATTGGTGGCAACTTGGTTGGTTGTGCCACGTAGCTTCCACGACACCGGCGCACATGACAGCATCATGACACGAAAACGCTCAGTGCCAGGAGGGCAAGAGTCGCAACGTCCAAGTTCTTTTCTTTCAAAAAGTCCATCGAAGGTGCCATGTAGAGCTTTTTCACCATCCAAGAAGAGTGCATATTGTGCAGGGGATACCAACCCTTGACCGATTTTGTTGTAAATGGAGAAGGTGTAGCAAGAATCGGTGGGGACACATGCTTCCTCTACAAAGGTTGCCCATTGATACTCCACACCGTATGGCCCTTGCTCAAACATGACTTCACCTGTGCTTTTGTTCAGCAGTTTCCATGAAATGTAAAGAAGCATCACGCTGTCAACGGTTAGTGAAATTCGCAAGAGTGACGTGCCCCCGGGGCATTCTTTTCTTTCAGGCAAATAAAATATCTCAGTAACTCCACCACTGCCATCCTGAGGTGCCCCTACTGCAAAGCCAGTGCCATCTGCTGACATGGAAACTGAATAGGCCGTCAAATGAGAGATGGTTTCAACATCATCAGCCCACACTTCTGTTTCAGAGTCCCAGTCAAAAACACTAACGTTGGTTCCAACCCTGAAAGCTACCCTGGATCCATTGCTGGAGAGTGCCAATGCATTGTTGCTGTTGAAGTTTGCACTATCAACACAGCCAGTGGAGTCTATTGCTGGGGACGATCGAGCCACCCAATTTTCCTCTTCTTTGCGTACGCGCACCTGAAGCTGGGGTTCTAGGCACTCAGGAATGCCAAAGGCAAGGACGCTTCCATCTTCGCTCAGTCTCAATGAAAGCTGGTATTCCATGGCAGAAAGACGGGATGCAAATGGAAACTCAGCCTCAATTTCATAGACTCTTGACACTCCATTCCAGACCATGACATCCACATATCCTTTGGTTGCTGTGAGGGCATTTTGTGTTCCAGGTTGACTTAGCTGAGATTGCACAGCCAGCCGGCTACCATCATGGTCCAAAGATATTGATAAGAGGGAAGCATTGATGTTGTCTCTTGCAATCGTGATGTTTGCTCTGAACTGAAAAATCCCTTCTATTGATTCATAGACTTGCAAATGAGTAGGCAGGTCGTCCGTCTTGCTAACTGATACTGCAAGGACTGTACCATCCTTGGATAAATCAAAATCAAACACATTAGGGAGTTCCTGTGTCTGAGTACAGCCATTTGAGAGGCACTTGAAGATTTGAAGCGTATGGTAAGGTTCAAACAATTGAATGGCAATCTCAATGGGAGCCTTGAAACTTGGGTTGCTGACAACATTGAAGGGCCCTGAGGAGATTTTCACTCTTACTCCAAGCCCAAAGATTGTGTCTCTTAAGATTGAAGAGGATCCGAACTTGTCATAGACACGAACACGGCCCTGTGCAGGTTCCGCAATGGCCACCGATGTGCCAACAAGATCAATGTCATAACCAGAGAATGAGCCAGGGTCGCCGTTCACGTAATAACTTTGCCATTCATCATCAGGTAGATCGCAATAGAAGTATCCCATGCTGACATACCCATGATCATCTGTCCCACAAACATACTCTGAGGTACTTTTACACGTGAAATCACAGCAATCACCACCATCCATCTGGAATTCAGGTACGTTGAAAAATGGATCGCAGTGACCATTGCCAACTGTGTGTGTATAGCAGGAGAATGATGATGACATTAGATTGTAAGAGCATGAAGTGATCACATCTCGTCAATGAGACAGCATACCTGGTGGAATTTCACAAAGACTTCCAAAGGAGTCATAGGAGCACTGGCATCTACCTTCGATGCATATACCATTATAAAGGCAGGGGTTTGAATCATCATCACAAGTATGGCACAGAAATTCTGTATCAACCAACTTGCCAGTGCCCTGGTTCTTGTAGTCAGCTGTAGCTTCTTCAGCGTGATACCAATGGAAGCCAACGGGCGAGCTCAAGTCTCCTTCTGTCCCAAGCTTCATGAAGCCACTCAGAAAAGCAACGGACAAGTTGCCTGAGAAGCCCTTGTAGGCATGGTAGCTATGTTGGAAGAAGTTTCCAATGTCAGAACCAACATCAATTTGACCCTCCAACAGATCACTGGCTTGGATTCTTCCACCATTTGGCAAGAATTTTGATGATGATAGAACCCAACGGCCCCCAGTGAACATGACCACATCATAGTCACCACTCTCATATTCGTGAATGTAGATTGGTCGATGGTAGGCTTCGACATATGCACCACCGGTCAATTCAATGGATTGGTAGTCACTTGCCCAATCCCTGGTACTGGCAAACTTCTCTGTTCGAGCATCAATGGTAATCCAAGGACAAGGGCTGACAAACTCGCATCTGAGCCCATACCAGCCATCTTCACAATCACAGACCGCATTACTGCAGGTTCCTTTCCCACCACATTCATCACTTCCATCCATGCCCTTCCGAGTGCAGTCAAAGCAAAAGAGGCTGAATGGTTCCAACACCACTTCATGCAATGAGTCGTCCCGGACAAACCAAGGACTCCCCACCGCCTCTGTGATGTCGTAAGTATCTGTTTGAGATGATCTGGCAACCCAGTCGCAGGGGCCTTCATTCTCATTGCTGCTGTATGATTCCACCCGGAATGTCCAAGCACTGATTTCAGAACAATATCCAAAGATACCTCTACCAGGAGTATCGATCTCCACAGAACGCCTCTCCACATACTGACCTCGTCCACTGATTTGAACGTTTCCAGACAAATCCAAATCGTACATCCCGTTGAATGCTCCAAGGGCTGCAACAAAGTCATCTCCCATATTCACTATAGTTGTCTTGCACATGAACTTTCCTGTAGTTCGAAATGCTACAATGGTAGCCCACCCTGCAAGTAAAGTACCAAGCAACAGAAGGAATACTCCTATTTTCCAATACCGTTCCAGAAATCCTTTGCTTGATGCTGCTCGTCTGGGAATTTTCAGGTCAACGACTTCGATTGTGGCTGTTTGGATATGCCTACCAATGAAACCAGCCTTTGCTAGGGAAAATGCCACATCGTCAATGTTGGCCATGAATTCAAGTGCAGCAAAGTTGAGCATAATATCCAAGACTGTATCAACTTGCATAATCAAGACAAAGATTGTCACAAGCAGTAGGAGGCCAGCAAAGAGCTGTGCAAAACAGCATACAAGCCAGGTTGGGTAAGTAGCTCCTGGGTGTTTTTCCAAGACCTCTGCGTGGAAACCACCATGTAGTCTGAAGAAATAGTCAACACTGAGTTTCTTAAGCTGAGCAGTGGAATTTCATCAGCATAGAAATTTACACTTACTTCAGGATTGCTTCAATCAGGTCAGACTGGAAGGCTATGGCCTGAAAGAGGGTAACCCCTTGAGCAATAGTAACAGTTGAATCAACCATGGGGGGCATGCTCATCCACAGTTCATTGACATCGCCATTCCAATCAATGACATCGATCATTGTCAGCACAATGGTTGTGATCTTTTGTGGAGAAGGAAGGAAATTAGGAGCTCAAGAAAATGAGATGAACCAAAAGGAATTGAGTGGATAATTCCTTACCTGGAGGACATAGACAAATGCCGCATACCAAAAGGCCAGGCTATTGATACTACATACACAGAAGAGAGAGTATGTGCTCTCCCCAAAGGGGGCGTACCATTCTGTGTCATCCTTCTCTTTTGTAATTGCTGCTTCAGACGAATCATCTCTGGTTGATGTTTCAGATTTTTCAGGCGGTGAGTCTGTTGTCACTCTATTTTCGTTTGGATTGTCATGATCAATAAGGGCTGGCTTTAGTAGGAGCGCCAACGTTTGAATGTCGGCGGGAGACAGAGAATCCAGTAGGGAGGGTGCTCCACTGTGTGCAGCAGTGTTGGTCTTGGCTGAATTCTTCGTCTGAAGATTGCTAGCAAGCTCGACGTTTGATAATAAAGAGTCAACATCGACTTCCTCTTTCACGCGCCCAAAGCCGGCATCGTCATTGTTGTTTCTGGACCGAGTCATTCTTGATGACAATCACACGGCAGCTACCGGGATGAAAAAAGAGTTGAAGGTAGGTATGTATATATGAACCGGTTCAGACGAGAGGCGAAGTGCTTGAGGACAACCCAGAACGCGACGCCCAGAGATCTCGAGGTATTATTTCCCACAATCACGAGTATACATGCGTTCAAGGATTCAGGTGGTGGCCTGGTGATGACCGTGTTGAACCGTATGCCAGCGGCGAAAATAATGCTGGTGCTGCGTTGCCGATTCGATTCAAGAGTGCGTGCTTGTTGCCCTCTACCACTACTTGAAGGGAGCGTTCTTCTCCCACTCTGTTCTTTAGAGTTGTTTTGACAATGGTGATTATAGTATTCAGCAATCGATCGAGTCAATACCCCAAAGACCATCATTGACGATAACGATTACAATAATTAAGGTCGGCATGCATCCCGACATCTCGACCATGGTCTACTTCCGAGAAATGAACGACGCAAAAAGCCGGCAGCGCTGTCAATTCAAAGCACGAAAGGGCGATCAATTGCAACCACACCATGCATTGAGGTCTCAAGCGACAACAGGTACAGTACCATGGAGGTGAAAACCGAAGCTACGAGTAGCATGCGGAGAGTGCCGAAGATGTGAGCAACCAAACTACTGAAAGCATAGAAGATGATCGGATCCAGTCCACAACAAATTGTTCGCAAAGTATCTTGGCAAATTTGCCAGATCCACGAAGCCACCAAGCTGCCAACCCGTAGCGTGGAAATTGAGCAAGCGTGGTGTGGAAAGGTGTGGCTTGGACCAAACCGGACCCATTACGACCCTTCGGAAGGACGTCGGTTCGTTTATGCACAGAAGGAGGGAATAAAAAGGAAGAAATGACGGGTGCTTGCGATGGAGCTCATGAGTCGAGTCAGACTCGGAGAGGTACGCACACACTGTGGCTGGCCATGCAGTAAACCAGCAGTTTCAGCGGATGGAGCTGAGAATCGACGATAGTTGGTTGAGCTACAACATCAACTGCCGAAGGAACTCATACATCCACGAACTGTGAAGCCTTCCTTGGTCATTCGCCATGCTACTGTTCATGTACTAGTACGTCGACAAAAGGTGCTCGGTAGGAGTTGCAACCTTTCGAAGCTCGTTCTCGTGGGAGCGTGGTCTGTGGCTAGGCTGCTTACATGTATGTGTTCGTGGTTCAAAAAGACGCAGTCGTTACGTATTTGATGCATTTTCATTTTTAAACAATACAGGTTCCCTTCTGGTGAACCACTACAATTTAATTCGAGACGCGTCATAGTATCTGGCTTTCGTGCATGCCTTTTGCCTCGTTATTTTGTACCACCACCAAAGGATCCAGTCCATGCCCGAGGGCGGAAAAAGCAATCCTCACCGATTTGCGCAGTCTTTTGGTGCACGATTCTTCACTTGGTTCCGCCGACATGCAATGCATGCATGCAGTCCCGATTCCATTGAGTGACCCTCTTGTGTTGGTTGGTAGGATTTTTTTTATTTACTGCCATGGTTTCTTAGGACGTTCTTCCACGGTCGACGTCGGGGTACTTGTCGTCGTCGTCGTCGTCGTCGTTTCCCCAAAGTAATCACTTGACACTCCAAAGAACGGGAGCCCATCCATGGTACTATTATTATTACCAGTAGTAGTACTAGCATGGAGGAGAACAGCGGCGTCCCGTTTGGGTGGCACGGTGGACCAAGGAAACAATGGCAATGACGACGATGATGATGACGATGCTAGTTGTTGTTCGAGTTTCTTGCGTGCGGCATCTGCCTGTTGGATCCTCTGCTGAATTTTGCTGGTTGCCTCATCGATAGCGCTGTTGTTGCTCGGTTTCTTGCTTTTTCTCACATTGGTTTCACGTGGTTGCTTTTGTGGTTCTGATTCTCGCTGAAGCTGCTGTTTTTGTGATGTTGGCGTCGCAGGAGTGACAGTGCTGCTTTTGCGTACCGTATCGGCTGTTTGGATGCTCTGGCGAATGCGGTCGTGGGTTGTCGTGGTATCCGAGTGGGCGGTGCGGGTCTCGTGGAGACTTTTTGTTGTTGTTGTTGTCTGTGGTTGCTGTTGTGGTGGTGGTGGCAACATATGCTCCTTCTTTTCCACTTTTGTCCTCTCGTGTGCTACTGGTGTTGGCGACAGAATGGAAACAAACTTGGCAATGGTAGTGGGATGCCAACTGGCCTTGGCCAATCCCTGTACAATATTGATCTTCTCAGCAGGTGTGACTTGTACCTGCAGCAAATCAAAGAATTCTTGTACATCCGCCAACTGCTTGGAATCCAATAATAAGACGGTGGCATCCTTGTGATTGTTCTGTTGTTGCAAGTCGACGGCCACGTCGAGCACGTTTTCTGCCGTAAAGTACTCTTCCAACGAAATGTCGAAAGATCGTTCCTGACCGAGTTCCTTCCAGATCTGTATGATAGCCCAAGTGTAACCTTGATTGGCAAAGCTATCCGATTCCAAGATTGGTTTGGTAATGGCCTCCAATTTCTGCTTGTTCTTCTTCTTGTTCTGTGTAGTCTTATTACTGGTAGCAGTAGTAGGAGTAGTGGCATACGTGTTGGTGGTTTTGGCCGGCCACGTGAATTGTTTCCACAAAAACGATTGTGCCAGTTGAAGGAGTTCCTTGGGATCTTCTAGTACGGCATCGGGCACGGCTGCTCCCAGCAACTCTTTCAACGCGTGACGTCCTACCGGTGAGTCCAATCCTCCGTACTGCCATTGCGGACAACGCACATGTTTGGATTCAAATTGCACTTTGCCCGCATTGTCGTCCAAAATCGCTCCCACGTACAAGCGCGATACAAACTCTCCCACTTGACGACCACTCCAGTGCGCTACCAAATGCGTCAATTGTCGTCCTACCGTTGCGGGATCACTGTCGTGGAAAATGACAAATTCTGCCGCTTCCAAGGGACTCCATTGCGCCGCACTGGCATCGGAAGGATCGTAGCCTCCATTTTGAAATGGATTATTCTTTGGAGTCTCGTGCAATACACAAGTGCTGCTGGGGCGGACTGTACCGGTAGTGGTGGATACGACGGAAAATGCATTGGTATTACCGGTACCGCCGAATAGGAAACAGGTAGCTCCCACCAAGAAGAGCCCGCAACGGCGCTGCCTGATCACGAACATGGTCGATCTTCAGATTAGGTTTTTGTAGTCTTCTTTCGGTGTGGTCCAATATTGGAGAGATGGCGACCTCTTCTTGTGACCTACGAGTATGGATGCCTGACCTATAGCCTCACTGAGTTTTATGTTTTTGTGATGGGATTCTGTCAAGGCAATGTGTTCCTTCAACTTGGATGATGAGCGCACTCATTTTGGGGTGACGTGGCCTCATGAGTTGAACTATGACGTGTTCAAATTAAGCCGGCGGTACGGCTTTCGCGCAATTCTTCATCAATTACAATGGGTGGATGGAGTAAATATAAGGTTAACGATAACGCTCTGAGGGGGCTTAGAGTAGGTACCGGTACCACCGTACAAGCTAGTAGGGTTTAAATTACTCGTTAGATTTGCACCGTACAAGCTATCTACTAGGAGCTTATGTCTGCGGTGGTTCCTTTGTGGGGTGGGCGCATGACGATGGCAATGATGGTACAAGCTCCCCGTTGACAAGTCGTAGCGGGTCCAAGTTATCTTGTGGTGGTTCCAGCTACCAGTTGGGTTGGGGTGGGGTGGGCACATGACGATGATAGCTTTCCTTCTTTCTCTGTTTCTCGTCTTGCCATGTTGGTCGTTTGTGGTCAAATCGAGTCATATTCTTCCATCGTTTGCTTTTGCTTCTAGCAAGGATTCCTTTCGAAGACACGCATGGTTTGTCTTCGTTTCTGCATGGTCGCAGTCCTTTTTCTTCCTGCCTGTTTGGGGATTGCCGTTGTTCCCGTTGTCCTTCTCTTCCAGTGCATGCCCTTGCGCTTATACGGTTTCGTCATTATCGCGGTGGTTCCTCTGTTGGGTTCTTGGTTCGTTCTTCTCGTGCCGCCAAGCATGCAAGGTAGCATGCATGTAGTCAGTTAGTTTTTCTGGCAACAAGCATTCACGAAAGTTTTAGCTCGCAACGTGCGTGGATCACCAGATCTGTGCTATCATAAACTGGCTTTGACAACGACTTGATCCGAGCGAGCTAGACCCACATCGACGTGGCATTGATTGCAGGAAGCTGACGATCTGAGACTTGTAGCTTTCCCCCTGCAGGCAGGCCAAGTAAGTTGGTTTTGGTTTATCCCGATCTTTCCATGCGGAGTTTGCCCTTTCTGTCAATACAACCAAGAAAGGCTCAAGCTACGTTAGCCAGATTGCTCAGTTACGGAAGGTTGTGGGGTGGAGCTGGCCTCTGCGTGTCGGGTACAGTACTCACCACGAGCGATTCTAGCTAGGACCCCCACAGTCCCGTGATTGCATCAATTTTCACTGGGTGACGATCGTTCTAGGCGCGTCGCGCGTAGGCCTGGTACAAACTTCTGGATGTCAGAAAAACAACGGCTGCCGCCATTCCGACAACAAAAAAAGACCGACCATGACAAAGCAACAGAATATGGCGAAGTTGGCTATGTAGAGTGTTAAAACTGATAAGGACCACCATGTATTTTGTAACTCCGCACCATGGTCGCGGTCATGCGCACCTGGTTTGTTTTAGTGAATATGCAATAGGAAGAAGTGAAAATCCATTTTTGGCCTGTTGTGGCGCAGCACATGTGTCACCCAAAAGCGGACTTTTGCCTGTTGGGACACATTGGAAGCCTCCTCGCCATAGAGAACCAAGCCAAAAGAGGACCACAAAGTGTATGCCGGAGTGACCCTGGTGAGACATTGAGGTAAATGGCAACAGAGAGGACATGGCAGCCAGTTTGAAAATCAGAAATATTGACACAGTTTGTGCCGACCATGAGCAAAAACAAGTTTCGTGAGTGTTGGTGATGCGTTTGTTGCTGTTGCGACAAGGATGCCTTCACTTACCCATATGCAAAGGGGATCCTGCTTAGACATTGTCGAAAATGGCACCAGAAAGGATCTTGAAGCCAGTTTGAGCAGCAGACATGTTGCCTTGAGTTCTTCCACTCTCTCCAATTCATGCTCTTTGACCTTCTTGGTGCGCTCCCTGACCTTCCACCAATCAATGTCCTCTTCCTTGAAGCCGCGGAACAAGAGCTCCTCCTTGAGAGGGATCATGTGCTTGTCCTTCCTCATAGAGGAATATAAAGTAAGATCCATCAGTTTGCAGTTCGCACCACACCACATCCTTTTGCTTCTTGTTTTCTTCTTGTTCTTGTTGATCTTGCCATGGCTTGTTCTTGCAGGACCTTCATGCGCTCATGCTTGAAGTGCTTGTTGCGCATGACAGAGGAGAGTTCAGTTTGACGGGCCGTGTAGACATCATGGCCCAGGTTTTTCTGCAATTCCGTAACACTCTCAGAATGTTTCTTGGCAGCACGAAGAAGTTCTTCTGTTTTCTTGGTGGCTCCATCGTCTTCAAGTTGCCGATGGGAAGGTAGTTGGCTGCTCTGTTGATGGCATAGGTGCTTCTCAACTGTTCCGACCGGTCAGTAGTGGAGACATTCTTTGCCTCCTTGACTCCAACTTCAACAAACTGTGTATGGCATGCAAGCGGTAGATAGGTGTTCTTCATGAAGAGACAATAGGCGTCGGGCTCTTGGTCATCGCGCAAGTCAATGTCATGGTCAGGGGACATCATCATCTCCGCGATGTAGGTAGACATAGGCGCATAAGTAATCCCATCTTGGTTTCCAACCACTCTTTTCACAAAGTCATAGAACTGTGATAGCTTGATGTGCCGCTCATGTACTTCTGAGTACATCCATGACATCCCGACACAGTGAATTCCTCCTTCTTCAACATGACAGTTGCCACAACCTCTGCCAATGGCCGCTCTGCAAGTAGTCCGGCTGGAAGAAGAGATGTGTTGGACCATCGGACAAAGTGTTTGTGCACAGACCTTATGCCAAGTCAACGAAACGTTGTGCTTGGTGCTCTGGTACTGGCGAAGGTGGGCTGGACACTTCTGTAGGCCATGGTGGAACAAGGCAAATCCATCGTTGGTAAGGGGCCTTCCAATGTCTTCTTCAGTTGCAGCAAGTCCTCCTAATGATGTAGTAGCGGACCAACATCTGTGTGTCTGGAAGCCTTCAACGCCGCTCAAGTCTTTGGACACCTGTAACCACTTGAAGTTAGGGCACAAGTAAGAGCCGTGGAAGTCAACAATGAGTGTCATGTCCGAGAATACCTCCTGCTCACACATGAGCGCCTGTAGACCGGACGCAATCTTGTTGGACTTGTCATCGCTGGTAGAGGAACAGTTAATGGCCTGCTGACTGATGCGGAAGAGAACAAGATAGTTCTCCATTGTGACACGGGAAGTTTCGCCAACAGTCCACCATCGCGTCATGACTGGTTTGGGTATCATCAAGATGAACTTCTTCGCCATCTTCTCTGAGGGAGAGCGAAGTCACAGAACAGCAACACCTTTTCCCACTTCTCCTGGAACTGTATGTCCGCCACTGTAGTACCAATGTAAGGGGTGTCCGTGTAGGTTTGGACAAAAACAGTAGCCTCAGCCACATGCATCTTCCACATCGCGGCATCCATACTGTCTTGCAAGTCATACACGGAATGCAACATCTGCATCGCGTTCTTCTTGTCCAAACCACCTTCCCCAATGAGCTCCTTGACCGGAACAGAGAGGGACAACTGAAGATTGTGAATAGCGCATGAAGAGACAAGGTAGTTCATGGGGGAACACAAGTCTTTCGCTTTCATCTTCTTGTACAAGTCATCAGTGGTACCACCACCTCCACTGTCAGTAGTGCATCCATGTACTCTCTTGAGAGCAACTTTCTTGAATGATGCTACCAGTGCTAATGCATGATCCTCTGACAGTCCGTCGCTTGCATCAATGTCAAGACATTGAACGACCACACCACCATCTTCGAACCAAGACAACATCTTCACGAAGTGACTGACACCCTTCTTGTTTCCCTTGTCGCATGACAAATAGACAGTCTTGTTCTTGATGCGCTCGCCAAGGGAATGGTATTCTCCACGGACAATCCGAATTGAAGATCTCGAGCGTGGACTCTGAAGGGAAGGACTTAGAGAATCGAGTGACATCAACGTTGTCCAGGACGCCGAATTCATCAAGGAAGGCACCAACAAAGCAAGCATCATGATGGCCGCTTGGGACAGTGGAAGGGACGGGTTGCTAGCCAGTGCAATGGACAAAATGCTTTTCATCTTATGCGATCCGGCGGTGGTGTCAAAGCGGGTTTTGTTGAAGCCACGTTGCATTTCCTTGATCTTATCTTCCGAGTTCTTCCATTGTGAGATTTGGTTCTTGTGCACGATCTCATGGGAAAGGGGAATGCGGACAGTAAACTCTTGTCCTTGACTGAGAAAGTGTACCGGTGTTGGGCGATATCCGACTTGGCTTTCTTGGATGAAGGAACGTCTTCCGTACACACTTCGCCAGTACTGTCCGTAGGTGTGACATTGTCGTCAGTGTCCAGTGCCCGCTTGGTAGAAGAATGGGTAGTGGGGGTGGCATCTACTAAGTATCGATCCAATCCAACAAGGAAGTTGTTTCGAACATAATCTTGGACCACCGTGGAAGCGGATGCATGGTAGTGGTCGGACGTTTCAGAAGAGGACAGCCACAGTTGCTTGCACTGGTATTGCTTGCTGGTATGGGACAGATGACGTTCGAGACCAGCCGGATCGGTAAGGCCGCTTGAACTTGCGAGGTAGTTGCTGCAACCAGAACAGGTATGCTGAATGGGCAAAGGGAAGTCAATACAGTACTTGATGTTTCGAAGGCTCTTCCAAGTGGAGTGGTCATCGTGTGAGTCAGTCTTTCCTTGATCGCAACGACCGGTCACTGCCGCTGCTACCGAACTGCAAGCACTCATCATCTTGGATGCAACAAAAGGGGACAACAAGTTAGATCAAGAAGAAGACAACAGAGCGAATGGAGAAAACAGCATAGCTTCGGCTTACCTTTTCTGTTTTCTGGAAGCCGAATAATGAGGTAAACTCCATCAATTGGCATAGCCATTGGTTCATGGGATCGACTGTCGATAACAAGAGCCAACGGTTGGTTGTCTCTTTAGGATGCATATTAACTGTCGGCTCGTATAGGTTTCACGTCTCTTTAGAAAAATCGCACACCCTCTCTACTGTATCACATGTATAAGACTTGAACTCACGGATCCAAAAATCGAAACACTAGGTTGGTGGGATACAATTGACCGTTGTCACATGACAAAAAGACGTTTTAAGGTTCCGGGTTATTTGAAAAATGAGCGATTATTTGCTTCGCAGAAGCCTGTCCGAAAACAACCTTCATTACAACCTATCGTTGCCGCATTAGAAATACATCTTCATCACTATCTAACGAGTGCATACTTCTAATCACGCAACGATAGGGAGTGTTAACAGAATTTTACAGACTGGCCTCTGGCAAGCTTTTATCGCGGGATTTAACACGTGCCACGCAGGCCGACCTCGATTGATCAACTCCATTGGCTGTGGGGGTCCTAGATTCATCCATTGATGATCGTGGTCTCAATATGTGGCACAGTGAGCAGGGAAACAGAGTTCGACCTACTAGTACAGTATTGAGACGTTTGCTTTTTAAATCTTGTATTAGTCGTGAGATTTAACCTGCAAGTTTAGTATTGCAATCATAGTGGGCTACATCTTCTTTGAAATGTGCCCAAACGAACATTGTCTGACACTGACACAATAATTCTGTCTTAAATCTCCACAAACAATGAGATTTAAGTCTCTAATTCGTCATACAAAAATGTGGGGATGAAAACATCCGAATGGTGCCCAAACTCGACGTACTGACGCTCGCACAACAATTCTGTCTTTTAAATCTCCGAAGATCCAAAGACTTATTTTGTTGAGCTTAGAGAGTTAAAGCGTGGGCGACGAGAACTCAAAAATTGCCCAAACAATTGAGACTCGACTCCCGACTGTCACTCGACTTGTTTGCCGCATTGCAAGGGTGGGCTGTCCGCGAACATGAATACTAGCTTTTGCCTACCACAGCCCACTCCGGAACAGCCATCACCGTTCTTAAGCAACTGATGAAGTCCGTGGCCAGGCATGCACATGCAGCCATGATACTCTGGCGCTTTGTAAGTAGCCCCAACTGCATGAGAACTACGGATCTCAATCAATCAGGATACTCTGGCGATTTGCAGAGCTACGGTACTAGTATACTAATATGCATATTAGCCCCCAAGTAAACTGATCGAGATAGACTACGGATCTCTGGTGGCTTCCCAAGTGGAACGATGACGGTACGCATACCACAGGTACGGCTTTCGTGGTTTGATCTACTGTACGGTAACTATTATGCCAGCCGACCTGTATTGCACGGTTGCACGCTGAAGTTAAACTACGCGTATTGCATGCTGAACGTGACAATGGGAGCATTGACGTTTGGTAGAGCCAAAGAGAGGCCTCGATCATGCGATTGTCGATGCCTTTCCTGCATGCTCATCCGAACTGTCTCTTTCTCAGATTGAGACTTGGTTAGAAGAGGACCGTACGTAAACACAACATGCCGTTCTTTGAAATCTTCGACGCTGTTTCCTCGGTGCATTGATGCTAGTATATGATTTGAAGAGGTGACTCGTCGCGTCTGGCTGATCTCTTGTAAGCAGCTTATCGGAAGCTCTTTCGGGCAGCGGATCCGATTATCCGATTTGAGGTGCGAGCAGCAACGATTCATCATTCGAAAACATTGCTCTTGCTAAAAAGCAAGGATTGAATTCCTTTCGAAGACATGCATGTGGATCTATAATATGACACCTTTTCCTGGTGGCTCTTGCAACCGCTCTTCGTGGGTCTCGTGGAATGACTTGACGGTGCGCCTCTCGTCAATTCGGTGGTGTGATCCTCTCGCCACCACAGATCGCTTTGGTTGATCGTTTGTTCCGATGGCTGTGGCTGGTTGGCTGGCTGGTTACATACATGTAGTTGCCTCGCGCTGCGTGACGCTTGAATCTGATCCTCGAGAGCCCCGCATCATGACGAATGACACCTTGTCGGTGCGTCTGCTTCGAGCTTCTACTTATTTGAAGGAGTGTGAATAGGCGGGCATTGCATATTAGTCGAGTCCGTTCGCCTCACTCTTCGGCAAATGATCCTCGTTGGTGCAAGGTAACATCGCATGTACGGCAGTCTTCTCTTTTTGACTACACTGACAAAAGTTTCCACGATCAGCCCGCAACGTCTGGAGTGGATGGATTTCCTGGCTTTTGACGATTGAATCAATCATTCGGTTCGATTCGATTCGATTCGAGGTTGGCGCACATGATCTAACGATGGTAGCAATCATGGCAGGAAGCTGCTGTTTCGCGGATCGATGGATCAAAGCAATAAGCTTTGGGAGCTGTTGGTTTTATGTATCGCGATCCAAGCGGAGTTTAACCATTCTTACAATACCAGATACAACCACGGCTTACCGTGGGGTGGAGCTCTGTGCCTCGAACTTGGTTGTTTTTGCAACACTCCCTTAGAGTAGTACTGTAGTCTCGATGGGTTGATGTCCGCGTACGGTACGGTATCCCATAGCTTTGCCTGGACCGACTCGACACCGACGCAGACACCGTTGTTACGAAATTAGAATGAATCACTCCCTCTAGATGCAACCATGAGAGCTTTTTGTAGAGCTTCCAAACCTTGTGATGCCAGTATAGTAGCCCCAACTAACTGCATGCATGCATGAGAAAGACTACTAGAGGATCTCTGGTACATGTACCTAACTAATTCACTGACGATCGAGTCCGTCCTCTTCAAGCAAGCGTTGCCCTATCCTTTGCTTTCTTCCTTACGTACTGTATATTGCAAATGAAGCCGCCTCTCACCCAGAAAGCACCCCCTGCGTATCAACCAAAATGTTTGATCTCCATAAAATTTGTGTTCCCACGAATTCAAGTCACCATGGATACACACCATGTCAATTCGGTTTGTTTTGGATGAATGGACGGATGGATCTATAAAATAATAGTTATGCCATTTGTTGATTGGGATGTTGTTCACTGGGTGATGATTGTTGTGGTGATGATGATTGTGGTGACGATTGTTGTTGTTGCGCTTGTGATGGTGGTGTTGGAGAACCGACGGGATGATATCCCACGAGAGGTGTCGGTGGTAGGGAACAACTCACAAGTATGCTGCAGACAAAAAAGAGACAGGCCGCCGAAATGGCCAAGTTTCCTCCTCGTCCGAGAGAACACGTGACGCTCTCCACAATGTTGTCGTTGTTGGTAGTCGTAGTATTGTTGTTGTTGGTCAATCCTACCAAATACTGTGCGAGGAATCCGGGTTGACAGATATTGCTGGTAAAAATGAGAAAGGTAAATGTCTGACAAATGTAGGCGAGTGTAAAGTAACAACTCAATCCTTTGATACGCGCGGAATCCAGAGGACAGCAAGTGGCAAAGAGACACGTCAAGCAGGCAAAGGATCCAAAAATGGCGGCCAAGACGGAACAAACTCGAGCGGCGTAAAAGGCACTGTCAAATTGGGGCGACACAATTCCCACATTGTTGATCCAGAGTTCGTAACTCGTACAAAACTGAGTGTCCACGGGGACCGTAAAGTACCAACCAAAGAATCCAACGCCACTACAAATAAAATGATAAGATAGATAAATACTGAGATCATACAAGATACCATCATACAAGATAAGATGTATGATGATGTACTCACTGCTGATCCAAGAATGTTTGACAGACTCGTGCATTCCAATCTTCGGTTGTCAAACTCTGACAAGCATCTTGGGCCGAGATTCCCTGTGCCAAGCGGACATGTCGTTCGGCAAAATCGCAATACCCCGCCGCCGTACTGGACTGAATAAATCCAATGGTACTCAACACCATCAAGGCCAAAAAGTTGCAATTCCCACGCAACACCACGCGTTTTTCATCGTCTGTCAAGTGATGCAACAGGACTTCGTCTTCTTCTTCGTCTTCTTGTGCTCCTGTCATGGTCAGCTGTATGTATCTATGCTATCTGTCTGTAACTTTGACTTGACTTAATTGTTGATTGGGCTTCAAATGGCTCGGTCTCTTGGTCGTTTTGGATGCGTTGGGATGAAATGGTCATGGCCGTGGCAATGGTGGTTGGAGAGCAAAGTGGAAAGAATGAGGATGACGTCATTCATGTCAGATCAAAGATTTAACAAAACGCAAATGAAAGCGCGCCAAGAGCCCATGGCATTAATTACCTTGGCGATTTCCCGCTCCCGGGATTTCTAATTACTTAAAGCTGAGTCCCAAAAAGTACTGCCTACAAACGTCAGTGCCGCCATGCATCCACCGCCAAACTCATCGCATGTCAGGACAGGAACATGCTTCCTTGGACAAACAGCAAAAGAGATCTAACTTCGACCTCAGACAACCATACCACACACAGCATATAAGACCATGGAAACCATGCCTCGACGCCACCCCCACCATGACCATGCGACGGCCTTTCGACGAGGACGCTTGCTGTATGTGAACATGATGGTCCTCGCCACGGCGGCACTGGCGTGTGCCTTGCAAGCGACCTTTAGTTGCCAATTTGCCCAACGGCAGATTGAACCGTATCCACAATACGATGTCAAGGACATGTGCAATGCTACCTATTTCACGACCCTCGATACCATGCAGGCATGTACGGCATTCTTTAACAGTCCCGGGATTGGATTCTATCATTGGCACGCCACCACCATGTATGGCGAAAGTGTTTGTTTCAGTTACGACATGCCCGTACCGTTACTGGGATGGGTCCGACCCCAATTTGATACCGCCTTTCACGCTGCCTTTGGATTTTCCATTGTCTCGTTTTGCTTTTTATTTTTTGGGTGGTTCACCATTGTCATGGCCACTTGTTGTCCCATGGAACGACACAATATCAAGGGTGTCTCGATCTATTTTGGAATTGCTACGCTCTGTCAGGCACTTTCCTTTCTAATCTTTGCCAGCAATGTCTGTGCACCGGGATTCTTTCATCAGTATTTTCCACTCGTCAACCTCCAAGAGTTTGTACAAGATGTCCATTGTTCCTTGGGAGGAGGATCCATTCTCGGAATTGCCGCCACGTGTCTCTCCTTTGCCTGCATGATACTGGCACCCATTTCCATTCCCGTGACGCCCTTTGGATATCAAAATGAACAGGAAAAGCCATGGCAAGACGACGACGAAGAAGCGCCACTGGTACCCCGCAACCAAAAAGGACCCCTCAAAATTATTATTGCCGGAGCACCTGCCAGTGGAAAAGGAACTCAGTGTGAAGTCATCCAGGAGAAATTTGGAGTGGTACATCTTTCTACAGGAGACATGCTGCGAGCTGCCGTGGCAGCGGGGACCAAAGTGGGGACACAAGCCAAAGAATACATGGATTCGGGAAGACTGGTTCCAGATCATGTCATTATTGGAGTGGTACGTTTTTATTAAAAATTAAAATGCAAACATGCAGATCTGCTATCCTTGCATCCGACCAAGAAGGTTTCTTGTTTGCTTACCATCTTTCAATTTGATTTAGGTCAAAGACAGGCTCAGTCAACCGGATTGCCAACAACAAGGCTGGTTACTGGATGGGTTCCCCAGAACGGAGGCACAAGCCAAGGCGCTGGAAGAGGAAGGTATCACTGCAGATGTATTCTTGTTCCTCAATGTACCAGGTGAAGTCTTGGTGGAACGAGTTGTGGGGCGTCGTACAGATCCAGTAACTGGCAAGATTTATCACATGACATTCTCACGTCCAAATGATCCAGAAGTAGAGGCTCGGTTGGAACAGAGGAGTGATGATACAGAAGAAAAGGTCAAAGTTCGACTGCAACAATTTCATGCCAATGTGGATGCTGTAAAGGACAGCTACACTGACATTAGTGTCATTATTGACGGCAACAGATCACCAGCCTTGGTATCGGAGAATGTTGTTGCTGCAATCCACACAAAGGTCTCTCCAAGAGCCATCAAAATCATCATTGCTGGAGCACCTGCCAGTGGAAAAGGAACCCAGTGCGAAGTCATCAAGGAGAAGTTTGGGGTGGTACATCTTTCCACAGGGGACATGCTGCGAGCCGCAGTAGCAGCAGGAACCAAAGTGGGAAAAGAAGCCCAAGAGTATATGGATTCGGGAAGACTGGTGCCGGATGATGTCATTATTGGAGTGGTAAGTGAGCCATGTCATTCTGAATGCCAGTCCTGCCAAAAGGTTTTTAGGTTTGCTCATCAGGGATCAATCCATTTGATTTAGGTCAAAGACAGGCTAAGCCAACCTGATTGCCAACAACAAGGCTGGCTATTGGATGGGTTCCCCCGAACACAGGCACAAGCCAAGGCACTGGAAGAGGCAGGTATCGTAGCAGATGTATTCTTGTTCCTCAATGTACCGGATGAAGTCTTGGTGGAACGAGTTGTGGGCCGCCGTACAGATCCGGTTGACGGCAAGATTTATCACATGGTATTCTCACCACCAAACAATCCAGAAGTAGAGGTTCGTTTGGAACAGAGGAGCGATGATACAGAGGAAAAGGTCAAAGTGAGGCTGCAACAATTTCATGCCAATGTGGATGCTGTAAAAGACAGCTACACAGAAATCAGTGCCATTATTGATGGCAACAGATCACCGTCGTTAGTGTCTGAAAATGTCATTGATGCGATTCATGCAAGGCTGTCTCCTGTGTAAGACTCGAACAGCAGATTGTGCACTTCCTGCTATGCTGTTCATAGGAAGAAAGCAAGAATGTGTCTCCGTTGATGGCTACGAGTCACAATTACGCTAGCTACAAAAGCAACGATGAATATCTATCTGTTCTATTGTAGGGTCATCTTTTGTTTCCACCATTGAACCGGAACGCAACAAAAATAAAGATTTCAGCTTGCTGCTCGGTCGTTCTTAATTTCCAGTGCCTGGGGCCAGTGAACATGCCAAGAAAACGGCTCCAGAGCATGAAGCAAGCAGTCACGGGCAAGCGGAAACGAAGGACCACGCCTGTTGTGCTACCGGCATTCCAGCGGGCTCCATAGCGTAGCCAGTCATGCAAGTATAGCACGATGGCACAACGAAAGTTAGTAAGGATTGCTGTTTGCTCCCATGGAACGGTCCTATCCAGCGCTGAGCCCACCCTGTCAGATACCGAACCTGTACCGTACCGTAGTAGTTTCGACGGTGAGAGCACAAGCAATCAGGTAGTGTTGTTGACTTTGTCTTTTTCAGAGTTGGTCTCTGCATTGTGTGCTACGGCCGGCGTTTCGCACCCCTCTCGAAGCATGCCTGATAGCGACCCAGAACAACCAGGATGCGTTTGAGATGTCTCGGGGGTGGGCGCAGGTGGCTCCGGGGGCGGCGATCTAGAAGACTTGCACAACTCGATTGTGGCTGGAGTCATTGCTGGCTTCCTGGGTGGAGGCGCAACTGGTTTCATGTCCGTGCCATCTGAGCCCACACCCAACACACTCAAGCTGAACGAGGTGTGCGCTCACGAAGATGCTTTGACCATTGGCAGCTGGAATTGTTGCTTTACACGTGGGTACTACATTGACGGTTTGAGTGATTTTGATTGCTTCTTAGATTTGAAAAGAGAACAGCATGGGAGGATTGTCTTTATTGATGCCGGTGTTGACTTTTCCAAAACGAAACCCCCTGGATCAATCTGGTCTATTCCGTGGTGTCCAAGGACCAAGCTTGTGTGAATACTAGCTCAAGATACCCACAAAATTGCAACTATTATTTGTGATGATGCCAAAACAGGTTGTCAAGATTTTGATTTCGAACAACACACAACCCATGAGCAAGATGATGATTATGACTGTTCTGTTACTCTGGGTGGATGTTCTGATGAACCATACGTACGCAGTTGGATGCAGGATTCAGAAGAGGACACTACAAGCAACACCGATCCATGTGAAGAGACCACAACGTGTCTTGCTTATGAGGCCTGCTTCGGAAATCTGGCTGACACAAGCACTTGGGCTGATACCGGTACGCAGAATGAGAGTCCTGCTCCCACAACTCCTGGGCCAACTATCTCGTCGCCCAGTACCATCAGCCCTAGCACAGCCGCTCCCAGCAGAGGAGTCCCGATTACATTGGCACCGAGCACTGCCGGCCCCAGCACTTTCAGTCCAACAACAGCCAGTCCCAGCACTGCCACCCCAAGCACCTTGGAACCAAGCACTGGAGACTGGAGTGCCGACTACAATGGCACCGGGCACAACAGGCCCCAGCACTTTCAGTCCCAGCACTGCCTTCCCAAGCACCTTGGAGCCAACACTGCCAGCTGGTCAACCGAGCCCCGCGCCAACCACACTACCCCCCACAACTCTGTGACCAACTACGGAAAGTTTGAGCACCAGTAGACCAACGACCACAAGCCGAAGCACTCCAACCCCAACAACCTTGTTTACCAGTACTGCTGGACCAACAACTTCTTCCCTGAACACCCTTGGCCCCACAACGCACCAACAGTCCCACCAAGTTCCACATCGTCGCCCTTCACTGTAATCACAAGACATAGGTGTTTTTCGTCAACTTTTGGCGCAAAACGGATATGATCGAAGCGTATTGGGCAGTCATGATTCCTCCTACACTTCAAGCCAAGCCTTGCAAGAACACACCGAGCCCTTGATGACCCTGATTGTGGAAAATCACTTGAAAGGGCAGGACTTGCTGGTCTTGGATGGCACACGAATTTCATCAGTGCATGGTCAATCACAGACAGTGTTCTAGTCAATCAATTACATATTCTTGACTGGTGAAAACCCAAACATCCAAGCACTGCTGTTGCAAGAGGGCACTTTCATTGCAAGCAATGGAGCTGTCCACAAAATTGACTCGGTTCTGTTTGGCAACCTTACAGCGCCTCCCCGTAGGGACGCAACCTTTCCGCCTTTTGGCACATGTGGAGAAGGAGAAGATGATACAGCTTCTGGGAGCCCACATGATCCACTTGAGGAAGGGGATGAGGGAAGCCCTTCGACTCCAGCAACTATTGGTTCTCCTGACCATGACGGTGATACCAGCAAGCCGGATACAGTGGTCACCATACCAGTGGATTCAGTGTTCGGCATTTCTAACCAAGATGGCCTCACTGCAGAGGACTTGATGTTGCCCGACTATCCAGGTGATCGAACAAGTTTTTGAATCCTTTGTTGAGGAATTGGTGACACCCTCTTCGACGGTTTCGAGGAGGAGATGATCGTCGTCATTTGCTGCAGCCACGTGGGAGCCTGGAAGCGCCGTGTCCTCTTTGTGCACGACATTGACTCCAAGGCAGGCATTCCCCTCAAAAACTCAGATTGGCAAATGAATGATCCACCTTCAATTCGATTTGTTAGTGGCGTGGAGAAACGATCTGGATATCGATGATGTCCGCACCAAGTGTATGCGCAACGCGCAGCCATTGCCATTGACCGGTCGGTCTCCAGGACATGATTGACAAAGAACCGAGCCTGCCTTTGGTGGTCACTGGGTCCTTTGCCCGTATCCCAGTGCTGGAGCCGATGAAGTCTTCAGCGCAGTCCGGAACAAATCCTGTACGAAGGGGGATTGGTGGGATTTGCTCTTTTTATCTGTCTACTAGGAATGATTTGGAATGGCTATCCCGCGGCATAAAAAGGAAATTTGCGAAGCTGCAAACTGCTCTGGAGGCAATGCCTTACTCTGCCCCGCCGACTTTATCTAAACTTTCACACCTCAAGTAACGAGGAAGCGTCATGCCCACCTCCGACCAAACGGTGCTTCAACCACCTGGCTTTCATGTATTGCATGTGACAGTCCACAGGGGAGTTATCAGGAGAGATAATAACGGATAATGATTTGGTTATTCACTCTGGTCTCTGCTGGGGTTGTGTGGCATCGGCTTCAGAAGCTTTTTTTGCTCCGGTTTTGCGTCCGCACCGCCTCATTTCCGTCACCGTGGGGCCTACTAAAGTAAGCAAACAAAGCAGGAGCGCAATCGAACGACAAGCGGAAGCCTGGGCTTCAATTCTCCCAGCTCCGGTTGAGCCTTTGGAGTGGCGATTGCGTTGGTTTCCAACAAGTTCCCTTGTATAACTTACCGAGTGCAGCCGACAGACACGTTTGACGCAAAACTACACCAATCCTCTCTAAGATACCCGAACCGTACGGCCACGAGGTTGTCTGCGAATAAGCACTCACCCATTGATAATGATGCAATTGGTGCAGTACACAGAGCAGCAAACATGCACACACCAAGTAGTCACGAGACAGCACCCAAGACGTACTGTCCGCGGCTTCCTGTTTCGTCGGTACTCAATTGCTGGGCCACACCGGGCAGCACCGCAACCTGCGACTCGAAGATTCCTCGCGTCCTTGGTCATGTGTCGTTCTCCTTGGTACGGTTGATTGTCATGAACCCGCAGCACCGCCGTCCGTTCCAGTCTTCTTGTCCAGAGGGAACGAAACAACAGAAGCACATTGAAAAGGTCCACGGTTCAATCCAAATCGAGCGAATTGTCGTGCAATCGATCGATGAAGCGTAACCATGCAGCCGAAGCAGCAAGTTGGGTTTACTCGCAACGCGTTGAAAAAGGCCCACGGTTCCATCAAACTCGAGCGAATTGTCGTTCGATCTATCGATGAAGCAAGCATAACCATGCATCCAGCGCGGCAAGACTTGAGCACAGTGTTGGACCGACAGCGACTTCTTGAACTCGTGCAAGCAATACGAATCGAATGGAATCGAGCTGACGCAATCTCTTGATCGACCTGAATCGAATTACCGTGAACGATCGAGACTTGAGATGCCTGTGAAAAAAGAAAAAGAGACAATGAATGGGAGGATGGCCGTTTGGCTCATGCGCTCCACCTAGACTAAAAAGACAGGATCGCTCCGACGCCGCCCTGGACACTCTTGGGTGCGTGCGTCGCCACCGATTGAATGGGATTCCTCCTCAGACGCCCTCGTGGGGCTGCTCTTTTTTTGTTTTTTCTTTTGACATGTAATTTTCTTTTCATTATTTTCTTTTTTGTTTGTTTTTCATTTGTATTTTCTTTTTTCGTTTACGTTTTGTTTCTCATTTTGTTTGTGGGGTGAACATGCAGTTTTGATTCATTGCAATGGTTTGCTTGATTGCATTGCATCACATTGCTTTGCACTGATTCTGGGTGAGCGATGACACTTGCTTCAACCCGTTGACTGGATCATCATCAGGTATCAACCACACTGATGATGATCATGCGTACTTGGGATCCTCGCTTCTCGTCCGGAGGAAGGTGGGGCTGGGCATATGCCTTTTAGGACTCGGCAGCAGCACCTCCACCGGCATCTCCTCCTCCGTCGCCGCCTCCTGCACTGGCGTCCGTGTCTTTGGGTCGTACCCATGCTTTGGAGGCAATCATACCGGCGACTTGGGCACGTCCCGTGTAGTAGGATCGACCCCCGCGATATCCTCTGCCACGGCCACGTCCCCGGAATCCACGTCCACCACCACGGTATCCATATCCACCACTGTAGCTGGCTTGGACCATGGGAGATGGATGACTTTCGGCGGCATCCGTGGGGCCAGCCATGTCCGTGTTGGCATTGTCTCCGCCTTGTTCCTTGGGAGGCGCTTCAGCAGCAGCAGGAGCACCACCGCCTTCCTCAGCAGGAGCGCCTTCTTGTTCTCCAGCGCCACGTCCAAATCTTCCACGTCCCCGTCCACCCCGCATGGGTCTTCCTCGTCCGCCCCTTCCTCGTCCACCACGACCACCGCGAAAGCCTCCGCCGCGATGATGATATCCATAGGACGGTGGAGGGTAATATCCTCCTCCACCGTATCCATCGTCGTATCCGCCGTATCCATCATCGTAGTACTCGTTTTCGTCGTAGTTCTGGTGGCTGTTGTAGTCTTCTTGTGGTGGTGGTTGTTCTTCCATGCGCATGCGCTTGTTGGGACCTCCGCGTCCACGACCACCACCGTCGCGCCCTCTTCCTCCATCGCGTCCTCCTCTTCCACCGTCACGTCCACGGCCACCATCACGCCCACGACCCCGCCCTCCACGAGGCGCTTCCATGTAGTCATCTTCTCCGTCATAACCACGACGACCACCCCAGTCATCGTCATTGCGTCGCTTTCTATTCGAATGATCATTGTGGTTGTTATTATTGGTCAATCGATCAAATGCAGCTCCTTGACGATCGCGTCGTTCGCCGCCACGAGGACCACCACTTCGACCTCCTCTTCCACCATCGCGGCGATTGTTATCACGTCCACCGCCGCGTCCACCTCCACGACCACCTCTTCCGCCATCGCGTCGTCCACCACGATCTCCTCGTCCTCCATCACGGTCTCCTCCACGTCCACCATCGCCTCGTGATTGACGGTTGTTGTCTCTGTCTCGATTGTTATTGTTGTTGCGATTGTTGTCTCGATTGTTGTTGTTGTTTCGTCCTCCCTTGTCTCGGTGGTGGTTGTCTCTTGCATTATTATTATTATTATTATTATTATTATTATTGTTGGCGTCCTTGTTTCGTTGGGCTCCCAGCGCGCCCGCCATGGTAAGAGCATTTCCTCGATTCTTTTTACCCTTATCCTTATTGGATCCCAACGCTCCACTGTTGGTCAATGCGTTTCCTTCCGTTTTGGACTTTAACGAGACGACTCGCTGCTTGCCACCACTGTTGCTAGAAGGAGGGTCGCCTGTTGCGTCTTGTTGTTGTTGTGACTGTTGCGAAGAGGTTGACTTGGTGTGAATATAGTCGGCCAGTACTTTGGCTACCTTGTGGGCGGTAGCTTCGGGACAAAAGTCCATTTCCATTTGCACGAGCTCGGCGACCATACTATCCAGTGGCTTGCCGTTGTTAATCATGGCAAACGAATAGTCCAAAATGTCTTTGACGTCATCTTCGTCCACGCCGCGAAACAACGGGTGTAACTGATCTTGTTTCAGCGCTTTGATTTCTTCGTCCGACAATTTGCCAAATTGACTCACGTCCAGTGCCACGGAGCCATCGTAGGATGATTCTGTCATCTTCTTCTTCTTTTTCTTTGTATTGCTGTTGTTGATGTTGTTGCTGTTGATCCACTGAGAAATTCTGAGGGGGTCTTTGTTTCGGACAAGTCTTCTAAAATTTGTGTGGCTGCGCGGTCACGTCTCGAAGAAATGATACACTGTCCGGACCTCAGTTGTAAACGAATAAATGTTACGCAAAAAGGGACATTTGAGACGATAAATAATGCTCACAATTCAAAGAAGACACAGCACATTTATTTGGCAGTTTGGCATAAATCTTTAGAAACCCATCCTTTTATATATCAACCACTGTCAAGGGAATCGAATCGTGGGAGTAGAGTTTTGGGCAAAACGATCGAGCTCTCGACTCTCGGCCCGCACCCAAAAGACCGAAGAGATTTCGGGGACATTAGTTAGCAGAGGAACGACAATGATTTGGAAAGCGAGAGCATTTTATGCGACCATGCTCTAGCTAGCTACATGTAGTACTGTAGGCTGGCAGCTTGGACTAGCTAGCTAGCTTCGCGTTGGCTCCTTTTCTTTGGTGCCATGCTTGTATCCGTTCAGATATTGACCAAGTTTGCTTGAGCACCAGGAGGAGCGAGATATCTGGTGGTACGGTAGGGCCGGCACAACATCAACCAAGGCCAGTTAGTTGTTCGAACTGTGTAGCACCATGCCACCCAAAGGATGCCACGCCGAGCCCTCATGAATCGAATCGAATCGAATCCACCACTAGCTAGCTAGCAGCTAGAGATTGTGTTGATCCACGCGGAAGAGTCATCCTCCTAACTAAGCTAGCTACCAAAACGTTTGGTTTGCCTCTGCAAGCTAAGTTGGAGAAGAGTCCTACTCAGTCGCACGCACGCACGTAACTGGAGCTAAACATTTAGAGGTTGGTATTGGCTCAAAAGATGATAGCCAACAATTGGGACCCGCTTTAGTGCATGCATAGATTTTCTTGGCCCCCACATGAAGCCAAGCCATCCATTGGAGCATGCTTGTGTATAGCCAACACTAGCTAGCTAGCTAGCTAGAGCAACTTGAACTCCAAAATTTTGACAGTTGCAAACTTGCATGAAACAGCTGGCACATAACCAACACTGGTACCAACCAGATGTGCTCGCATATTGGAAGCTGCAATGAATGTTCCTCGACCCTTCACTGAGACTGCTAGTGTTCCATTCTCTGTGTTGCCATCTGACAAATCCAAAATCAGGGTGATTTGACGTGCTTTTCTTTGTCCTAATTTGACAAGTAATTCACCTTTCGCACCATCTTCATATTTGTGTCCAGTTGAGCCAGAGAAACCCCAGCAATTCTTCTGGTCACCAAGCCACTTTGTTGGATCTAGATTGTGCGTAGATTTCGTCACACCAAGCCAAGAACCATGAAATGGGCTAGCGTGTGTCAGATTTATGTAGGCAGTCCACTGATACGTTCGACCTAGCATCAACAGAGGACCATCCAGCAAATCAGTCTTCCAATCAGGTGTACCATTAGCCAATATTTTGGATTTGACATTCTTCCACTCCAACATTTCAACTGCCAAAGAACTTTGTTTGTGAAAAGAAATACTGTGCTCATGTTTGGCTTTCTTTGCCTGTTTCAACAGGGCACTTGCGAGCTGGTTATCACTCACCAAGCCAGAGGACACCACCAGAGTTTCCAAATCATCGGGGTCCATGAATTCAAGTTCCACATAGTCATGGACCAAGGTCTTGGCAGCATTAATACGGTCGTCTTTGGTCTCACCAGGAAGTGATGGTTCACTTTGGGACCATAAATGGCACAGATTGAAACTCTTGGGACTGTCAATCTTGGAATGTGCATCTTGAAAGATGGCTCCAAGTGCAGTTGCAGGGATGTGTCCAAGAACAATTTTGTTTAAACTTCCGGTCATCCAAGCAAATTTTTTCCAGGCGTATTTGATCATTTCCTCCGAAATCACGGGCCCCTGCAGCTTTGATGCTGCGAGAATGGCAAAAGCCATCGATGGGTTGGCATGCATGTAGATGGCAAGGCTTTTTTGGGCTTTTTTGCAGAGTCCTGGCAATCCAACATAGACTGATGCTTCTGTTAGAGACAACAATGTCTGGAATTCTTCCATAGCACCTGGTGTAACCTCAAGAGATGGTTTGGTAATATTTGTTGCCAAGATGGTTGCGGTGTCAGTATGGATGTACTCCACAATTGACTTGAGAACAGTGCCGGAAAAACCAATGGAGACCACATCATTTGTAGCTTCCTGAAAGCCTCCCTTCTTGAACATGGTCTTGAAGTATGGACTACGGACGGACAAGGCAGCACGATTGGCAGGAACCAGAACCCCATCGTTCCCTTTGAGTGAGACATCATGGTACTCTTCATTTGCCAACATGGCAAAGGCTTTTGAAAGAGGCACCTCCATCGTTTTAACAGGAGTGCTTGCGGTGTGGTCTTTGGATGACATGGTTTGTTTGGATGCGGCTTCGTCGAGCATGGTTTGTTTGGAAGCGGCTTCGTCGTGCGGTGTTATTATACTACTCGTACCATCATGATACGTGTACTAGCTAGTAGTACTTCTTCTTTGCCGCCAAAATAAAACTTGATTTGTCGTTGGGAAGCATGAGCGCCGTCATTGGCCACAAATCGGATCGAGTTTATAGCCAGTTGAGCTGCTATTCAAAAAGCCCAGCGGTCTAATCTCAGTACTATCGGTATCATAATGGTACCACCCACTCATCCGGGTCGCCTACCGGTACCGGCAGCTACCGTAGTTTATTCCGGATTATTGAGCCTCTTTGGCTTCAGGTGTCCACCTGATTAGCATACGGTAGTAGAGCATTGGCCATATGGCTATGCATATGCGGGCAGCCAGCCATCGAAACTGTCATCCTAAACGCTCTTTGAATCACATCTGTCCACCTCTCGGATGCATAGAATCTAAGAGCCTGCAAATGTTTACAAGCTACCAGGTACCATATAAGATTGATTGTACCAGTTTTGACCAAGTTTGAGCGAGGAGATACCGTACCGGTACCTGGTGGTACTGTTGATAAAGATGGTAAAGGTTTGAACTAATTAAATTAATGAGCACTGGCTGTAGTGGACCCAATCTGGGGATAGGTTATTACCCCCAGATCAACACACCCTTGCACTACTGCTACAGTGTGCGTTAATTTTCAGCTTGCAGGTTTTCCTGCTTTTCGTCGTCGATCGTTCGTTTCGAGAGGATCGTTTGAACATGGTGTTGTTGCTTTATATCGTTTTGGTTGTTGTATCAGCGCTTTATCCAGCTATCAACTGTTACTCTTGTACCCCCTGCAGGCATCCGCTTGTAGATCTGGGCTTCGCTCGAGAAGCACCCTTGGTTGTCAGGCATTCATAACTCTGGACTGATCTGATTGTGTTGTGGGGCGACGTTGGAGGTGTGCTCGTTTGTAGGGTCTTCTTCTGCTGCATCCACCCTTGGAAGTTGCCGATGGTGGCTTTCACCCTTGGAGATGGCGCAGGAGAAGGACCGGAGTGAGGAATCACCCCCAACTCCTCCGTGAGTTGGTGGCGGTCCCAGCTTGGACCCAATCGGCTCAATTGCCTCAGCATGGCGAGTGCCTTGTTGCCTTATCAATCCCTACCGACGGAGCTAAGACCTTACGATGGCATGGCTAACATCGCCATTGCCAAAGGAATAATTAATTAGTTCTGTTGATAAAGATGGTAAAGGTTTGAACTAATTAAATTAATGAGCACTGGCTGTAGTGGACCCAATCTGGGGATAGGTTATTACCCCCAGATCAACAGGTACGGCACGGCACGGCACGGCCAGAAATTAACTGTTCGAACTGTGTAGCACCATGCCATGCAAAGGATCTCATACCAAGCTCTCATGAAACCATTTTGTTGATCTACGCGGAAAAGCAAGTCATGTAGAATAGCTAGCATCAAGTTACCGAAACGTCTGGTTTGCCTCCTAGCTAGTACATAGATAAAAAAATTTAGTCTGTTGTAAGTCAAACCATCGATTGGGGCATCGTTGTGTAAGCACCAACTAGCTAGAGCAACTTGCACTCGACTATTGTGAAAGTTGTAGACACGCCTGAAACAGCTGGAACATAACCAACACTGGTGCCAACCAAATGTGCTCGCATATTGGAAGCTACCTTGGTTGTTTCCCCCCCATCCACTGAGAATGATAAAATACCATTGTCTGAGTTGCCATCTGATAAATCCAAAATCATGGTGACTTGTTGTGATGCGCGTCCATTGTTGGCCGTGTTGCCAAGGCATTCACCTGTCACACCATCTTCATATGCATACCCAGAATTGGGAGAGAAACCCCAGCAATTCTTCTGTTCGCTGCAAGACTTTTTGGGATGCAGCTTGTGCGTCGATTTTGTGACACCAAGCCAAGAACCAAAAACATTGCTTGAACGATCTGCTTGGAGAATCCACTGATACTTTCCACCCAACCCCAAGATGGGCCCAGCCAACACATCACTCTCCCAACCGTAACACATTTTTTTGCTAGTAAATACTTTGGATTTGGCATTCTTCCACTCCAGCATTTCACCTTCCAGAGTACTTTGTTTGCAAAAAGAAATATTGTGCTCATGTTTGGCTTTCTTTGCCTGTTTCAACAGGGCACTCGCTAGTTGGTTATCGTGCACCAAGCCAGATGACACCACCAGATTCTCCAAATCATCAGGATCAATGAATTCAAGTTCCACATAGTCTTGAATCAAGGTCTTGGCAGGTCTATCGCCGGTAGATAAGGGCCTCATTTTAGCTCCTTGATTCCTTACTATGGAGCCTCTTGGCTTAAAGTACCGGTACGTGTCCACCGGATTGGAATAGAGTTTTATTGGGCAAATGGATATGCAACCAGCCAGCCATCGAAGGGGTCATTCTAGCTAGATAGCACCCTATCCTAAACCGTCTTTGAATCACGCCTATCCACAACTACACTTAGTGTAGTAGAAGCATAGATGTAGCTACAAGCTACCGCAGAAGATCCATTCTCAATGTGGATGAATATTGAAGGGTTTGCGTACTCTATTACCACAGCTATTACACCGTACCACAGGCTTGGTAAAAGGAAAATTGGTTTTCCTGGTTCAAGTTCACGAGCTTTGGTACCGGTACAAGCTTGCAGAGCGGTGCCACGGTGGCTAGGAACAGCAGGATCCAAGAAGATCCAACGGCCAGGCGCAAAACCAGGCCAACTCGCAAAGCAGGCACCACAATTTGGCTTCTCTTATGATCGAACCAGCATCCAACATCCAACCCCAGCACAGGCTCACTCTGGCTCGCCACTTGTACTTATATTTCATGCACTCTATCGTCTACCGTACCACTTCAATTGCCCCTGCCTACACTCCTGGACTAGGTTCATTATTTCTGACATAAATTATTTATTTGAAGAAGAAAACATGACACCCAACAACCTATCTACAGAAACAACAACACCAACTCCCACCGAGGGAAACATCATGCCACCACCAACACTCAAGTGTCTCCAATTCAATGTCTGGCTGGATGCCACACGAGTCCGGGAAGGCTTGGAGCTGACTGCCGATGCCATTATCGACTCCAAGGCTGATATTGTCTCCTTGATTGAAGTCAAGAATTTCACAGGCGACTTTGTAGGGCGTCTCAAGAAGGCGTTAAAGGCGCGAGGGGTTGACTTTTACGGTAGCTTTGCCGGCAATCCCTTCAAGCTGAGCATGGATGCCGATACGGCCATTCTATCACGTTATCCCATTACGGAGCAAACGGTTGTCTACAGAACGTTGGAGAATTGTATCGTGAGATCCATTGTCCAGGTCAATCATCATCATCAAGATAACAAAACGCCGCTTCCAGTAGCCGTCTACTCGGTTCATTTGGAATACCGCAGTTACACGTGTTACCTACCGCGAGGCTATAACAGCTTTAGCTGGAACTTTCCAGGGTGGAAAGCAAGGCGGTCTCCAAAGTCTTGGAAAGAAATGATCTTTTGTCAACCGGGAAATCATCCATTAGAACCCATGGTGGATCCACAGTTGATCCACGAGGATAATATGCAATCCGGACGACCACAAGCTATTGAAAAGCTAATGGAGGATGCCGCTACCTTGTCGGACACTGTTGCGGCCGTGATTGTCATGGGCGATTTCAACGAGCCATCGGCTCTGGATTGGACCAAAGCTACCGCACAAACGGTAGATCACAATGGTCTCGTCTACGAATGGGATTCCACACGCCTGCTTCTCGAGAATGGATATGTCGATAGCTACCGAGAGCTCTATCCGAACCCCGTCACACATCCCGGGTATACATGGCCATCGGCAGCGCAGGGGAATGGCGCGACCCACAAAAAGAAGACGGATTGGGCCAAGTTGTCCGATGAACGGGATCGAATTGACTTTATCTTTTACAAAAACAACAATCCCCAGCAACAACAATTATCATTAAAAGCCCACGATGCTCACTTGGTCGGAACACCCATCATGACCGCGAGGGATACCTTGGTGGACGAGTCGGATTTGCCGTATGAGGACAAGATCCATTACGGAATTGAGGCACCTTGGCCTTCCGATCATCGAGCCGTTTTGACCGAGTTTCGTCTAGTCGGTGATGCTGCCCCGGCCGTTGCTGCATCTGGCATCAATGGGACGGTAGGATCTCAAACTTCTGAGACGCCCCTCCAAACCCCTCTCCTATAGGCAGGTTCGGTGGGACTTAGTATGTTTGAAGAAAGTGTTCAGCTGGCTCAGTCTGGCCTGGAAATGCAATGCCCCCAACTTGCTACTGTATTCTCAAGCAACCGTTCCATTGGGAAATGCTGAGCGCGATGTACATGTAGTACATGTAGTACTATTTTGAAGATTTTGTATTGTTGAAAGAGCTGGCTCATTAGCCAGGAAATGATAGAACACACGCCCAATATATCTATATATGAATAGATAGATGTAGGAAGCAACTTAGTAGCCAAGATCATCCAGCCAGTCTAACATACTATTGTTGGTCAATGGTCATCTACCGGTAGCTAGTGAGTGCTTTGCAACAGGGAGGGGGTAACACTCTAAATGCTCTGCCAAGTTTAAAATTGACTTTGCCGAATAAGAACAAACCCACCCTTCGGCGATCAACCTTGCTAGAGCTAGCTAGCTAGCAACACAAAATGAAGCTGAGTGTGAGTTTAAACTTAATCTTGTCTTTTGACGATTTTGCATTGCTGAAAGAGGACTGTCAATCAGTTGGCCAAGCAAGAAATGGCTGGCAGACCATCCCTCGCAACAGTAGGAATGAAGACTACTGTATGCAAAGAACAAATTACATGAATAGAAGCAAGAAGCAACTTAGCCAAGATCCATTCTGATGGATGAATGGTCAGCCAGCCACCGATCAGGTTCACTTTGCAACTTGTAATCAACCATACCGTAGTGTACTGGTACCGTACCGGAGCCTGACCCACTGCCGGCTTCCCTAGCTAGCTAGATCATTCCGTATGCCAAACTCTACATGTACCCAATGTTTCAAGTGGCTACGACCGAAACCTTGGGCATTGCGGTGTCGAGCGACTGGTCAACTTGTAATTTGCAATCAACCATGCATCTATCACTGTAGCCTGGCCCACTGCCGGCTTCCATAGATCAATTCCCTATGCCAAACTCTACACCTCCAATGCTTCAAGCGGCCATGACCAAAACTTTGGGTAGTGCCTTATCGCGGATAGGATAGCGCGACCAGCTCCTCCGGAACCGGTACCACACCACACCTTGGCAAGATCAACTTGGAACCATTATCTTTTCGTAAATCCACCCGGGCGGAAGAAGAAAGATCCGCCAATCGTGTGAAATTGTGGGGTATCAACAGGGGTATAACCAAATACTATCATGTAGCCCGCGGATAACCTAACATGTTGTCTACCTCTCTTTACAACCCTTGGTCATCGGACGATCTGCAAAGGTGAACGATGCCAATAAAATGAGCGAAGGAAGAGAGAACATGCCCCCAAACCTCTTTGGTCCCTCATCTTAAATTCTGTCTTTCTCACAATTTCTCTTTCTGCTGTTTGTTGTCTCCCTCCAAAAGGAAAGAAATCAGCCCTAGCTAGCTATCCCTTGACTGAGGAGGATATTGACAATGCCCATCTCCACCAAGTTTGTAGCCATCTTGTTGGCGTTGGCCGTTGGTCCTTCTGCCGTGTCGGTGGTAGCACAAGCGCAAGATGACGCTAGTAACGCCACTGCAATGACATTGAATGAGACGATGATGATGATGATAATGACAGAATCACCAACTGAGGAAGTTATTCCGTCCGAAGAATCCATTCAAGTAGAAGATGAAGTTACCACTCCAGCACCCACACCGCCTCCCACCGATGCGGCCATGTCATTTGGATCCGTCTCCATGACATTGCCGCCCCGCACGCCGTCACCGACATCTTCCTCGTCACAACCGACCTCACAACCCACGGGTCCACCACCCCGATCGTGCAGTACCACACCCGTCACACAGACGGAAATCCAAACCATTCGACAAGCCATTGAAACGGTCATTGACAATGCCAACGTCAACATGGCACCCAAATTTGTGCGGCTTGGATTTCATGACTGCGTCGGTGGCTGCGATGGCTGTGTCGACATGAGTGATCCAGAAAATGCCGGATTGGAAGTCCCCATTCAAGCTCTGCAAGAAGTTGTGACGACCCATGAAAATGAATGCATCAGTCGGGCGGATATCTGGGCATTGGCAGCACTGGTAGGAGCCGACGTGACACAAAGTCAAGAAGATTTTGACATGGTCTGGGTGGGCCGTCAAAATTGTGCTGGTGTGACAGATCCCATGAGTGGACCCGTTATCCAAATGCCCAGTGCCGACATGGACATTCACGGATTACTTGGCTTTTTCAATGACGAGTTTGGCTTTGATGCTAGACAAACCGTGGCGCTCATGGGCGCGCACAGTATTGGAAAGGTCGATGAAGACAATAGTGGTTTTGTTGGACGGGGGTGGGATGATGACGAGGAAGAATTGGACAATGACTATTATCAGCAGTTGCAAGATAATGTGCGATGGAATCAAGTCAATGCTAATCGCTTTCAATGGGAAGGTGGTGATGGCGGCAGTGGTGATGCCGATGAAGATGGAATCATCATGTTGAATGTAGACATTGCACTCGTCAGGGACTTTTCGGGAGACATGGGCAGTGACGGAAGAGTCAATTGTCGATTCCGTAATGGTGGTGGAGGCGGTGGTGGAGGCGGTGGTGGAGGAGGTGGAGGGAATAATCGGTTTGTCCGTGCCCTACAAAACAACGTATGCCCCAACTCGTCCACACGCAGCATTGTGGAAGACTACCAAGACTCCAACAGTCAGTTCCTCAGTGATTTCCATGACGTCTTTAACAGACTCTTGGTTCATGGATACGACACAAGCAGCGGATGCAGTACCACTGATCCATGCCGATTCGCGGGAGTTCCACAAGAAGGGGCACAAGTCTCTGTAGGACGCAGCGGCAATCCAGATGATATTTTCTTTTAGAATAGCGTCAATCCAATTTGTAGAGCTTGGGTTGCATGAGTGGCTTTGAATGAAAAGCAACCTCTAGCTAGTTTCCTTGGCTTGCTACATCCAATAAAGCGCTTATGATTTTGAGTCCACTTGAAGAAAAGGCAGTATCATTGTAGCTCTGCTCAATTGTCTGGTCCACGGATACATTAGACAAGGCCAAGCTTGCTACTAGCTAGTTATGCAGTGCGTTTGCTTGCACCTTTCTGGAAAGAGGATAGGAGGCCGCTTTGCACAAGATAAGGACGAGTGATGCTTTGTCATGATTGGCTGTCCGTCGCTGTTCGAACTGCATCTTTCTGGGAACAAGCTTTCATCTTTATAGTTTGGACTAAGTTGTGGTCACTGGACCTTTCAAACACATCAGCTACAGTATCATCTCCACTTCTAGCTAGCTGGGTTTGGGCTCGCATGGTTCCTTGCTTTTGACAATCACCTCGCTCACATGGTTCCTTGCTGTGGAAGCTAGAAACCAACCAAGTGCTTCTCCGGCAAAGTTCCAGAACACCGTTGCTCCTTTGGTTTGGTTCGCATATCAATGTTATACCTCTGTTTGCAAAACCTGGCAGCACAACAATGCCAACAGGAACCCCAACTTTGTCCTACTGCATGTCCAGTACCACCCACATGACCCACCCTCCTACAAATCCAACAGGCCTGGAGGGAACAGGTGGCCGAGCCACCCAACAGGGCGCCCCTAGCCATCACGAGGCACCCTGTCACCTAGAAGCAGCCCAACATCCAGTGATTCATTGTTGCCTAACAGCAGGCCGCCCAACCTTGGAGATCTACTCTCCCGGCATACACTAGATGACCAAACTGGGGCCCCAGCCTCTTCTTACTACAAGCCCGTGTAGAGGTTTTGGAGCCCCCGTTGGAGCCGGGAGCAACCCAAGGTTGCAACCTAGAACCTATTGAAATCCCATCGCGAAACTCACACTTTGATCCTTCCTGAGTTTGGATCTCAAGCAGCGCTGCTTTCAGTAGAGACTAATGATGTAGTCCCCAAGACTGCTTTAATTCTTGTAGACCTACTAGTGTCAAGTGAACGGTGTTCGCAGCTTCGCCGCTCACCCTGTGTGTATACCGCCACGGTCACTCCTGATCCCCATCACTGAATGCTAGCTCACTGGATTTGCATCTCCATCCTTTCAAACAGTTCTTGGTCAGGAGGAACCTTGAGATCAGCATTGCCATTGGCATTTGAGTATTATTTCATTTTCAGCCTTATCTTCTGGCTTGACAAGCCAAAGTTACGCTTTTGAAAGGGAGAAACATCTTTGTTCGCCACGCACAGCCCAGGCAGCCTCTTCTGAGGGTTCAAGGAGCGAGGGGTGCTGAACTAGGCAGGGCTGGGCAGCGGTCGTGAGGAATCACAGGGAGAGAGCAGGGAGGAGGGGAGCACGGCAATCGCGTTCGCGGTTGCGAAGGACCTTGTGAGGATCCTTGCGACTATGAGAAGCAGCATTCAGATTGATGACACGAACATCAAATTTGCCGTCAGTTCTAGGTTGCCAGAGGCCACAGATAAGGAGATCGCCTCATTCCTCGGATGGGGTGAGAAGTGTAGGTGAGTCGCTGGGAGGCAAAGCATCCGTAGCTGCATAATGACTTAGATGGAGATGGGGTTCGTCGCGGACTGCACTAGGGATGAATGCCTTGGCAACAAGACCACAAAGTTCGTTGTGCACTTCATTATTGCTTGTACAGGAAAATTGCTTTCTCTCCACATCCATCTTAGTGGTGGGGAGTTCGGAGGGTCTCTGATCGTAGCGCAAGTGCAATGCATCGTGGAATTCCTGGGCAGCAAGAACAGTGTTGTTCTCAGGCACCAGAACCACATGAAGCCAGTTACCAGTCTCTGGGGCACGCTTCACAACAGAATGAGGCAAGGTACTTATTAGAACCTTGTGAAGGTTCTTTTGCAGCTGCAGCTTTGGGGCGATCACGACCATCAGACACTGCCTGACGGTGATCCCGAATGTGGAAATTCGGAATTATTGGGAAGGATAACAGAGACTGATCATACTGCGGATGTCCTGACTTGCACTGTTATTTTCGTCAACAGTGCTAGTGGGATTGGGAAGGGCCAGGCCTGCTGCTTTGACAAAGAAGCGGGTAAGTTGGCGGGTGGGAAGCTCCGAAAGATGAGCTGGGAGAAAGGTGTTGGTGAAGGCTGCCTCAATGGCAGCAAAAGAAATGGCAGAGCACCTGGTCACCCGCTGCACAAACTGCCATTTTTGATGTTGAAGAGACTTCTGCAGGCCACAGTAGGCAGATGCGGGTATTTGGAGCAGACTTCAGAGGAAAGCACTACAGAATGTTCCCACCCTCGGGTTTGGGATTCCAGCCAAGGGGCGAGCGCAAATGCAATGCCTATGAAGCCACCCAAATAATGAGAACGATATGTCATTTTAAAAAGTTATATCTCTGAAATACAACTTGGGCAACTGCATGCTTCATGCATCACTTACTTTTCAAGTTTAGCACCCAACCGTGACACTTTCCCCCGTCCTGGACACCCAAAGGTATCATCAAGCAACTTTGATGCTTTAGTTTGCGGGAGTGCCCCACTCGCCAAATCGAAACAGTCGAGTTCTCATACAAGGGACTTCAAGGGGCACAGTGCCAGAGTCAAGTTCGCTCGGAACTCGGAAGTTGAAACAGCTGTGCAGTAAGATAGATGCTTCAGTCTGCTTTCGGCAATACTCCCTGACTTGAAGTTTACAAGGCTCTTAGTGAGTCTTAATTCTCGCAGAAAGCCCCACGGAAGTCATGATACCAAGCCCTTTTGAGTTCTGGCACAATGCAAATGGATCTACGAGCCCTTTTGCATTATAAATCATAGGTTTCATGAGCAGCTCATGAGCACAGTTTGACACGGACTTAAAAAATGAACATCCAGCTGGACATTAGTGTCATCTCCCTAAGTCGTAATGCGATCTTGTAAATCCTTTTTTCACTCATTTCCTTGCATTCTTTCTCAGACTGTCAGCTGTTTGAATGACCATAAAGAATCTTTTTGCTTCGAAGGGTAATAGGGGATATAGAACACAGCTAAACATAACCTTTACCTTTGGAACAGACTTCGTTTCCTTCAATCCCGTTATTGAAGTGTCTTGGCATTCTTTCAAAATAGATGTCTCAAATGTCTTTGCTACAACATTATCACCTTTGTCGATACTTAAGCTGGTTTGCCTGACATTTTCTGACACGAGTTTCGAATTGCCTCTTGAATGTTGGATGAGACTTGGATGAGACATATGAAACCAGATGAAAAACGAATTGTGAATTGTGTGTGTGCACTTTTGCGACCTCGACAGTGGACTCGACGACTCGACAGTCATAACACTCATAACCGACCAGTGGCTATTGCAGTATAGCTGCAGTGTCCAGGACGGCAGTAGAGCTTTTTACTCCGCTTTTGGTGGTACAGGCTATCATAATACGGTACTGGAGATGTGTAGTACCCTTTTACAGATTTAGTTGATGTACGAACGCCTCCACAGAAACGAGTACTGTATCTTCATAAGTAAAATTTAGTACCGACAGGCAGAAGGAAACTCATCGACAACATGCGTCTTAAGAGACGCGCTACCATGAGACAAGAGCGATCTTGGCTAGTAGCTAGCTACTAGTCTACCGTAGAGCTTAGCCACCCAGCCAGTGACTGCAGCAGCCACGACGAGACCACGAGCAATAGTCCTTAGTCTTCTTTGGGTCGGGCTGTTGGTTGTTCCTAAAAACTTTTGCAATCTTGAGGTAGGTAGCTAGCGTTCCTGCCAACTAGCTAGCTAGCTACTGATAGGAGCATTGGGGAGGAGTATGGTGGTAGTAGGAAAGCAGTTGGTTGCTTGGTTGGTGACTGGATCTAGCTAACAGAAGGACTTTCATCGTTACCAGTAGCGGGAAGAAGAGACTTTATTGGCCAAGTTGGCTGGACAACCCCACCACCTGACGAAGCTCCAGGTTTTGCGCAGTCTAACTCTATTAATAGCTAGACAGTCTAGAGGAAATGACTTGTGTGTGTGTGTGTGTGCGTGTGGTGCTAATAAAAATGTTATGCTGATGTACAAATAGACTAAATTGGCTGGCAAAGTATGATGCTGGAGGCTTTGGGATGCAGGAAGGCCACTTGCTGCCTTTTTGTTTGGTTAGGTATCTTCAGTTCAGGGTCTGTCCAGGCTTGCATGCTGCTGCTTTGTGCACATGATCAGGTCTTGAGGTCTGCCTTTGAGGTTGCTTTGTTTGTAGCTACCATGTTTAGAGAGCAAATCTTGGTGTAGCAGAGGCACAGACAGTGCTGTTGTCCACTTCATGAAAAAAGGGCATTTCTTGAAGGGCATCAAAGGGGTTGCTGCTCATGCTCATGCTGGGAACAACAGGTGCAGCAAAGTTGAGGGTGTCTGCAAAGGCTCCAAAGAGAGAGCCACTTGGAGCAGCATCAGAAGAGGAGCAGATGGGAGTAGGTTCAAAGGGGTTGGAGTCTTGGAAGTTGATCTTGTTCATGAACATGGAACTAGAAAAGACAGACAGAGCATCCGCTTGAGCTTGCGTTGCCGCTTGCTGTTGTTGCATCATCATGTGAGGCATTTGGAGGAACTGCTTTTGGAAAAAGCCAGGAGCTGTAGACAAGCTATTGTTCAGGCTCTTTTCGGGAGACACACATCGTGCTCGTTTCTTGGAGGGCTCGTACATCAAGCTGCTGCTGCAGTCTTCTCCTTCACCTTCTCCTTGTAGAAGGTCTCCTTCTTCTGGCTTGGTGATGGATTCCCGGCGTTCTTCCTTGCGCTTTTGCTTTTTCATTTCCTTGGAACTGCGGTACTTGGAGTACAGGGCATCCCGAAAGTGCTGCGCGGTGGTGGTACGGACGGCATGTTCCTCCACGAGCGCCCAACGACCGTTTCCCGCTTCACGGACAAAGTTGCCCGTCTCGCGGACCCGGGCCACCAAACGAGAGATCACTTCGCTCTTGCCCGCCTTGTTCTCGGCAGCGGCGTAAGCGTGCATTTCTTCGTGGACAAGAGTCGAGTAGCGGAGATTTCCCGAGTGCTTGCTGTGCTTCTTACCACGGCCAATGATGACATGGGTCACATTGGGCAGAAAGTCTTCAGGGAGCATCGTCAAGGCGCGGGACATGGTAGAGGGTGGCATGGTGATGTTGTGTTGGTATTTTTAAAATAAAAAATTGAAGGTAGTGTGATTGTGAGGATAGTAGTGGAACTGCAATGGGAAGTGGTAGTAGTGAGAATGCGAATGCTACCAAAAATATCCTAAAGTTGGCTGGAAGTTTGGCTGATGAAAGCGTTTGCGGTTAAGGCAAATTGAATTTTATGAGAGGGAGGAGGAAAGGTCGTACGGTAGTGATATTTATTTTCACAAAGGTCATTGAGAGCCGAGAGCTATTGAGGCAAAATAACCTTTTTGATGGGAAACCATGCAACATGCAACGTCAGAGTTCCTTTGACACCCTTTTGCCATCTTGCCCACTGACTGGTAAAAACAACCACACGCCACCAGGACAAATAATAACTTCCACCTCCGAAGAGGAAGTTTGCATCCGCAAAACTCTGTTTTAAGTATCTCAATCTCCAAAGTCCGACCAGTGAGCCCCTTAGAAGTACAGCTGTTGAAACCAAATCTGTCTGTCAAAGGCCACACAAGGTAAACTCTACCAAAATATAGTATTAGGGACAACTTGAGGGGCTTACTAGATAGTTGTTTCAAAAAGTGTTCCATTGTCGTTTAATTGAAATGGAACTTAAGATCAGTGCAAGGAACTTACATTGCTATTTTACCAAGTGACTCTTCACAATAGGTGTTAAAGGCTAAGCAGTCATTGGAGGTCTGACGTTTACCAAGCCGTTACTTTACTACAGAGCCACAACAGGACTTCTTTAGCTAGCTAGCTAGCTACTAGCTAGCTAGTCTGTATGTGCCTCCACCGGTACAAATGCCGGTTCAAGGCTTCTACTGTTCCTGAGTAGCGAACTAGCTGTATTATCCACCCAACCCAATTGTTATTGCACCATCTAGCTGACACTGTTCATGCATGTTCTTTTGTTCTGTTATCTTCTCTAAGCAGCTTTGATAGTCGCGTGAAGGTGGAATTAACCATGTCCCAATGACGAGAAGTACTGCTCCAGAAGCTACTCCAGAATCCATTGTATTCGGATCCAAGCTGAGGAGCTGCTAGTATGCTATGGCATAGTATGTGGGTTGAAGAGCTGGTGAAGAGGTTGAGGACAATCGGGGAAGAGGTGATAATGGCTTCAAGGAACGGAAGGAATTGTAGCGTTCGTAGGCGAATTAGCTTTTAACAGAGTTCAGTAGCTGTTCAGTGACGTAGTCGATGCTTATTAAGCACTTCAATATGTATGTTAATATCTGACGTGGAAGATAAGAAGCGGACACGTCAGGACGAGTGGCAACGTACTCGTAGTAGAGAATTAGCATTCTTTGTTTTCTCAAGAGATTGGCTTGGAAAAGATCCAGGAGCTTCCAGGCGACTGACTCAGATGCTTCTGTCAAGCATGGTATATCGGTCCCGAATTCGAATGGCCACTAGCACGTGGATTCGGATTGAGTTGTAATAATGCTAAAACTTCCAAATGTTTCACTATGCCAGTTGAGTGAAACTCTTAAATTCACTGGGTCAAAAAGTCTTGGGAGAAGTCAAGTATGACCTGTGAAAACCTGTTCCGCTCCAAATGTGATCTAGGGTGTGGCATTCAGTCATTGCTCCGCTCCCAGAAAGGGCACCGTTCATTTTCTTCCCGGCTCGGATGGTCAGGTGGTGGTTGCTGCTGCCACACTTTTCTTGAAGATGCTGGAGGCCGACAGAGAGATAGCAGCTGAGATGCTGAGATACTAGCTAGTAGCTATGAGTGTATCCGTGTACACCACGTACACACAGTACTCCTTTTACTGCCGGCCTTGTCTCTTGGTTTCGTTCTCTGGGGGCTTGCTGTTTTGTTTGCTTTGCAAAGCAACCACATCCCTCCTTTGCTTCTCTTCCCATTCCGATTTGGAGCCAATCAAGGATCAACCGCGCAACTACCAAATTCCCATCTAATGCGTGGCAGCATTGTCAAAGTTGCCAAACTTTTACTCCGGCTGCACCTACTGCCCACTTTTTGATGAAAAGTACTACATACATGTAACATCATCGGGCACTGAACGGTTGCCGAGTCGAGTCCACATATTGAAGATTTGGCAGTTCGTCTTGTTGCCCTCCTTGTACTGACGATGGTCTCGACATGACGATACGGTGTAAATGGTACATTGTTGCTGGCTGCATCCACATGTTTTGTTCCTATTGCTTCCCCGCCGTTGCGGTCTGAGGCATTGTCACCCATAACTAGTTGCACGCATACTTGTTAAAAGACCACGCGCAAAAGACCAAACCGGAACATTAAATTTTCGCAACGGATAGTTCCATCCCTACAGAGACGGACCACACTTCACACTTCAATACTAGTAATAACATGGCTAGCTGCCGTAGCTGGCTAGCTAGCTGCCAGGGACAGAGACTGCTTTCAACAGAAAGATGCACCTTACTAGCTTGCTAAAGTGTTATTGCAATGCCATGTTTGCGTTGCCTTCTCATGCCTTGGAAGTGGAAACTAACAAAGCAGTGTACCACTGACAACTCAATGCAAAACCGTTTTGGTGCTTCCTCAATGATCTTTAGGCGCACGTGGCTTGGCCTTCTCACAACATACCAGTGTTCCTTGCCTAGCTAGTAGCAACTCAGCTGCGTTTCCTTTGAAAGGCAATCTTTCTTGGCTTCAAAGCAAGCACGTGTAGATCTAAGTGTGTGTGCATGTGTTTGCAGATTTCGAGACTTCAAGTGAGAGGGGCCAACGCAGATTTGAGATTTCACTTCATGCTATCAGTCTTCAGTCTATTATGCGATATCTCGCTCTACCTGCCTAGTATCCAGCCATCTTGCGGGGTTCCTTTCTCGGGCACGTGAGGCTTATTGCTGACCTCGTGCTTCTCGTCGTCTTTGGGGTTGATTAGTGAGGCTTATTGCTGACCTCGTTCAAACGTAGCAATGATGGTTGGAGGATCTCCTGCGCCTGGAGCGCCTCACTTGTTCCGTACGAGACAGTGATTTCGGAACTGATGAGACAGCTGTGGATCAGGAATTCTTCAGTTACTACCTATGATGGCGGAACGAAGAGATGCCTTGATGATAATTGGGAACAACAAAGCTTATAGCAAGGATATCGTATCGTATCAATTCTCCTTCAAGACGCTCGTATCCCTTCTTCGACTGCCGTCGGTCGTGGTCCTCTTTCTCTATGAGATGGGCGGCGATTGGCAGCTGCAAATTTCTTCAAGATTGCTTCCTTCTGATTGAGCTTCAATCACCTTCTTGGAGGCAGCGTGGGTCCGAGTGAATGATCTTCGTCTGATGCGGGGACGATCGGCCACCGTTTCTTTGGTTGTGATTTGGTTTCGAGCAGTCGAGTCCTCCGCGCGTGTCAAACCCTCTGGGTTTAAATTGCAGTCGTGGAACGTTGATACCCCGAGACTGGTACCGGTACCGGTGCTGGTGATGGTATGTACCGGAGCTGGTACCGGTACATACTAGTACGTACGTACCGAAGCTGCCATTGCTTCCTCCGTTACACTTGCCAACATGCACTGGTGTCGGTATGGACTGACTCCATGTATACGTCCATAGCCGTAGCGATTGAGCACAACGAAGAGGCAGAAATGACGATGCTCCTTTTCAACTTCCGCTCAGACTAATGAATCATCCTTAGATCACAGCCTTCATCTGACTTGTTCATCAACAAGCCATAGTTGCTCCGACAAATGAACCTCTAAGTTCCAATGCCGCAGTTGGCTGCAAGTTCTCAAGAAGGACGAGGGTGACCGGGCAACCGCGCAAAAGCCCCCAGGATGCTCATCACGACAAAGGGGTGAGACTGCGCATGGGTGCATGTTGACCGAGTGGCTACAATCCGCGATGGTGGAGAAGTGAGCATGGAGATTGGGTCATTTTCCATGAACCACCTGTTGCTTCAAGGCGGCCCAAAGAAGCAGCTTGTCTTACTTGAATTCTATAGCTAAGGCAAGAGTGCGGGGTCAACTGGTGCACCGTTCAGTTCCATTCGATCAGTTCCACTTGCTTGTGGTGACGTAGGTATCCTGTAGAAGGAAACATGAGGAGGCAACAACAACGTGCAAGTTCATTCTGTCGGACGCTTGTTCAATCACATCGTAACGATATGAGCAAGCGGCAGCTAAAACCTAATGATGAATACGACATCGGTTGTATTCTGCGTGAAGGGACAGAAGAACAAGCAACCGAGCATCCCAAGGAAGCCAGTTGAGATGAAAGTGCGGTTTGTACAATGGAAGATGCAAAGGCTACATTCCATGGTCATGGCTGGGCAGCTCTAGGCTATAAGGTAGAAGCTATGCTCTAGTTTTCCAGTTGACGATCGAGCTGGTAGACCTGAAACTACGAGCAACCCCCTTTTAAAAGAAAATCTCGGGAAAGCAACAATGCAGAAATGCTTCTTCTTCTTCGGGTGCTGTGCCTGGAACCTTAGTGTTTGGGGTTACCACCAAGTTCTTGATGCTTCAGCCATTCTGGACGATTGGAGTACTTGGCTGCTTTGCTTGTCAAATCAACAGATGCACTTGCTCTCAACTGAGAGCAGCTGATCCAGATTCGGAAAAAGAATCGCCTGTTGTGGCTATTTGGCTGCTCCAGTATCTCCTTTGGTCGTAGACTAATAGTGCAATTAGACAGAGCTGAAATCTGCAAAGGGCAATGGCTGGAATTTAGAGCAAGAAGGACACCAAAGGCATTACGCAGGTCGACGGCCGCCTTCGAAGAACTGGGAAGCAAAAATTACCACAGCACGCGCCATACCGGTACATGTTGTAGCTACCCAGAAGATGCTAAGGACTTGTGAGACGAAAATAAATGTGTTTCAGCCACACCGGAGAAGCAAACTGAGTTCGTTTCATCTTTCCGAGCTGCGAAAAGCGATTAGGCCATTGAAAATGCATAGCCAGAACACACTTGGGTTGCTTGAGGTTGCTTGAAATGTTCTAGTAGCCAGCTAAAGCTTTGTTGTGGCACATGCTACCCAGTACCGGTACCGGGGCCATCACGATTAAGCCCAGAGCTTAGAGGGGTATAGTGCTTAACTCCCTAATTAGAAAGGGAGAGGAGAAGTTGGCCATTGTCCTTTTACTGTGAAGCTTTGTACATTTGAGATCCGTAAAGAAATCCAAAGCAGGTGAAAGTTGTTGGAAAGGGGAGACGCTTGTTTCTGGACAATGACTCTTTGCTTGACCAGTAGACCTTAATAGCAATGTTTTACTAAGGGATTTTCACTGGGTGAGGCAAGGCGCCCACACCATCCCATCAAATTTTGCCATTGAAACAAAAACCGATCGGACACACGAAGAGATGGCTGTGGACGAGCAAGGGGCAAGAGCGATAGACAAGTGCCATCGTGCCACCACCAAGCTACTAGTATGCCCTGCCAGTGTAGCCCCAGTATCGACCCAACTCCTTCAAACCAGTCTGGGTACCTGTGGGTGATGTGCGATCCTCTTTCGACTTCCGAGTACCGGGACGCACCGGTACCGGTACCGGTATCCAGCTTCGCCCTCCTCCTCTCCTCACAAACTGCACAACTATTCAGCACCTCTCATAATTTCTTCTTCTCTGTCAAACAAAAGTAGTACCATGAGTTGCGCTCTCTCCCAATACTTTCAGCAAATGCAAATGGCTCCATCCGAAGAGCTTCAGTTGGTGCAGGATACAGCGGGTGCCCTGGCGAGCTACAGGTTTCACCAGCGTGGTGGACGCAAGGAACGACGACGACAGGGAATGCGACGATGGGACAGCAGTGGTAGCTTGGGAAGCAGCACCAGCAAGAACCTCGGTTTGGTCTCGGACTTGTCGCCACAACGACCTCGTCGAAACATCAGTGATGAAAGTGAGAGTGACTACCTTCCCCCAGCTCCCGCCTTGGATCCCCGCAGTAGCCCTCGACACGTGAAACATCAAAGGAAGAGCAGTAATACCGGTAGGCCACGATCTCCCACAAGATCCAGCCGAGGGATGCAAGAGTAATCACAAGACAGTCAGCCTCCCTCAAAAAACAGCGCTAATCCATGGTGATATGTACAGTAAACTAATATAAAGCTAGAATCAATCGCAAACTACTATTGAACGACCACAGTCATGTACATCGGTAGCCCTATTCACATGCTGCATCGCTTCGGTCGTCGTATGTACCGTACCGGCACCAGTATGATCACTTCCTTTAACATCGATTGATCATTCGATCATTCGTCATTCGATTGAATGATATCATTCTATTGGATTCCATTCGCACCGACACTTGTCTGTGCGAAGCCTCCAATACCGGTGCAGTGTACCGGTACCGGTACGGTACAATGTAGCCTGAGGTGCGGACCAAAAGACAACAAATTGTCACCGATTTCTTACGGTAGAGCACTTACCGTAGTCGAATAGATTGCTAGTAACATTGCTTGGATATATTCCTCCCGGCGCCCATGTCGGGTCGAGAAGGAGCGTGACAATGGGTTGCTAACCAGACCGATCTGTGAGCTCCTACGGTGGACCGCAGCAATACCTATACCTCAAGCCCTAGCTAGCATGATGCATGGAGCTTCGATCAATCTTGCCTCCCTTTCTATCCCAGGACAATGAGCGCACGGCTCAACGAAGTGGTGTTGACTTCGATTCAAATAGCGGACGATCAACCTTGATGAAACGAAAACTCTCGTGTCGGCAATGACTATCCCGGCTCAGATGCCGATGTCGTTGTCCGTGCCTTCGTCTACATTCATGCTCATGTATGTTGCCAAGCGGGTTGGGGTGGAAGGATGAAACGGAGCAGCAGCCGTTCCCACAAGTCATGTTCGAGCGTTCTTTGTCAAGTCACGAATGGAATGAACTTTTCATTCGTACAAACGACAGATGGCTCTGCCCTTGTTCTTCCAAACCACCTCCGAGTTGTCAGTTCGCCCTTGCTGACACAACCAAGCCATCAACCCTCTCGTCGTACCGTATACAAAGAAACGCACACCCCAATCAGTAATGCATAGTTCGCTAAAGATGTCAAAGTCAACAACCATTTCCTTGCTTCTTGTGCTCGCCCTGTGTGATGTAGATTCCTTCACTGCAAGAGTTGCAAGGCGAGCAATCAAGCCGTCGTCATCCTTGCTGTCATCTGGGAAGGGTTGGGAAGACGAAGCTGATTCCAATACCTGGTTGAGCCCCACTGAGGAAGTGGACGATTGGGAGGCCCAATTGCGCCAGCAACGAGATGGCTGGTCCGCGCCACCGACAAGCCCAGAGGACAGCGCCAATCGTAGTGAGACTGACGAAACTGAGAAATTGCTCGATGCCTTGACGTTCCAAGAGGCGACTGAAGTTTCCTTTAATATAAGAGAAGCAGAACGCGCAGATAAAGTTCGTCAAATGGAAGAGTGGGGGTTTGAACGCAGCACGATTGCGTCCGCATTGGAAGTTGCGGTAAAGGAGCAGGCCAATGATGAAATGGAAAGTATGCAAAGATATCTAGAAGAATCCTACCTCGATACGGACGATGCCTTCACTGTAGAAAGCCACACAACGGTACCTCGTGATCCTGACACAAACGAGTCAATCCGTAGCCAAATGGTTTTTGTGGACGAACATGCTTGTATTGGGTGCACAAAGTAAGTCTGGTGGTTCCTTCGCCATGGTGAAACGGGTCCCTTTCAGCCTCGTGCCATCAAATCCTGATTCCCTGTTTTGCTCTTGTTTTGCTCTGCTGCCATCACCGCGAAACACGCAGCTGCGCTGCGGAAGCTCCGTCTACGTTTTTCATGGAAGAAGAAAACGGAAGAGCTCGCGTCTTTGAACAGTGGGGCGACAGCGACGATGCCATTCAGATCGCCATCGATACATGTCCCGTGGACTGCATACACTATGTACCTTTCGAAGAGTTGATGCGATTGGAAGTCCAACGAAGAGATCAGCATATCAATGTTCTTGCTGGTCTCGTGAGTCGAGCGGAACGGGGTGCTGGTAGTGGCATATTTTCGTTGACACCACGAAGCTTCGGATCCAAGGCTTTCACAGATGCACCGCCAATCGACCGCAACTATTATGATCGTGACGAAGTTAGAGCGGAGCTGGAAGCAAAGGAGAAGATTCGACGGTTTGCAGACCGAAGAAGAAGGCTGGAGGAGGAAAGAAGACGAGACAATAAGATTGTGGATTTGTAAAGTTGTCTGTTGGTGCATTCATTCTACACATATGCATCCTCGCAGTGTCTTGAACCGAACGTGAGGGTCCCACACTCCTCCCAACGGTACCGGTACCACTCCTCGTGTGCTGGTGATCTTCACTTTCATGACCCCACCAGTAGTCCAAACAATGTTAATAGCAGACCAGACAATACTCAAACAAACCCCATCTACTTTACCTACAGTGTAGCTACGGGTTCTTCTACCCCCCTCCCTTTCAAAACCAAGACATGCCACTAGCTAGTAGAAGCGACAGTTACTTTGAAGCACAAATCGGGGCACAAAACTGTTCCAACCAAGCGCCCATCTTGGTCATCGCCCTTCACAACGATAGTGGAGCATTGCATGCTCAAAGACGACGAAAGCCACAAACCAAATGGACAAGACCCCCAGAGCCAAGTAGCTTGTGGACATGGGACTATAGCCCAACACACTGACAATAAGACCACCGTCGGAGAGGAGGCACGTGACAAAATCAAAACAATCCTCGTCGTTGGAATAGCTCACATCCTTGTCCAACTGATTCATCACGGCTCCGGAAATAGCCCAAAAGTCAATGGAGAACCAGTGGATCCAACGAATCTCAACGGGAAACTTGTAGCTTGCCACCAATGTACTGCTTAACAGAAAACTCAAGAACAGATAAAAGGTAAACACTTGAACAATACTGGGATTGTCACCCTGAAACAGCACCGCCAGGGATCGTCCGAATTGAAGCGCTACCAAGAGATGGAGCACGGAGAACAGCAGCTGGTTCAAAAAGCTGCCATAGTCCAAACCCACAATGGCATACCCGATGGCTTGCGCCAGAGTCAAGCTCACCACGGGCATGGAAAAGGAAAACATGGAGGTGGAAACTTGAAAGGCCACCAAGGAGATACGCAGGTCGTCTAGTTCCCGTTTGTGAAACTTCCACATCTCGGCGTATTGGAACACTTTGTGCGGAAATACAATGACGGGAATCCCCACCAAGGCCACCGTCAATGCCACAATTCGGAACGTCAGGGTTTCTTGCGTGGTCAAAACCAATGCCACAATGGCAATCGCAACGTTGGCAGGGACAATGTCTTTCTTGAAACCCCAACCGTACTCCAGTTGGACTCGTTGGATCAGTGGTCGGATTTGGCTCTTGACTTTGCTGTCGCAGCAACACATGATGGCTACACAGGCAACTATTCGTTCAACGAGAGAGGTTGTTTCTAGTGGTTGCTCACTGTCGGAATGCTGTAGCGACGAATCCATTTGGTTGTCGTTCTTGGCAGTCTTTGGGGCAACCTCTTCTTCAAGCTTGAATTCCTCAACATCGATAGCCAATTTGCCATTTGTCATGGTGGGCGTAGTACGATCCGTCGAAGGCGTGCTAGTAGTACGATCCGTCGTGGCCTGTGTGTGATCGGTACTGGTCTCCTGCGTGCCCCCCATCAAATCATAGCACTCGTCCTTGGTTGACGAAGCTTCTTGAAACGAATTTCCGTCCATCTCGGACGACGATTCTTCTTCTGCCGATTCTTCGATAAACGACATGTGCATGGGAGTGGTAAACATGGAGGCCCTCCGGTGGTGCGTTGTATTGAAGAGATGCACGCTGTTGTCCAACGCGTTTGTGAACGCCATGCTTTCCGGCAACGAGTCACCGGTACCACTTTCCTGCTGGAGTGTTTGCGTAAATGCTTGAGACATGTACATGGACGTGCGCCTGTGACTGTCACAAAGGAGGCTGTTGAGTCGTGAACTGACAGCTTTGACCCCTCCATCACTGATGCGACTGTTCAATGCCAATTTGCCAGCGCTCACAACCAACAGCCGATCAAAGAATTCCAAAATGGCATCCGATGGCTGATGCACCGTCAGCAAGGCAATGCAACCGCAACGTTCCACAATGTACTGTAGCGACGTCATGACCTGCAACGAGGAAACACTGTCCAACCCACTGAGCGGCTCGTCCAGCAGCAAGATGTTGGGGTCCAGCAATAACGTGGTCGCAATGGAGAGAATCCGTTTCTGTCCCCCACTCAGTTGCGCAATCTTGGTGTCGTAAAACGGATGCATCACTTTGGGTTGTTCTCCGGTACTATGGTTCAGCTTGTTGTTGTTGTTGTTCTTATTCCCACCACGATGAAAGAGTCCCTCGGCAAACATGTATAGATTTTCAAACATGTGTGGATCGGTTCCGTAAATCGATGCACTCCAATACAAGTATTCCGATGGCGTCAATTGTCCAAAGGCAACGGCATCGTCTTGTCTCAAAAATGCCCTTCGCATATTGCGCAAAGCTCCTCCTCCCACCGACATGGACACACGCACTCCCGATCGTTGTAATAACGAGAGCGCTTTGAGTAGCGTCGATTTTCCCGCGCCACTCCGACCACAAATGCCATTGACGGTACCGTACGCGAGAGCGAGTTGCTGGATCTCCAACAAGATCGCTCCCTTGTCGGTTTGGACACGAATATCTTTGAGGGTAAAGTCTTTGCCATTGTTGCGACGTGCGGACAATTCTCGTTGAAGACTTCCGTAGAGGGATCCTCGACGGCCTTCTTCGACCGGCATTGCGGTGGCTGTTGTCAAAAAGTCTTGTTCTTGTTCCGTGGTGGTGGCAGAGGGATGCTGTCGTTTGTATCGGTCGAGTATGGATTGTTGATTTCCTTGTTCGGGTTCTTCTTTTGTCGATGCGATTCGGAGGAGTAGTGCCCCACTGACAAATCCAACTAGCAGTACGGTCCAAAAAATGGTAAAGGGCATCGGTACGGCTCGAAAGGTGGCATCGACCTGGACCATGGATTGACAAGAAGGAGTATCGTAGTCGTCATCGTTGTCGTTGTTGTTGTTTTGTTTGCTGCCCAGCGGCATGCAATTGGGTCCATAACAATCCTCGAGCTGGACATGGAGGGCGGATAATAACTGTCGATTCGTCGTCAATGATGACGATGATTGTTGTTGTTGCTGTGATTGTTGTATGGCATCATCTTCCATAATGACGGCAGTGGTTGTTGTTTGGATCGAGTCATCATCATCATCCACGTTGTGTCCGCTACTAGCAGTACTACTGACAACGAATGCATCAATAATTTGATGAATGGATTGATTTTCAAACTGGACGAGATCCCACGTATCAATGGTCCTCCACGTCAAGACTCGAATATTGTCATTGTCAATGGAAAACCGGGTCGCAAACCCCGTGGCATTGCAGACAATATCAAAATCTTCATCTTCGTAGTTCCCGTAACGACAACTGAGTTCCAAGAATTCCAATGCCGGCAGTAAGAATGTGTGGGTGACACACGAGGCAAAAATCCATTGGACTCGTGATTTTGTTGTTGATGTTTGAAGAGTATTGTCATCGGGTAGTAATAGTAGATTGTTGCTGTCAGTATCATTGCTGTTGTCATTTTGTAACATCATCATTTGCTGCCACTGTGCCAGAATGGCGGTTTCCAAGACTCTTGCTTTTCGTCGTCCTGCCGATTCGACAATGGACCAGGCATCATTGACATCTTCGTGGTCCTCACTGATCTTGTTTTCCTTGTCATGACTGTCGTCCTTGTCGTTGTTTCCACCATCATCAACGGTTCCAGCCGCCAGGGCAAATGTGTCATAAGCCGAATCCAAGACGAGCATGGTATCCGATACAAATGGAGTTGGATTGTTGTCATAATACTGTGTGAGACTGGGATGATGTCGCCACATGCAATGGGATGACAAACAACAGGGCAATGCGGAAATGGGAGAATACAGTCGCGAAATGGGAGCTTGTGGATTACAATACGGGTGTTGGGTCAAATTGACGGTTCGAAGCATCATGTCATTGAAATCCTTGTCGGTATACGCTTGATCACTCAATACCGTGGGAGCATCCAAAATGAATTTGACATTTTCGGCGTGTGCGTCTGCTAGAATGCGTCTTATGAGTGGCAATTGGTTCATGACTCCCACGGCTCCAGCACTCAATCCCACCACGACGACTTGAGTGATATTCTGATTGGGCAATAAATCCTTTATAGCCAAATCTTTCCACAATTCCAGAGAGGCTGTCAAGACGTGTTCTCCACCGTGGATAAAGTTGCTGTCACTGGCTGGTGTGGTTTGGGAACCGAGAAAGAAATCCTGTGTGCAATAGGGCAAGAGCCATTTCCGGTACTTGTGAAGCGTAGGATTCTTCGCGGCCAGAGACGAAAGGATGGTGTGTCCTTGAATCTGTGGTGGGAGTTGCTTAGATGAAAACTTGAAGGGTTCCATCTCGTAGGAATCGAGACAATCGGATGGATCCGTACACGCGCCACCGCCTGTCAAGACAATCACATGTCGTGTCACATCCACGGGATTTGCCGCATGGACGTCTTCGACAAACATTCCAGCGGGACTTCCGTCGGCGCATGTAGGAATAGTAGTAGTACTCAAGTCATCACTAGTGTCTTCAAAGGGAGTCCACAGCAGTGCAGCGTCAATGGCTTGGACTAGTAGTTGTGCTAGTAGAAGCAGCAATAGAAGTACTGGATTGGATTTGTGTCTTCTTCTTCTGCCAGCATGACCATACACTGACCTTGACCTACTCATACCAATACTCATACTCATACTACTTGTACTACTACTTGTACTAGACATGGCTCTTATTCTTCTCTTCATCATTCATGAACTGGCACTCCTCTCACCATGTTCTCAGCATTCATTCATTCATCCTCTGTGTTGTGTCCAAGCATGCATGCGGTGCCGCCAAAACTGGCCACGTGCTTCCAGGAATTTAGAAATTTGGGAAGTATGCCTCCGGGAATCAAAAGGCTTATTGAAGAGTACATCTATCTGAAACACTAGTAGGTGTACAGTATTCGATGAGTCATTCAGTCAGAAGTGATCTGGTTATGTTAACCGTTACACCCGGAGATGTTTAATAACTATGACCAGGAGCACAAATAGTTAAATCTCTCTCATCTACCCCCAACTCACTTTTCTCAACCGTCTCATTTTTTCTTCCCATGCCAAAGAGACTCATTCGATGCGAGCATTCGAGTGAAAACCGAAGGCGTTTGGGCATGATTGCTGCTGCCAAACTTACAAAATTGGTTGACCAGTGCCACTGCCAACCACTGTCTTTTAATAAATTCCTAACAGTTATTTAGTTGTAGTCTAATGACTTTGGAAACAGAGGTAAAACAAAAACCATGTTTTGGAAAGGGGAAAGTGCCCCCTGAAGAAGATCAGAAGAAAACGAACACGGTAGCCCGTCGTTTGTGGCACGGTGACCATGTAGAGATTTGCTTCCAAGGCGATACGTTTTGGAACAATGTCATTGTTGCGTTCTCACAGCTTTTGCTGCAAGCCCTGGCTGTCTCACCCATTGGGTGGAGTATTGTGAACAACAAGAATCCAAGACCTCATCAAAGGCATATCCTGGTTGTCCAACCTGCCGGTTGCCGATTGATACATGGGGGCTATGGTGGAGAAGCATCAAAAGATACAGTAGTTTTAACGTCGACGAGGACCCAGACGAAGAACTGGACGAAATTCTTTCAAACATGGTTGGAAGGAAGAAGATGGGGCTGTGAAATGCCCCACCATCCATCCAGTGTGGCATTTGGATCGATCACCAAAGAGGATGGGTGCAAGCAACCAATAAATATGAAGTGCACTTGGTGTAACAACAAGTCCTTGTGGCCATGATGAAGATGATGAAGATCCAGATCATTGTTTTATTTGTGGCGAGTTTAGTGACAACCATGCCTCTGTCCAAAGAACTTTTGTGAAAACCCAGAGTTCATCGAATCAACAAAGAATGGGCTAAAGAGTAGCCATGGTGCGTGGCAAGAAGTCTTTGTTGTGGAAGAGCAATAATTCCCAGACTATAGTGGCGAATGCACCAAGGCACGACGACGGGGCGATATCAATGTGAAACGAAGCAATGTGTCATTCTCCTCCAAGACGAGGACACAATTGAGCAGAAGGGGACAAACGAAAACAGCGCAGTACAGGCAAAAAGGTTAACCGAGCTGGCAAAGCACAGCGCATTGCCCTCACTTCGCCTTGATACACTGCTCGAGGGTGGGGATACATGGTCTACCTAGTGCCAATCAAACTCAAACGGAGATATCTCTATAGTTGAATTGTTTTGTTTTTAAATTGGATCGCATTACTCGTACTTGGGAGCCGGTCTGCCTCCACTCATGACTGCCATTGGATCGATTGGATTATTATGATCGTAGGTTGTCGTAGTGTTGATATTGGGGTTGGAATAGTAGGGATCTTGATTGCCGATAGTGTCGTAAATATCGTCATTGTCTGCACAGAGTCCACAGAGATCAATCAAAAAGAAGAGCGACACAATGAATACCGCCAAAAACATGACAAAGGCTCCTCCGTTCAAATCGACCGATTCTTCTTCGATCCAATTATAGCGAAGCGTGATTTCTTGATTGTCTCGATTGCTATCGGCAGTGTCGGCCTTGCTGTATTTGGGTGTATGATGAAGGGCATGAATTTCGCCACTGCTTCTGGAAAAGACCAATTGAACTTCCAACGATTCCAATACCATTATTTCACTACTAGTAGCACTACTACCCTTTTTGAGCCAAACGACGGGCAACGATCGAAAGCCTTCTTCCAACACGAGTGAGAATTTGGGAGCATCGCCCAGTTGGACTTTGGACGATGTGCTCATGCCAAATAACGGCATTTGACTTCGTTTCAACGCAATCTCCTCATTCTTATTAGTAGCACTAGTGGTAGCACCTGAGGCTTGTTTCTTGGGAATCGAAATTTCGGCGTCAATCGCATCGCCCATTCGATAGGCTGATGTTGTGGTGGGTAGAATGATCAGTAGTGATACTAATAATAACAGCAAGAAGGGCGGTCGTAAAGCTGTAGTGGTACGCCGTATGAATAGTAGTCTTGTCATTGTCACTCTCTCTCTCGTTCAGTCAAGTCAAAACAGAAGCAGGCAATTAACGGATATAGTGGAGATAGTACAGCAGCTATTAGGTACTGTAGTGGAGTAGCTCAGCAGCAATTGCAATACTAGCTAGTAGAGTAGACTAGTAGAACGATTTGATTAATTTGTGGAGGGTGGAGGGTGGAGGGTATGGTTGTGTATCTTTTGCTCGATCAGGACAACGCAATAATAATATTTGTGCTAAAGTATCTGTGGGGGGTCTCTAGCTAGAGCTACAAAGTCACACAATAGAAGTAGTGGGGGTGCACGGTGCAGACTTAAAAATGGTTAGGGCCCGGGTTCACTAATTGATTTAACCTAGTCTAGTCGAAGCTGCTACGGTATACCTCCGCTGAAAGAAAGAGCGAGAGGATCACAGTTTGAGATTGCACCCTTCTAACTAATAAGCTGTGACTGCAATGACCTACTGTACGGTACTTCGTATCAGCCTTATAGCAGACTCGTCCTTACCAGCTCCTCAAGTTGGTCACAAGATATAGATATAGATGAGCATACCGTAGACTACTAGAAATCTTTGAAGCAAAGGTAAACGCCGATCCTTTGCGGCGCCGACGGATGGGAGTCTCCATGCTATGCCCTTGCGAATCGAATCAAATCGAATCAAATCGAATCGCATGGCCCACACTCTTCTCTCGAATGACAGAGTTTGCAGTGATGGCAGAAGAACCTGTCGCGTTTTGTGTGTGGAGCGGTCAGCTTAGCTAGTACTCGTAACCCGGCGATAACAGCTTTGGCCATCGTCAACGCAGGTGCATGCGTGTTACGTTCGTCCCACTCGACTCGACTCTACGTTCGACCCAGGGCACAGGAAACACGTCCTCCAAGCAACATTGCGGCACTCGCGTCTTGATCCACGACGATGCAATGCGAGAACGCGGTCTGGAATTACAAAAGTTTAGTTGTGACGTACTATTGCTCGACGTACGCGATTATTGGAGTAGCTTGCGAAGAGAACTTTGTAGTTCGCTGCCCTAGTGCCAAGTTCTTCGGAGATCCAACAATCTCAGGTTTGGCTCGTGTCGTCGATCGATACGCCAAGGCAATCTGGATTGGGTGACGATGACAACGATCTCCGCATGCTCCAGGACGCTGAGCTGGACCCTTCAATACAGCAACCGAAAGGAGATTTTGCGTTCCAAATTTGCACCGACACGAATACTCTTAATGGTGCAACTGGTTTTCTGGGAGCCTACCTGTTACGTGATCTGTTGAACGATGGCGATATTGAGCACGTGTGTGTCCTCGTTCGGGCCGACTCTGCTGAGCACGCCATGACACGCATTCGACGCAATTTGGAGAAGTACGGGATATGGGAACAGAGGCATTTCGATGGACGCCTTAGCTGTGCGCTCGGAGACTTCACTCAGTCAAGGTTGGTTTTAGAACAAAGCATGCATGAAGAGCTAGCTTCAAATGTAGACACGGTAATCCACAGCGGCGCTCGTGTCGATTACACGAGACCTTACAGATGTCACGTCGCTGCCAATGTGCAGGGAACCGTTAGAATGATCCAGTTCTACAGTGATGGTCGTCAGAAAGCTCTACACTTTGTATCGACGCTGGCAGTGTTTGGCCCGGTGGGCTCGGCGATGGGCACTACCGACGTGTTTGAGGATGACAATCTTGAATCAACAAGCACGGAAGCCATCCGACTGGATACGGGATATCCCAATCAAAATTCTTGGCAGAACGCATTCTGGAGGCGGCCAGGGAGCGGGTATTGGCAGTGAATATCTATACCGGGCTTTATCTTGTGCGATGGAGTATCAGGTGCCTGCAATCCGCTTGACTTCATGGCTCGATTGACAAGTTCCTGAATTTCTTTGGGTTTCTACCCCAGACTCGCATGTGCAACGCAAAGCATTCCTTACCGTCGATTTTGCCAGCTCGGCCATTGTCCAGCTAGCAAAGGAGGAAGCACACACGAATCGCACGTTCCAGTTGCGCACGGAGTTGAAAATCCCACCATTTCTCAGTTGTTTTGCCATTCGATGACTCCACTCTGTTGACTCTGACGTAGACTGGAGATAGGGCTGGAGTTAACTACTTCGTACATTCCGAGGCAGCTTCTTGATCTCCTCTTCTTGCTCTCCGAGTGATCCATGTTCAGCACAGAAGCAACAAATAGAAATGGAATTGTCTGTATTACTAGTAAACTCTTCCGGTAACCGTAGAATCAGGTAGTGACAAGCCTGTATCTTGGGTCGTTCCCGAGGTGCGGCCCGCTGCTTGTGGACCCATTCTTGGATTTTTTGGAGCAATGGTAGGTTGTAGCATGTGTGGATCTGCAGGTCGTCCTTGAAAATGTACCTTTTCGCAGGTGGGACAGTGTCTTTGGTTTGCTTCCAAAATGTGGCTCATGACGAAGCTCTGAAGAGAATAAACCGCGGAGAAAAAGCCGCTCGTAAATCGCATTTCACTCTAAACCCCCGGTGCTTCAATGAGGGAGATGGTGCGTCGGTTCGGCCTCCTCCAAGACTTCTTTCAGATTTGCTTTTCCTTCAAATAATCAGGTAGTTCAGGTAAATATTCTGCTATTAAAATAAAGGTATTTATCAATTACGAATTTTATTACTTCTGTTTTACCAGATCTATGCATACAGTACCTCAATTGCCCGTCATTTACCTTACCGGTACACCGGTACAGGTATTCGGACTATTCTGTAAGAAGTTTCGAGAGATTGAATTCTCGTCATGAGAACTCGGCAACTTGGCTGTTATCTCCTTGTTGAAGCCATTTGGGAACAGTGGTCTCAGACATTAATTCTTTCTCAAAGCGTCAGCGGAAATGAAGACCAGCCAAAGATGGCGTGTTCCATGAGGTGTCATTATTTGCCACCGATACCTTGCCGCCGTCAAAAGGCAAAGACTTATTTTGGACCGTGTTGGCGCAGACGAAGTCTCTCTTTGAAGCCGAGACGATTATATCCAGCCCTGCTTTGAAGTTGTTGTTCCTACCAGTGTCCTACCCCTTGAGGCTGTCGGCTCAGACTTCTGATTGTTGCAGCCAGTTGAACACTAAGTCGGATCGAAAGCCTGCTACGGTACCAAAAAGGCCAAACATCATTAGGATACCAATCTCGAACGATCAAGATGACCGTGGTTGAGGAAGTAGCGATGAACATGGTGGAGGAACAAGAGATCACCGTACCTGGTCCGGATTCTGTTCCTCGCGATTCTTTCTTGAGGGATGCTGCTGCTGATCGTTTTCGATCGGAATCGTTGCTAACTACGAGGAACTCTTGGACCGGTCCCAATGATTCCAGGTATGTCAGGGACAATACCATGGAAATGACAATGATGGAAGATGGCAATAACAAAGCACCAGGTCAGGATGACAGTGATGAGGACAGTTCCATGGATGACCCCTTGAATGACCCACAGGATGCTAATGCCGGGGACATCAGCGAGTCTCCCAGCAACTTTGAATTCTCCATTAACAGTGCTGATTTGGAACGAGATATTCGAAACGGTGCTGCGCAGACCATTGCTTTTGAGTATTTATACAGCAATGCTTATGACATTGTCTACAGCATCTGTACTTGGCCCAGGCTCCTCCTGAGCTATTGCCTGAATTTCTTTCGATTTGCCAGAAAGAAGGATGATGATTCTGATGGACCAGTGCCACCCAAGGAAGATAGTCGTGTTCAAACCATGTCAATTGCGGCTTCCCAATCAGCAGCCATTGGCGTAGGAGCAGGAGTCATGGCTGGGCAGTCGGCTGCTGCTGGAGTTGGGGCTTCGACAATGTCGGCTGTTGTCTCTTCTCTTTCACCACCTAGCATAATTGGGCTTGCTGTGGCTGTGGCTATTGCAGTCGCTACTACTACAGCTGGAGTTGCCACAGGAATCAGCAACGACAGTGAAAACAATGCTGCTCGTCCTGGAGGCTGCAATGAAATTATTGGATCCATGGATGTCAAGCAAGGGGTCATGCAAATAGTCTTTTCTTCACCTTCATTGGAAGCTAACAGTGATCACAACACTACCATTGATGCTCCTTCCACAAGTGCGTTGGTGCTAGAGAACAAGGAAGAATTGGAAAATATCTTTGCACAGGTTTACAACAATATCACTGCCAAGTCCACCAATGGAGCCAACAATGTGGTTGACGGGTGTGCTATGCCCTACGTTCCAGAGGATGGTGTCCAAATGATGCAGGTTGAATCATCTGAAGTGAACAATTTTACCAATACGCTTTGGGTTGCCACTGTTCATTGCTTTGGATGCTCAGACACAGACCCACTATTTGGAACCAACACAAAAGTGAGTCCACAGCTTGAATCTGTTAGGGCGGTTGATGATTTCATTGACCAGTTCACGCAGGCGATACAACCCATTCTTAAGACTGATGATTCAAAACAAGAAAACCTGCTGCCAGCAGATCAAGAACAGCAAGAATCACCAGTGGATATCATGTTTGTGGTGCTAGTTGACCCTATCACAGGAGAGACATTACCAGATCAGACTCATTGGTTAGGACCTGGTGATCTGATTGGGCTATTGCCAAATATTGATTCCATTTGGAATAGCAACATGAATGACCAGGAAAAAGATATGCTAGAAGTTCCACAGGTGCCAACTCCTTTAGCAACAACAGCGGCCGCCCCCACAGCCTCAATGGAAAAAGTGTCGAACCCCACAGTCGGCACTCAAACAAACACCCCTGTACAGCAAGACATAGCACCCAACTCTCCAGGAGTTGAATCAGCACCAACATATCCTGCAAGTGCTGCACCCACAAATTCCAAAGTCTCAGATCTAAGTCCCACTCAGGCGCCAGCAAGTGCTCCTATGCAGCAAGCCAAAACATCCATTTCTCCTGTCCTAGCACCATCAGCTGTACCAAGTGCCAGTGACACAAATAGTGACGCAAACAGCATGCCTTCTCTTGTGGATGTTTCACCCATTCAGACAACAATGGGGCCACCATCAATGGTTAGTCCAATAGTTGGTTCTGGTCCAACTCCTGGTGCCACCAGTGTTTTAAGCAGAAATCCAAGTAGCTATATCAGCACATTTCCACCAGCAGCAATGAGTCCATCAAATTCCACAGCCAACACAGATGAAGCTCCAAGCGTTGCTAGTCAACAGCAGGCAGCACAGCCAACCAATCAGCAAGACTCATTACCACCCATTGCAGCAATAACGAATCCCAAACTATCCTCGGTGATACCAGCACCACCATCAGCTGGCGGTGGAAACAATTCCAACCCCCATTCGATTGATGGTCCACCAATGATACCTTCTGGAGATGACAGCATACCTTCCTTGAATCATGGTGGAGTTTCTCCTGGACCAACACCAATAAATACTGGCTCTCCATACCCAACTGCAATCACTGCAACAAACTTTCCTACACCTGAACCTACCTTTGAACCAACACCAATTACTCAATCAAGTTCCTGGGTGGTGTCGTCGGGTTCTTCATACCCAACTACAATCCAGGCAACATATCCTCCTACCCCTGAACCTACCTTTGAACCAACAGATAGCCCAATCCTGTCACCCACAGAACAGCCAACATACAACCCTACCGGTAGCCCTAGTAATGAACTGACAACATCACCTACTGAAAACCCAACCACCAGCCCAACAACGGAACCTACAAGTCTCCCAACCAACATTCCAACCCCCAAATTCACCAACCCAACCCCAGCACCAACACAGCCAAACCCATCAGTGCGGGAAGACTATTTCATTTCCTTTAGTGGCCAGACCACCGGGTGGACTGAGCAAGAAATGATGCATGCATTTGTGGAGGCATACAACTCCCTGCCTGGCTCCGATTCTGCAATGGAGGCCATAGACGTTGGTCAACCAGTCGTCACTGAAAGTGGCTTCTACCTGGATTTTACGGTGACCTCCAGCCCAGAGGCTTTGGATGACGACCTTACATCCTCTGAGGCCTTCTTTCTCCAGGCGTACAATAATGAGATCCAACATACTGGGACTGTTGCATTGTCTTTGAGCATGGAGCTCCCAAGCAGCCCCTCAGTGCAGGAAGACTATTTCATTTCCTTTAGTGGCCCGACCACTGGGTGGACTGAGCAAATGATGTCCTATGGCTTTGTGGAGGCGTACAACTCCCTTCCAGGCTCTGGTTCATCAATTGAAAGCATTGAGGTTGGAGAACCTGTTCTCACTTCTGTTGGAAGTTTCTATGTGGAATTCACCGTGACATCCAGTCCAGGTGCTTTGGATGAAGAACTTGCATCCTTTGCAGGAACATTTTTGCACTGGTTCAATGTAGAGATCAGTACTGGGGCTATTGCTGAGTCCATATCCTTCTCTTCATCCTTGGACCCTCAGATTCGTTACTCACCATCCGCAGTCCCCAGTGTGCAACCTAGCACTTCACCCAGTGCCAGTCCCAGCAACAGCCAGGCTCCATCCAAAGGCCCTAGTTCCCAACCAAGTTTGTTACCCAGTTCCAGTCCCAGCTATTTTCCATCAAAAGCCCCTAGTTCCCAACCAAGTTTGTTACCAAGTTCCAGTCCCAGTGAGACTCCTTCATCAAAGCCATCATCATTTCCATCCACAAATCCAAGCTCTGGTCCATCAACAAAGCCTTCAGTATCTTCTGTGCCCTCATCAAGCCCATCATCATTGCCATCTTCAAATCCAAGCTCTGTTCCATCCTTCACGCCCTCTCATTCTGCCATGCCATCCACATATCCCAGTACTAGTCCATCCTTAGTGCCATCTGGTGATCCATCATCAAGTCCATCAATATCATTGCAGCCATCTGTTCGTCCATCAGATGCTCCATCTTCAAATCCTAGTCTTGGTCCATCCACCGTGCCGTCCAAAAACCCAAGCTTCAATCCTTCTGGTTTTCCATCCTCAAAGCCCAGCGCTGGTCCCTCTTATGTGCCTTCCACAAGCCCAAGTAACAATCCATCAATTAGTCCTTCCAAAATCCCAACGGACTATCCATCACTTGAACCTTCTTCAATTCCAAGCATCAGTCCTTCTGGTGTCCCATCCTCAAGCCCTAGCATTGCTCCATCCAATTTTCCCTCCGCCAGCCCAAGTCAAAATCCAACATCTGTGCCTTCCGAAGTGCCATCACAGATGCCAACAACCTCTCCATCTGAATCACCTACAAAGCATCCCACCCATCCACCTACACTGCAGCCTACAGATTTACCATCAATTGTCCCTTCAGCTGCTCCCACAAGTTTTGGTAAGGCATTTGAAACAGCTCGTAGCTCTGATCCATTTTAACGGTGTTGCGTGTAGCTCACAGGTTGTTTTCTTTGGTCTCTTGCAAAGTGTTTGGTGACAAGAATACCTTGATTGCAGCTCTAGAGCAAGGTGACTACTCATCCTCAGGTCCCTACGGTAGGGTATTTTGTCGTTCAATGTTCCACTTCATTTTAGCCTTTGCCTGCTCAACACATTTGCTTTTGTGAATCATCACAAAATAGCATCAATTCTGTCATGGAATGTGCAGGGAGTTGATAACTTTGGTATGTGATCCCAAAACCTTATTGCGCTTATTTAGGGATCATGTTTAAACTGAATCTCACATCACCAGCAATACCCGTGGACTAACTATACTGGTATGCCTGCAGACAACTTGATCAGTGGTCTCACTGATGTGGTAACATTTAATGGGGATGTCAGCATGTGGGATGTTAGTGGAGTAACTTCCATGCAGGAAGTCTTCCATGGTAAGTAAGATGTAATCTGCCTAACCCTTGTGAGAAGCCTTGTATGCTAACATTCTGGTTGTTTCATGAAAGGGGCTAAGGCTTTCAATGTGCCACTGAACAATTGGGTGGTTTCAAGGGTAACATCCTTGGCTGCAGCCTTTTCAGGTGCCAATGCCTTCAACAGTGATTTGGATTCCTGGGGTACGTAGGTTCACCTTTGACCAGAAGAGGTTCATTTGGAATTCGAAACTGAACTGTTTTCCAACATGCTTCCACGTTTATTCATGAATATAGATACAAGCAGTGTCACTACTCTCGCTGGCACCTTTAACTACGCGAACTCCTTCAACGGTGACATCAGTACCTGGGGTAAATCTATCTATTGTTGGTTGCTGGATGAAAAGTTCATCAACTGTTGCAAAATTCTGATTCCTTGTTGTTGCTGCTCTCCATGCATTCATTTTTTTTAAATTGCAGATACAAGCAAAGTTACAGACATGAGCTCCCTTTTTGTTGGGTGCAGCTCTTTCAATGGAGATGTCAGTTCATGGGGTAAGTTCGTTGCATGGTTCATCACTGAGTTGTCAATAGCATTCACTTGCTTCCTGCATGGTAGAGTTGTTGACATGGTTGGTGCCAGCTCTGACTTTCTCTGATTTGCACAATTGTTGTTACTGCATTCTACTACTAGATACAAGCAGTGTCACTACCATGAAGAGGATGTTTATGTTCTGCACAGTATTTAATTCTGACATTAGCGGTTGGGGTAAGTCCATCTTTCGCTCAGTTGTTTGTATTCCATGTATATATTCTATTATATTTCCCAGTGTTCAGAATAACCTTCCTCATGGTTTTCTTTATCCACTTCACTTCACTCCACTGGTCATGCATGACAGATGTCAGGCAGGTGACTGCTATGGATAATGCCTTTCGATGGAATGAAGCGTTCAATGCTGATCTATCAAGTTGGTGGGTAGATATAATATCTTGACTTCCATTGTCTCCATGGAGCCAAACTGTTGTTATGACAAGGGTGATCGACACTCAACTGTTGTTGGCATTTCTTTCCTTCCTCCTATTGTTGTTGTGTTGTTTTTAGGGATATATCGGCTGTAACCAACTATGGGAGTATGTTCAATGGTGCTACTATGTTTAACCAGGATCTATGTGGTTGGGGTGACAAGGTAGCTGGCAGCATCTCCTCGAGTGGCATGTTTTTTGGTACTCCTTGTCCTAGCACTGCAAGCCCTGAGTTGACTGCATCTCCCAAAGGTCCCTTTTGTCATGCTTGTCCACCACCCTAAATAAACCATCTTTATACATCATGATTATAAACTATATATACCTGTATGGAGGTGGCTTGAATTCCCATGGCAGCACGATGGATGGCTGCAATGCTCGGTGGCCCAACTCGGAGAGAGATGGGCATGGAGGAATCTTACCATTGCTGTTGGCTTACCATTTAGCTCTAGCTCTATTCCTTCAGTCGACTTTGTCTCTCATGAGCGTGACTGGACTCATACCGTATCCAACGGCCACGCACCACAGCTTTCTTCGGCGGATCTTCGCCACTCATTCCTCTTTCTCTCATTATTTTTTCGACCTACAACAAATCAACCATGCTGCGCTGCCGTCCTTCCGCTTTTGGTCGTCCAAGATCTTCTCTGGTAATAGCTACTAGTAATAAGAGATGTCTTGTTAGTAGCAATAATACTGGAAGAAGAGGACCATCTGCTGGCAATCAGCAGCAGCAACAGCAGGCACTGCGTCGTCCCGAATATCTTCAAAAACTGCGAGTATCCAATCCCATTAGCCAAGAAGCTTTGGGTGGCAAATTTCCCCAACAAACCAAAAATCTCAAGAATCGACCAAACAGCAACAACAGCAATCTCGTCAATCTCATTCGACAAACCAATGCTACAAGTACTACAAGTACTACTCCATCCGCCACGCAGTCCAACTTGCCATCCAACTCTACCAATAATACCAATAATAATAATGATAATAATACCAGGACCACGTCGGACTTGGTGGATTTCTTCAAGAAACGGCTGGGTGAACACAACACTCAACAAAAAAAACATGCTGCCAATAATAATAACAAGTCGACGAAACATCACAACGCGCCACCGCCAAAACAACTTCAATCGTGGCGTCATGGACTGCGAGCCGCCAAACAACAAGTCCAGCAAGCTCACAATAATAAGGATCCAACGTCGGTTCTAGCCGTACTGAATAATCCACCATCTACAAGTAATAGCTATAGCAATAGCAATACTGGATCCGTGTCTCTGATTGGACAGTACGTGGCAGAACTACAAAAACGAAAGAGTCAACAACAAACTACCCAAGAGACGGAACAGTCGACCACTACTCCTGAATCTTCCACTGCGATCAGCGAAAAAGTTCCATCGTGGAGAAAAACCGTACGAGACTTTTCCAACAATCCACCAATAATCTACAACCCACAACAGCAACCACAACAACAAACGAGTCCTGCTCCACCACCACCAACGACCATGAGAAGAAGACCACCAGTGACGTTCGAAGAACCACCCCAAGAAAAATTCAAGCCACCCCCGCCCAAACAAGTTCAAGTGGATTTGCCGCCCCATGACATTTCCATTCGAGAATTATCGAGATTGTCCAGTGTCAAGGCTACAAAAATCATGCACGTACTGCAAGATCTAGGAGAATTGGCCCGCAATCGCAGTCGACATTCGGCGGATGCCGACTTGGAAATTGACCCGGAAGTGGCCGAAATGGTCTTGTTGGAACTCAATGTCCCATTCACCAAACAGCAATCCAATGCGAATACCATTGACAAGGATCATGAACAACTCATGGAACGACGAAGACGTAATGAATCCATTGTTGCAACCACAACTACAACAAGTACACCTAGTAGTGATGTGGACGAAGAACAGGAAGAACAACAACCAACAGTAGCTTATGATTCCTTGCCACCACGAGCACCGGTCGTGTGCATCATGGGACACGTCGATCATGGAAAGACCACACTCATGGATGCCCTACGAAGACGTGCGCAAGGAAACAGCAATACCAAAAAGCAATCCAAAAAGAAAAAGACCAAAAAGGCCAAAAACAGCAATAGCGCCAACGCCAAGAACACGGACGTGGCAGGAACCGAAGCGGGAGGCATTACGCAAGTGGTGAGTGCCTTTCAAGTACCACTCGACAACAATGACAACAACAACAGTATGATTACCTTTTTGGATACCCCCGGGCATGCCGCCTTTAGTGCCATGCGCAATTCGGGATCTCATGCCGCCGATATTTTATTACTGGTCGTCGCCGCCGACGATGGAGTCCAACCACAAACGATTGAAATTATCAACACATACAAATCCATTGCCAAGGAATCTGGCGGGGAAGGCATTACCATGGTCGTTGCCATGAACAAAATTGACAAACCCGGCATTGACGTCGCCGAAAGTCAACGACGCATTGAAAATCAACTCTTGGAACACGACATTTATCCCGAGGGCGCCAGTGGCAGTGGCAGTGGCGCCGTCGCAAATTCCGTACAGTTCTTTCCCATTTCGGCCAAGACATGTCTCGGGCTGGAGGATCTCGTTGAAGGACTGGCACTCCAAAGTGAAGTCATGGATCTCAGGGCCGACATCACCGCAAGTGCGGAAGGAATTGTCATGGACTCGCGTGCCGAACAAGGACTCGGGATTGTCGTCGATGCCATTGTACGATGGGGGTGTATTCGACCGGGCGATGTCGTTGTGAGCGATACGTCGGTGGGAAAAGTGCGACTGTTAAAAGATGGTACGGTAGTATATATTTGTTCAGTGTTGTTATGGCTCTTGTTGGTTGAATTGTTTGCCAACTAACACTTACGTTCTTTCGTTTATTTATCCAAAAAGTCAACAATGGTGCGTTGAAGAAGGGCTTGCCTTCTCAACCCGTGCGGATCGTGGGATTTAAATCAACTCCCAAAGCAGGAGATCCTCTGGTGTGTGTTGCGTCGGAACAAGAAGGCAATGAACTGGTGGAAAAGAGACTTGCCATGCAGAGTCAAGACGCTGACGCCGACGCCATGGCCAGCTTTTCGCAAGTGCAGGTGTCGGGCTGCGAATCCATGACGAGCACTGGAACGGAACGACGGCTCGAGAGATACGAGTTGTCGCTCGACCAGGAGGATGCTCCGATTCGGATTCCCGTAGTCTTGAAAGCCAGCGCGGATGGAAGCGTTTCGGCGGTTCGGGAAGCCATGTTGGATCTCGCCAAGCTATCGTCCTTTGACATTAACGTGGATACCATCTCGGAAGGTGTTGGTCCATTGTCGACGAGTGAGATTGAAATGGCAAGGGAAAGCAATGCTTCGATATTCTGCTTTGATGTCAAGAATCAAGACAAGAACGTTCTGGCAATGGCCGAAGCCGAGGGTGTCAAAATTCACGAGTTTGACGTCATTTATTCCTTGCTCGATGAAGCCAAAGAAGTGTTTACCAACTACCTCCCCGCTCTGCCCGTTGAAACGGTGCATGGAAAGGCCAAGGTCGAAGCTGTCTTTGAAATCAACGGAGGCAAAGACTCGGTTGCTGGACTGAAGGTCCTGGAAGGATTTTTGTTCAAAACTATTGTCGACTCGGACAAGGGTGCGCCGGTTCAATACCGAGTTCTTCGAGATGGAACGAATGTTACAACCGATGTCAATGGGTCGAAGGCATCCAGTCTGAAAAAGTTCAAGGACGATGTAGACAAGGTCAGACAGGGAGAGGAATGTGGCTTGAGCCTGTTGGGCCCTGTGGAGTACCAAGAAGGAGATTTCATTGAATGCTACTCAATTGAGATGAAGAAATCGTTCACTGGGGCCGTGCGATGATGATGTCGATGCTTCGTTGCATCTCTAAGGTGTGCACGTTTGTTCCTTCGCTGCATCGCTGCGTGAAAGCTGGAAAGTCTACGGGTTGCAATATGTTCGGCTGCGTTCCTTCACGGTATAGAGCAAGTAGCTAGAGTAAAGTATCATAGCTAGAATGATAGAAATGAGGCTGGATGGCATATAGGATCACCCGCAACCAGCCAGCAACGGGTCGTTCCATCTAGTTTGAGAAGATGGTCTTCTATTTTCCTCTGTCTTAATGATTCGTTTCTGTGATGCGGCAGTTTGGCAGTGCTGTTCATGGTTTGCTCACAGAACCTGCTCAATGTGGAGGATCTTTGCACTGGTTGCACCTTCGCATGATACCATTGGAACATACCCATCAGTGTTGGTGTGGACCTTCATGTTGCGAGTGATAATAACAGAAGCAGCACCATTCACAGAAATGGAGAAACTGCCATTGTTGGTCTCATTGGGAGAAAGATCAAGTGTAATGTTGACACGGGACCCATTTCCAAATATTGCACCATTTCCAATGTACTCTTTCTCCCCTCCAGAGTACCAGGCAACTCCATCACGTCCATACACCATCCAGCATGAACTCTGACGCCCACAAAAAGTGTTGTTGTTAAGTGTTGCAGAACATTTGGCTACACCAATCATGATATGGTCGGCAGCACTGACACCAGTTGTATCAATGGTCCACTTGTATGTGAACCCATTGGCAAGAGGAGGACATGTCAGTTTGCCACTTTGCCAACGAGCAGCCCCCCAGAAAGTAATTGAGTTACTTCCACTCCAGACTGAATTATCAAAACGCAGCGGCTCAAAATTCTCCCCATACTTCTGTTTTCCTTTCATAGCTTGCTCAAAATGCTCCCCATACTGGTGCTTTGCCATCATTGCTTGCTGCTTGTAGGCTTCTGCCAGGTGCTCAATGTCTACAAGCCCAGATGCAGCAACCGAGTTGGCCAATACACAAGGACAAATCCAATGTAGTTTCAGGTGGTCTTTCACCAATTCTTTGGCAAGGTCTTGCCTATTCTCTTTACCACCAGAAGCACCCTTTGACCAAATTTGAACCATTGCAAAGCGCTTGTTCTCTGGTGCCACGGACTTTTCATCACCGAGGATGACTGCCAGGACAGAGGAACTCAATGCACACAGAAGTCCTTCATTCAATGTCTCATACTTGTTCTGTCGGATGTTGGACAAGGCCATCTCAAGCAGATTGTCAGATATAGCAGGGTGTTCCTGAGCACATGCCTCCAGCACAGCAAAAGACAAGGATGGGAACTTTTGGACGAACGTATCCATGATGCTATTGACTTTGTCACATAGTGTTGGAAGGTTGTAGTAGGCTGCAGCTGCTGTCAAGGAGACAAGCATCTGGAATTCCTCCTGACCGGGCTCTGAGATGTCACCATTTTTCTCCACATTGTCTGGGTTGAGTTCTGTAAGAAGCTTGGCTTTGCTGGTGTAGATATACTCAACAACTGTGTTGACAACTGCTCCAGGAAAATTTACCTGAATAGATGGACTTGTAGCCTCAGAGAAGCCTCCCATCAACATAGCCTTGAACACCTTGCTTCGGACTGCGAGTAACACTCGATTTGCAGGCACCTCGACGCCATCACTGGCTACCAATGTCACATCATGAAATGTTTCATCATCCAATGCTGTTGCAACACCAGTTGCAAGGGAGACTTCGGCCCCTAGACTTCCCATAAGTTTGTAGGCACTGGACATGTTGACTAGCTAGGTCAGTTGATGGCTGACTCCTTTCTGAAAATGAGCAACTCCAGTCCGAAGGGGGCCCACTTATGCAGTTGCCTTCGACGCCTGATTCCACGCTCCAGGCAGGCTCCACCCTCTGTTCCTGAGCGTTGATTATCTAGTTCAGTTGATGGCTAACTCTTTATTTAACCAAAATGAGCAACTCGAAAGGAGCCCAGGAAGGTCCCGCAAATAATGAAATAGTTTAATTATAATGAATTCTTGATTAATGTGTTGAATGGTGATGAATGGTGATGAATTCATCACCAGTTTGTTGAATGGTGATGAATGGTGATGAAAATGATTAATTCGTGATGACTGGTGATGAATCGTGATGAAAATACTACTGTTTTACTATAGAGATAATGAATGGTGATGAATGGTGATGAAAATGATGAAACCGTGATGAAATGTGATGAATGGTGATGAATTCATCACCAATGTGTTGAATGGTGATGAATGGTGATGAAAATATTTAATTAGTGATGAATTCAATTCCAGATTTTCATGTTTCGCAGGACCTTCCAGGGACTTTTCTCGCGCTGTGGCGACTGATTCGATTCATCATTCTACGCTCCACGCTGGGTGAGCAAGAAAGAGCGTGTCAACTCCACGTTACACTCGACACGACTTGATTAGGGGGGTTTTAGAGTAGGGAAATTATCTACGGAAGCCAGCCAGGGCCAGGCTTAAGCAAAGAACAGTCGAAATTCAGGACTAGGTTCTGTGGGATCAGGGGCAAGAAATTGAGGACCATTACGGGGGGCAAAGGGTTTGGCTTTGCGGGATCCACGGAGACATAAATGGGTAGCTTTCACAAGGGCAATTGAGATACGGGTCTGCATGACGACATGACTGCTTTGTTGTCTGCTGCGTTCCGTCCGGTACCTCTGTCATGGCTACCGTAGCTATGACTACCAGCGGAACGATCGCTGATGATGACCTCACGACCTTGCAGCCGTCGTGTCTTCCACGGCAGCTCTGGCGAGCGAATGAACTCCTTTCCTGAGGTATGGGGGTAGGGCTTCTCTTCCATCCGACTCAACACAATTGCTCTAACTGTTTGTGGCAAGCCCGTCGCTGCTTCCAACGCAAGTCGTCCATGCACGGCATAGATTCGCCCTAGACTTGCACTCCAGCTAGAGTTAACAGTGTGGATTATCTAAGAACTCCTACTATTGAAGCAGATCTGATCCAAGGCACATTGGGCGAAAGTGTGCTATCTGTGCGGCTTTCATGCTCCTACTGTTCGTGGCTTCTTCGTCGTTTCAAACAAGAAGAATGCCAAAACGCAGCATGTCTCAGTAGTATGCCGGAGCTGCCATCATCTCATTCCCGCACATCGTCCTCCCTCCGGCCTCAGCCTCTGTCATGCGCAAGTGCCACTACTGAAGCTGCATATTGCTTATCGCGCTCCACTTCTTACGCAAAGCTTCATATAGTAGCTCATCCTTTCGGTTCGAATTGTGCAAGAGAGTCATTTCCTCTTGTGTATAGTTCTGATGAACTCGGTCAGCCGTCTTGCGTTTGTGGCCCAAGGGGATATCGGTAGCGTCCCAGCGGTGCAAGAACCATTGCATGTACTTTTCATCCTGCAAACTATTCATCCATACAATCTCCAACTCGTCTAGGTTTTGCGCTGCCAACTGCGTGTGGGGTTCCAGATCCGGTTGAGGCCACGCGCCAAACCACTTGCTGTAGCAGTCCGTGGCGCATTGCCAGACCCAGCCACGAGCTAGTCGCGTCCACTTTTTCTTTTGACGTCGGGCCCTCTTTTTCTTGCGGGGGTCGTTGATGCTGTTCTGCTTATTATTAATATTTCCTCCGCCAATGCCATCCCTCCAAATGTGTCGTATATTGCGGGAACCATTCTTGCCCTCATTGGCATCATTCGCGTGCTTTACAAAGTCCAGGAGTGTCGGTGAATCAATGATGCTTGGATCGTTTTGTTTTCTTCGTTTGCGCTGCTGTGCATGCGCCCCGATTGTTTGGAGTCCATCGTATTCGTAGCTGCTAATGACTCGATCGACGGGAGGTCGCAGGGACGTAAAGACAAAGACCCGTCCAAGGTGCATCATTCCTCTCCAATCTCGAGGGTCGTAAACGGTACCTTCCTGCTGAGCCAATGTCAAGTTGTGTTTCTTGGCGACATGCTTGGCCCAGTCGTAGAGTGACGATCCACCAGCTTTTCGGGTATGATAGAGTTGCAAATGATCGTATTGAGTCCAATCAATGGCGCCGTTTCTCGTGAGATGGACATGGGGAGGGCTGTTCCCTGACATGTCCAGCTCCTGTTCCAGGCTTTCTAGAGTTGTATTCTGCTTTTTACTGGGATGTTCTGTAGCATCAGAGGTAACCGATACAAGCGCCTTGTTCCGTTTGTTGGCTTTCTTAGCACGGATACGACTAGTACGCAGTGTCTGCTTGTAGATTTCTGGATCTTCAACAGACATGATCCTCTGTACCGGTTCTGTGAATACGGAAGCGATGCATGCCAAGACCAACAGGCCACTTCCTACCAACAGTCCGAAAAAGGTACGTCTGTTGCACTTGATGGCATTGCATCTCCTAGATGGCCCAGCCGACGCTGATGCGGAAGCTGCTGGGGTGTCCTCCATCGTTTCAGCTTTCTTTGGGGCTAGTCCACACTGGAATCAAGCTGTTGAGAGGCGGTTGAGCTGAAAAGTTTGCCAAGGGAAAAGTGGCCCATTACAGCCAAAATTGTGAGTTTGGGCAGTTTTGTGAGTGCGTTGCAGCAACCGCGAAGATCCAATCTGCAACCCATACGTGCATTCTATTTTGTTTAACACCACAAGAACAGGAAACAGGAAAGCCTTTACACCAACCGTGTAGATGTATACCAGAACCAGTACAGTAGCTTTTGATAGCTAGACAAAGATGAATCGGCGGGGCTTTGTGTCGCTACAGGTAGGCTCAGGATATCTACCAAGTTGTAGCCAGCTTGGATGTCTCAACGAGAAAATCGGCGTGCTATGATTCAACAGCAAAATGAAGCCTCCGTGGGTGAAGGCTCGAGCACTGATGGTGGAATCTGCCTGTTCGTCGGACAGAATACGTGCTTTCTGATTGCTTCTGCGACAAGCTCAAGCCCTGAGACATACGGAATAGCTCTCGGACTGATGATAGAAAAGGGGCCAGTCTTGGCTTGCAGCCACCTGTGGCTGCGGCTGCAGCTCTTGAAAACAGATTGCTGCGAGAGCTCTACGAGTGCTTCCATAGTGCTCCAAGAAAGCGCTGGCCAGGTACCGGTACCACGTACGGTACCGGTATAGTAAGGGTGAGCGCCGAACGTGAGTGTTCCAAGTGATGGGGGAGGAGAATGAGATGTTGTGAACGTGGACAAGGGGGGTTAGAGCAGGGAAATTTTCTACTACAGTACTAGCAAGCTACTAAGCTAGCTAGAGTGGGAAATAAGTATATATACGTTCAGGATGGAGGGGGGCTGAGCTAGACAGGGCGGTGGCATCGGTATAGTGGGATAGCACTGGGAGAGTAGGCTGGATGGGAGCAGGGCAAGAGGGGAGCTAGCGGTGAAGGGGATGCGATGATCAAAAGGAGGAAGTAAGGGGGGAAGTCGAGAGGGGGCAAGAGGGGGCAAGCTTATCGGAAGAGTGCGAGCAAGCTGGCTGCCATAGATCGGTGGAATTCGATTCGATTCCCTGGGATCAAGGGGGGCAAATGGACAACTGGGAACACACCCGTGTGCACAACTGGCTTTTCACCGGGAAGCTTTTCACCTAGACTAGCTAGCGGCGCTTCATTAGACTATCTAGTATCATATTTATTATGCTTATTCAACGTGCATTGGATTTCTGGATCCAAGTTTTCGTGCATACATATTATTAACTTCCCTTCATTGTGATACTATTACTTTAGAAAGCACCTTGTTAAAGCGAAAGAATACCAGTACAGAAGCTCTACCTTACCTTTAACCAACATGTCAAGTGCGTTTAAACTTATGGAAGATGTCAGGGAGGAAACAAGTCTTGAGGGTGCCCTCCTTCAGGCATTGGAGGATCGAACCTTTCATGATGTGACTTTGTTGGCTAGCGATGGTGTTCAAGTGCCTGCGCATCGAGTGCTGCTTGCTTTTCGAAGCGAGATGTTCAAGGCTATGTTGATGGGAGACTCCTCCGAGGCCGCCAGCCCTACTATTGAGGTTGATTTTCCTGGTGCAGTTGTCAATGCAGTTGTTGAGTACATCTACACCAGCAAAGTCAGAAGTTTATCGGAACTGCACCCAGGAAATGTGGAAGAGAATGGTGACATCTCAGAGGCCAACCATGAAGATTTCCAAACTCTTGTCACAATTGCTGCAGCTGCAGCCTACTGCAACCTACCCAAGCTTTGTGCTGTCATCAATGACAAAATGGAAACGTATGTGAAACAGTTTCCTTCCTTGTCAGTGGCTGTTTTGGAGGCTTGTGCTCAAGAACGCCCAGCAATATCCAAACATTTGCTTGAGATGGCCTTGTCAAATATTCGACACAACAAGGTTGATATCTTGAAGCAAGGGATTCTGTGCTCCTTGAGCTCACCTGTTCTTGCAATCATTCTCAGTGATGAGAAGTCCCTAGCACCAGAGTACAAGTGTTTTGATATGGTCCGACTGTGGTCTGAAGGTGGTTCTGGTGTTGAAGAGAACAGGCAAGCTCTTGCCAAAGAATTGGTGAAGTGCCACCTTAAACTGCATTGGATTACTCCCGATGTCCTCGCAGACTCTGTGGCTCCATCGGGGCTTGTTGATATTGAACAGCTCGCAGAAGCCTACAAAAGGCAAGCAATTATGGCAAAACATCAATATGGGGTGTGCTTTGAGAAACCAGGATGTTTCTCCAATCCAATCTGGTGTGACAGTCAAACAAAAACAGTGGCCGAATCCCGACCAGCTTCAAACTGGAAGAGTGACAAGCTGGTATGTCCCCCTCTTGTCGAAGGGTGCAAATACAAGTGGACTATTGATACAACTGGCACCAAGGCCGCAGAAAATATCATGATTGGTGTAGCAAAACATTCGGCAAACCTTGACAACAACACGCACTGTGGAAGCCAATGTTCATGTTGGGTGGTTTGCTGTTCCACTGGACATGCCTGGTACTCAGGAGGACAAAAAGAGTTTGTTGGAGCAATGTGTGGCCAATCCCATGTCACAGTGGTGCTTGATCTTTCTCCTGCAGAAGCAAACAATGGCAGCTTGTCTATTTCTGTGAATGGTGCACGTCCCCTCATTGTCACTCGCAGCATGAAGGCATGCCTTGACTCCAGCACTGACGGGTATGTTCCAGTGGTATCGTGCTGCAGTGGAACTAGTGTAAACATTATCAGCATTAAGGAGGTGTGCTGAACAACCAGAAGCTGCCCAGCCAAATTTCTGAAGAACTGTTTGCATTTCACCAGACTGCCAACAATGATTCATTGCATGATAGCTAGCAATATATATTACGTCTGCCGCCTGGATGAAAGCTGGCTTTGAGTATACCTGGATATATATATCCTTCTGACTGTTCTCGTTGAAAAACGGGGGTTTAGAGTATAGGTAGATTATCTGTGGTAGCGAGAAATTGAGGACCATTATGGGGGCCAAAGGGTTTGGCTTTGTGGGGTGTGCTTGCTCCCAGGCTACGCCTGGACACTCTTTCGATCCCTCATAATACTTGTTACGTTTTGCTGAGCTTGCGTGATGCAAAACTGATATAGCCACGAGTTGGGACAAGGATCGTGTTTAACATGAGAGTACTTGTCACCAAAAGGCTGATTGTGAGGGTACGTCTGAGCCATTCTACTTTTGCTTCTTTCGCATAACTTTTCGTTTATAACTTTTCAGCTGGCCTTGCCCTTTGGTGTTGATTGAGTGAAACAGTCTCTTTCGTTCCTTGAGTTTCGGCATCGATCCCTGGAACGGCAGCCAGACACCAGAACCGTCAACACGGCGGCAATGATTCCGAAATGGGTCGAACCACGGTTCCGACACCATCCGCTGAGACCGTAGAGCCATGTTCGTCTTCGAGGGGAGATTTGACGTATCCTGCTTTTTGGCAAACGGAATAGCTCTGTGACAAAAGGCCTACCCCAGTCGCAGCCGAAGACGGTTCGAGCTGCCTCGATGGTTCTGAGAAATATAACTACAGTAGTAAATTGGTGCATGGCTGGTCACACTAAAGCAGCCAACGTGTGCAGAAGAAGAACAGGAACTAGATGATGACTCAATAGTGGCCTTGACTGCCTTTTTTATTGTTTCGAGCCTTTTCGAGCATTTGGCAGGCGTAATCACTTCGACTGAGACTTGAGATCAGCAGTGAGACGACAGCTTTGGGCCCACCCCAGGAAATTCGATAAGTTATTTCATGCCTTTCAAACAGCTCTAGTTGGTGAACTCGATTCAAAAAGAGGTAGCTAATGTATGGGGCAGAATGATGCGTGGAAGTCTCAAAGGTGTACAGATGGAGAGTAAGAGGTGTTGGAGTCAGTGCATGTCGGCCCGAGGCTCGATACTGCCATATTCTTTCCAGCCGTGGTGTGGAGAAAAAGACTTTTGCAGTCTCTCAGGTGGTACGATACTCCTTTGACTGTCGCTGATGACTTGAAACGCAACCTTCACCCGAACAAAAAGGGTGGCATCATGCTTGGGACAGTCAGTCATGTACAGCTTTCAAGTGGCTGATTCATTCATTCATTCATCGTAGCCTAGCTGCTGGTTCTCTGCAATGGGCCAAATTGATAGTGCATGAAATCCCACACGATCGGAGCCACTCACTCGATCCTGGCAAGGATATATATTTCCACAATAGACGCTCAGTGTGAGTGTCGTTCATAATAAATTAGTAGCCCGACCACAGATTGGGATTCTCCATCAAGAGTCCATGGAGAATAGCGTGCGTTTGGAAATGGTGTCGGTTGTGTTTGGTGGTCTCATTGACTTTGGCCAGCACTTCTACGAAGGCACTTCGTGTCGTGTCGACACTTCGAGCTTGGGTTCTGCCGGATGCATTAAGACTCACGTAGTACTGGACGAGTGGACTGGTGATTCTTGGAACTTGTTGGAGTGTCGTGTTGGCTTCTTGCAGAATTTGCAAGAGACAGGCATCTTCCTCATTCGTTGTAGTATCGGGCTGTCCTCCTCTACTCAAAGTACGACTTTTACTAGGACTTCCCGCTCGCCCCAATAGTTCCAGAATTTGAAGGGACCGATTGCGTTGCAAGGCGGGCACCAGCGTTTCGACATTGACATATGCCGTCGCGGAAGAAATGGAAGCAATCTTGTTGCGTTGCAAGAGGGGAATCACAACACGACTAATTTCCATGCTTTCGTAATTGTATCCGCCCAGCGTCAACATGGCGGATTCCGTGTTGTGATCGACGTGTTTCCAGGCACTGAGTGTCAAGTGCTCGAGTTCGGGGAGTGCCCCAATGCCATCGAGTACGTTCGTCACACAATCCGAGGCAATGGCACATCCCGTCAGTGCCAGTCTTTGAAGGGACGCCTCTTGCCAATTTTGCATGGATGTTGTGTCATTGTCATTGTCATTGTCATCAGGACTGGTAATACGGAATCGTCGAATGCGCAACAGGGATGGATTGCCAGCATTGGCGAGTAAGTCGAGAAAGCAATTGGAGGGAACATAAAAATCTTCCAATTCGAGTTCCGTCAACGACGACGTGTGCTGATGTTGAGGAGATTGCGATGATTGCTGCGCAAATGCTTGTTGAATGGTGTGGAAACAAATGGCATCATCATCATCTTGTGTTGTTATAATGGGTGTGGGATGATTGGCATTGCAATCCGGTTGACGGAGGGATAATTTGAGAATTTTGAGTGGATAGAGTGGTTTTTCTTTGGTGAGTAGTGCCTTTAGAGTTTGAGCAAATAGATCCGTGTTGGCGGCAATCCAGTCACTGGGTAATTGCAAGAGTCGCAACTCGAACAAATGACGTGTGGCATGCTTGTCTTGCAAAATTTCTAAAAGTCTCTTTAGTCCTGCTGGTGTGTAACATTGAGGCTGAATTTCCATCATGGTCACATGCGGTAAAATACGGCCCAATAATGTGGCTTGAGGAAGATCGAGAATCATGGTCGGACCGGATGCCTTGAAACTGGGATGCAAGTGTCCGTCTCGTTCAAACAAGTAAAGCGAATCGTCCAATTCTTCCGGCGAAAAGTCGTCGTGTTCCACAGCCAATTCCAAACTCGATTTGGTGCGATTGCGAAGCACCGAGGAAAAGGATCGAGACGATGATAGTTCCAGAGACGAACCACTACCAGTCTCTCGACTAGTACTGGCACTAACAGTAGTTGAAATACCAGCACTGCCCGCGTCTCGCACACGGTTCCGACTGCCATGGCGTCGAAACGGACTGAAGAAAGAACGGAACTTGCCCGTCGATTTCTTTCTCCCCCACGGGTTAAGACTGAACCTTCCTTGGCTTTTCTTGCTATGCATAAGTCGTAGCGGCATGCTTTGCTTGGAATAGATAGATAGATAGATAAAAACCAGGGGCTAAATTGTGAGTTGTGGGGATTGATTGGCAGAATTCAAGAGATGAGTTCTTCTGATGATGATGATGGATGTAGGTTCTGTACAAAAATGGGGATGACCATGCCATGATGGCGTCATTGCTAAAGTAAGTCATGGACGATGGAACATGTTGTGCGCCGTAAGTCGCTGGGGTTGGCTGGATGGGATTGGTGGGATGCAAACGGAAGCAATTCGATCATCGGATTCGGAACGGTCAGGAACGGTCAGGTCTCAGTTCGTGCGTAACGGGTATGTCATCCAACCCGTGCCAATCAATACGTCATCTAAATACACATAGACTCAGCGATGAGCCTTTTTAGGCGAGCGCACCTGTCGTGGACCCAACAGTTCGGTTACTTGGAGCTTGGAGGGTGCTTCCAAGAGCGGGCATCCTCGCTCCAGATCTTTGAGAGATCTTTCTAGACGAGCGTGGCTGTCGTGGACGTATTTTGAGCTTGGGGCTGGTTGGATGCAGTTGACAGACGAAACAATGGCGAAATCGATTCGATTCGATTCGATTCAATCGAATCGAATGATTGAGCAAGATCTTTCTCTCAACTCGGGCGTTCTCCGCTTTGAACTGTCGCAGGTTGACGTACTAGCTAGTAGCATGATCTGTGCATGCTGTGTTATTGCTTTGGCATGGACACCGTGACCTTGGTACTCGAGCTAGGTAGTACAAGTGTACGAATCAATTCAATCATTCTTTCTCCTCAAAACCTGAGTTTTCTGTCTTCTGCGATGCCAGAAATCACCAACCTTCGGCACAAAAATAAAGGACGGAGGCATCGATCGACCAAACAACCAATCTTTGCACGAAAATCTGGAAAAAGTAGAAAGAAGACGCACCATGGTTGTGGACCAACAGTCCTGGTCGAGTGAAGCTTTGCCACTGGTAGGCGCAACCATCCGAGTCGAAGAAGAAAAACAGCAGGAAGATGGTATGCGCTCGAACGGTAACGTGGTCCAAGAAGCAGAGGAGGAGGAGCAGGATGTCAGCATCATGACAAACCCAGTATTTGCTCTACAGAGATCTACTAGTATCCCCCGGGATATTCCCGCCCCTCTCACTGGAACAAGGAAAGAAGGCGCGGCTACGAGTGCTGGAACTCAAGCCCGCAACACGGAAAGCGGACGCGTAGGCACAGCGCATGAAGGCGTGGCGACGATTCAAGACCATGTTCGTGCGGGCGACAGTCAAGTTGCCACCGCAAAGATCAACAAGACAGCAATATGGATATTGATTGCCTATGCCCTGTTTGCTGCCGGGTACATGTGCCGAGAGCTTCAACTTGGTATCCTGAATACAGCCACACTCACCAAGGAAGATGTTCTCAGAATCAGCCAGAAGCAGATTGATGAGACTTTGCGTCAAGCCACTGTTTCTGGGCGCACAGAGGAAGATATTTTGTCGATTTTCAACCAGCGGTTCCAGGAGACTTTGCAGAAAGCCACTGTCTCAGAGCTCACAGAGGAAGATGTTCTCAGAATCAGCCAGAAGCAGATTGATGAGGTTTTGAGTCAAGCCACTGTTTCTGGGCTCACAGAGGAAGATGTTGTTTCGATTTTCAACCAGCAGATCAAGGAGACTTTGCAAGAGGTGAAATCACCCGGATCCATCAATGAAGACATCATTCAGGTTGTCAAGCAGCAAGTCCAGTTGGCTTTGGAAGAAGCCAATGGCTTCGGAACGACTTGCAATGTGACCAGAGGCAAAGCTGCCAGAGAACCCTTTGTTTTTCAAGGACTAATTCAAAGGACGCACGTGCTACAAGGCACGACAGCAAAGGTCTGGTTGCAGCTTGCCTTTGTTGTTTTGGCCGCATTCCTGTGTAGAACCCTTGGTTCCCAGGTCACTCCAATGTTGGCCAGGAAAAACAGTGGTCCTCTTGAATGGACGAATGCCGAATCCCATGCTTTCCAGAATGCTTCTGAATCATGGAAGAGTGACTTGCTTAAAGGTCACCATTTTGTGCTGGGCAGGAAGTACCAGTGGACTATTTATACAGATGCAACCACTCCTGGCAAAATCCCACATGTTTGGCTTGGTGTGACAAAATTGACAAAATCAACAGTCACTTTGGATCTTGCCAAGTTTGGTGGCAATCAAAAAGATTGTTGGGGTGTCTATGGCTACAATGGAAATGCATGGTTTGATGGAGCAGAAGCTTACTTCTGTGGTGCTGAATCTAAATTTAGATCTAGATCACATGTTGTGGTCACTCTTGACTTGACAGAGGGAAATAAAGAGAATGGAACCTTGTCAATTTCTGTCAACGGTAAAAAACCCAACATGGTTGTTTCCAATATGCGAGCACATGTGGAAGGAGATGTTGGTTACGTGCCAGCTGTGTCATGCTTGTACGCAAGTGCCACCATTTTGTCTGTTTACAGTCCACAATGGTCATGGTTTGATTTTTTAATTCTCATGGTGTCCAACATGAGCAGGAAGGGTCCCTAACTGTATGATGATACTTGATTATTGCTGCGAGATGTGCTCTGGTACCCTTTCCATTATTTGACACTTTGTATTGTGTTTCAGAATACTACCATACCGGTATAGCCTAAAAGAATCTAGCTGTTTAGTATGTAATTGTCACTGCTTACAAGTAAGACTGTATGGTAGCTCATGGGTCGAGTCTGCTATGCTTTTTATTGGCTCTGCTGTTTTTATTGCTTTGGCCCCTGTAGTGGTCCTCAATTGATTTCTCGCCCCTGAACCCATGGACCTATATAGTCCTGACTTTCCACTCTTCTTAGCTCAATCTGGCCCTTGCTCGCTTCCATAGATAATCCACCTACTCACGCAATTCGCCTACTCTTACCCCCGTCGACCGTGCAGGGTGGGGGTGGTGCAAGGTGGTTCATTGCCGTACCAGTAGGAGCTTTCTTGGCCTCAAAGATTGGCCTGCATGCCTGCAAGTACGGTACATGCATGGTGGGGCTCCAAGGTTCGGAAGAGAGCTATTGTACCGGGACCCTGCAGACTGGCTGTCTTCTGGAAAGATCCAGGCAAAGATCCAAATTCTTCAAGGAAGAACCGCAACGGATCCTCGACCAAACTCATTTGCTGTAGCTATCCTTCCTACCGTATTTCATCCGTCCAACAACACCATCCATCGACCAAACCACTGGACCACCATGAGCGAGACAACAAGCACAACGACAACCCCCACATCCGCTGCAACCCCAAGCGAGGAGGAGGTCGTCCAGACGGGCAACATGTTTACCCGTTCGAAAATGTTCAAGAGTATGGTCAAGTGGGCCTTTTCCATTTGTGACGACGACAAGAGTGGCGAAATTGGCAAAGACGAACTTTACACGGGAGTCCTACTCGTTCATCTATACATTGCCAGTGAGTAGAAAACATGGATTGACTGACTGAATGACTGAATTGACTGATGTTATAGTGTTTTGCTGGTGGCTGTGCTCACTTAGTTTTGTTCTTTCTTCGTTGCAGAGTACGCTGGAGCAGCCGCTTGTTTCGTAAGTCCAGAATTCGCCACCAAATTCTTCCACGCTTCCATTGTCTATTCTTACCTTCTACCCTGCTTCTATTCTATTGTATTTTGATAACAGCCCGCCACCCGCGCTACTGTGGACAAGTTGTTTGATGCTTCGGATGCGGACAATTCAGGCTCGATTGACGAACAAGAATTTGCCACGATTTTGGTAGTGACGTGTGGGAGTATCTTTTCACGAGTCCTCTTGTATTTTGCCCTCTTGCTGTTTGTCTCTCCCATTGGCGCCAAGGGCATTGTGGCGGTATTGGCGTACATGGTACAAGGCACGGTTTGGTTTCAAGCCATTCGACATGCCGTGCAAGATCCCATTAGCAAACATCCGTTTATTGACAATTTATTTGATTGGGATACACTAGCGGAAGATCTTATTGGCAAGGTCGTCTTTTTTGTCGCATTTCCCATTGTATTCCAAGCCATTGATGACTTTTATCAGGTTGCGGCCGAAGGGAATATGCTCAAGAAACTAGAAGCCATGAAGCAAAAGATTAAAGATGAAGCAATCAAGAAAAAGACGGAACTAGGAGCCATGACAGACAAGATTAAAGCCAAAAAAACCGAATGAGACAGCAACAAGCTACTCGAGCAACGACGACGACAACAACAATCCAAAACCGCAAAAAGAAACAAAAATGTATTTTCAATTCAAAGGGGAGCAATTATCACGCCGCAGCAACCCCCTTTTTGGAGAAGATTAATCATTTGGATCATGTTGGAGCATCACACAGACAAAACGGAATATTGAAATGCATGGCTCATGACAATCCACGTATACGGTGCCGTAGATAGGAGTGACGTCCAAAAAATGAGTAGTAGTAGTAGTAGTAGTAGTAGTAGTAATCCTTCTATCTATGATTGATGTTCTTCTTTGGAACAACCAACTAACTGAACTGATGCTGTTCGTCTCTCAGGATTGAGCGACTTTTTCCGCGGTATCCTATGATATACACACCGTGTCGCCCCTCGCGGTACAAAGCTTTTTAAAAAAGATCCCTTCAAGATACGCTCTCGTGTTGACTTGATTTGATTTGATTCAATTTCATCAAAAGACTCTCGGAACTGGGACAGCTTGAATATTTATTTCCAAGTCTGCCCGGTCAGGTCGAACAACAACATCCTACAAGACCATTTAGGCACCCACGAGAAATGGATTTGGATCGCCCTCCAATGCAGATGGCTAGACCGCCAATGATAATATCCTACATGTTGTAGTATTTTGCTCCAGATATATCTCGTCATCGAAATACAAAACAGGTAACAAGCAACTCATCGATCCTCCGTCTGCCTCGAAGCGACATCGGAGGCTGTCGCCGTTGCTTCGAGATTCTATGATACCTACCGACCGTATCAGCACGCAAAAGTCTAGCTACTTCTTCCCCACGCCTGCTCCTCTGCTCCCCCAACTTTTGAATGCTTTTTCAACCATGCAACGGCTTTCCCAGCTTTTGGCTCACAAGAAGTGGTCCAAGCCCTACGGTACTCTGGACCTGTTGTTGGCTCTTTCATCTCTGCCAGGTTGAGCATAGCACTCTCCCGGGCAGCTTCCCTCCCCCTTTGGTTTTGCTGCTGCTCTGCTCACTCGATCGATTGCTCGGCTTGTGTTTGTGCCTCCTGCTCTCTCTCCCTGCACCCCATCCTCACCCTAGACTAGTTCCCTCTAAGCCATAGTAACCACTCTTTTATTCAACCATGTTTACTTCCAGGGTCCAACATTATTCATTCATTCAGACAGCTTGCTAATAGCTAGCTAGCTAGATGAATCCAGCGGATACCAGGAACAGCGTACATGTACTCTAGCCCCTTCTAGCAAGTCTTGCTATGCTATTTACTCCGCCCACTAGTCTATCATAAAGAAGATTCTCCACCTACCATATCCACGGTGTGTTAGTTTAGCAAAGGCTCGGTGGTGGATCATTCTGAAAGGTTGTAGACAGAACTTCCTCCTGAAACCGCCGTTGCCAACAGGAAAAGGTGCCAGGCGAAAGGCTTTCCAGTTTTGCAATGAACGTCACATAGGCGCTCCTATAAGTAAGAAGAAATGAGAGTCCTCCTTTCTGTCACAAAAGAACCCTCCGATGAGCTCCGGCGGGCTCCGATGACTCATCCTCAGTCCACTTCTGATAATGACTCGGCAGCGCGAACACAGAACATCCTCAATCCTCACCATCGTCGACATCACCGACACTCTCCGCCTCAATGTTTGTGGGGGTTATCGGTTTAGGGTAGTGGCACGTAGCCTTAATTAAAATAGAATTCTAAATTCTATTCTCTTCGTCGACATCACCGACACTACCGGTGCTAGCTGGACTGATGAACCAGTACTGGTACCATCTCAAACCTCACAACACACATCTCGCCAACCAATTGGCCATGGTTGTTGTAAGGATGGACAACAACAATGATCGACCGATTCGACCTGAGGAGGAACCGGTAGCACCCAATGGTGTCGAATCACAAGCTGCCGCCGTGGCGCAGGAAAACAACCGAAACGATGCTGTGCCTAATGCAAATCGAAGACCGAGACCGTCTCGAACCATCAATACACGGATATTGGGCCCATTCGATACCGGCCGCATGGAGCTGTCAAAGCAGGAACGCCAATGGGCTCAAACAGTCAAGGAGGCTATTGAAAAGGACTCTGAGATCACTAACCTCTCTGACTTTTGGTATGTGCAGTTGGCTCTGATTGAAAAAGGTCCGGATATTGACAATGTTCTGGATAGGGCACGTCATCTGCAGGCGTTCCGGCAGGAATATGGAATTACGGAGACTACCTCAAGTGGATGTTTTTTTGTTCATGAATTCATAAAGCTCTTCCCTGGCTTTTCATTGTCCTTTTCCTTCAACTATGCCACTGGTCGCTATGTGGCAGCCATGGATCTGACCAAATTCTACACTGCAAAGCTGTTCTCTACACCAGGTGCTGTTGAGACTTGGTTAGCTACAAATTACCATTCACAAAATGCTCTCAACCCAGATTTCCAAGCTATACGACATGGCGCCACACTTGCTTTGGAATGTGATGGTTTTGACTGGAAGAAGAACATGAACCTTCGCTTTTTCACGACGCTGTTCCAAGAGATTGGATCTGCCTATCCCATGAAATGGGGCAGTGTCAACTTCTTTAACAGTGGTGTATTCATCAATGTGCTCATGTCCATGGTCAAGAGAATATCTCCACCAGAGTTTCATGAGAACTATGAGTTTGGTTTGGTCTCAGAGGCAGGGAGATTGGACAACATTTTCTTCATTCCTTCCATGGAAGCTGCTAATGAAAGGATCTTGATGCGGATCACATTGGCTCTTCAAAGAAGATATGCCAATGAGGCATCCTTTTCCCTGTAGCCAGCTGCATGAATCATTGCAATACACTCCTGCATTTTGTTTTTACCTTTCCCCCCACCACCCACTTTCTAAATTTTAAAATCAGCTAGCTATACGCACTACATTTGATTCTTCAGATTCATTCTGAAGCATTTTGGGGGATCAAGTCAGGCAAACTGTCAAGTAGAGGTAACAACAACAACTACTAGAGTTGTCAGTCTTCATTTATTCAAACTTTTAAAAGGTGTCTTTGCTCGATGCCACCAGACAAGCCGCCGGTGTATCTGACCATCTCTTGCAGTTTGGTCAGTCGCTCCTCCTTTTACCGGGCTGGATTCTGGTTAACGTTGGGCACATTCCCCATAGACAAGACGGAAGCTACAGTACAAATAGCCTGCTTTCTGTCTTGACCAAGTTAGAGATTCGATTCGATTCGATTCCAGTCGAGTCGATATGGTTAGGAGGGTCATTCATTCATTCGTTTGATTGGAGCAAACCGTTTGGCATGACATTTGTAGAAGAGTGGAGTGGTCTAGCTAGGCGAAAGAAAGAGTCGAAATGGTACTGCAGCAGAGAGAGAGATGTAGTGACCCAGCTTGCTTTGGTGTCGGGACACAAAAACGTTTCCACGCATGTAGCTATTAGAACTTCCGTGCGGTTGATGTTGTCCACTATGAGCGATGGCCCCGACATGTCCTTGACGAGGCATCTTCATCGCGTCGTACCGAAACCCGCTCAACTCCATGGTGAATGAGTTTGAAAGCACCGTTGCATTGGCAGTACCGTACCTAGCTATGTAGTTGGTAAGACACGATCGCTCGGATTGCCAGGTTGACCTCGACGAAAGCTGGTAGGTGGCTGTCACACTGGACTCGACTCACTGCTGGTGTTTGGTATGGCATCCCTTCCTCCTCCGTCGCTCTATTCACTCGGAGCGTACGCTTGCTATGGTAGGTAGTAGTTTGGACGCGATCCATTTCACGTGGCTAAAGGACAGAGGTGGGAAAGTCACGGGCCCGAACAGACAGACAAAAAGAGAAAGCCCGACTCTAAAACAAAGCGGAGGAGACGACGGTATTGAATTCGTTTGACTGCCCGAAGAATCTACCTCAGCTAGCTTCTACTCGGGACGCTGTTACTGACTATTAGTACGGTACACTTCAAAGTGTGTAGTTCTTAGATTCTTAGTAGTTGGATGTGGTCGATCGTGCGGAACTTTGGAGCCATGGCGGAGAGGGGGTCCGCTCCAACTTGGATGAATTACATTTATTTGGGTGTGGACTACCGCTAGTTTTGGAAGGTTCTATGATATTACAACAACAGCAGAACAGGAGTGTTGTCTGCACTTTTGCATCTCCGAAGCACACAGCCATTGATGGTGCATTTTGGATTGCTTCAGTTGGCTGTTTCCACGCCACGGTGAAAATCCAATGACAGGGTTGGAGGTAACAGTGACCGTCGGCCAATTTTGAACGACTGAAAGACGGGACCGACTGATGATTGATTCGTGTCTCAGAGTGGTGTCACGCACTGCGTCTTGCTTGGATCTTGGATCCTTGGAAAGAACAACGGCCAAGGACGAGAAAGACGTGATCCCACGGTGTTGCTTCTTTGTTCATATAAAAAGAAACAACACAACACAACACAACACAACTACAACAAACCCGAAAAGACTAGCTAGAAGGAGACAAGACAACAGTCATGAGCAATTCAACGTCAACATCAACATCAGAATCTTCTTCGTCATCTTGCTCAGCCATCATCAAAGGAGGAGAGCTGCATGTTTCCGTGCTTTCGATTGAAAATCTTCCTTCGAGAGAAAGTCCTTGGAGTGTCCAACTAGAAGCCTGTGGAGAGACAACAAGCACAAGTACATGTACCAAGCCAGACCCCACCAATAAGGATGATACACTCGTCATCAAGACCAAGACACTCCAATCGCTCCACGAAGCATCTGCTGTCCTTACGATCCAATATGAAAAAGATCCAACCCTCAATCGACAAGCCACATTTGCCATGAAAGATCTGGTCGTCAATCAGGTCGCCACTTTAGTGCTAGAGCTGGAATCATCACCACCATCGCAACCACTAGATCCCAACACGACAACATGTCCCACCACCACACCCACCATTCAACTACAAGTACAACTACGAGGCGCATTGCGGCGCGAACTACGAGCATTGGTGCGATTCGGTCACGGATGGTTCGCCCTCATGGATGCCTTGGAACGAACCGTGTGTCGAATTGTACCTAGCAATACCGTTACGCAACGCCTCGTATTCATCCCGGCTCTCTTGGCCACACTGCTATTGACGCCGCTGGTGGGAGGAATTTTGGCATTGGCGCTGCCCGTCTTGTTTCCGTTGGCGGCCCTCCTCATGACCACGGCAGCGTGTTTGGCCGTGGCATTTGTCCTGGTCTATTTCAGTACCTCACGAGGACGACACAAGTACATGCCTCTTATTCAACCCGCAATCAACAAATGTCTTTATTCAACACCTGGTCAAGCACTCCTCTATCCCGTCGGACCACGTCCGACACCCGTCACATTTGTTGAAACGGTGGTGCCCGACAACATGTACGGACGATTGGTATTATCGGTCGTGATTGACATTATTGGATGTTCCTCTTATTTATTGCCATTCATGGGAGAAGCATCGGATGTCATTTGGGCACCCATTCAAACACTCCTCATCATGGCCATGTACGAAACCACCACTCCCAAACTCAAATACTTGAGTTTTGCAGAAGAAATGTTGCCCTTTACCGATGTCATTCCTTCGGCGACCATTGGATGGGCGGCGCAATTTGGACCCGAACTCATGGGTCGGAATAGCAGCAGCAGCAGCAGCACAGGCGACAACAAACAGCCACAACACATCAAAACGGAGTGAGTCCTATATAAAGAGGAATAGCAGCGACACACCCTTCACGCCACGAGTTCCTGGCAACATTTTGGCTACGTTTGTCCCATAGCCAACTCAAGATAAACAATAAAGATAATTTTCCGCTACTTTTAGTTAGAACCAAGGCATAGGCATACGCCCTCCATCTCGGTATGCAATGGCTACTGTCAACACAACGAATCAACATGGTCGACTTTCGACAACAACAGCGCAAATTTCATTCAATGATTGCGTTCGTTCAATGGAATTCATAAACATCCAAGATTTTGGCACTGGCTTGTAAGCAACTCACAGCTGGCAGATAACCAGCACTGCTTGCTTGCAAGTGGGCTCGCAGGCCAGTAATTGCCTTGATAGTAGCTTGGCCATTGACAGAGATTGACAAGGTTCCACTTGCTTCATTCCCCTCTGACAAGTCAAGAGTCAGGGTAACATGGGATCTAGCCCCAACAATCCTTCTGATCCCCGATGTACTGTGTAAGAACAAGATTGTGTGTTGATTTCGTCACACCAAGCCAAACATAGCTAAATGATTCACCTGTGGAGACAGCCCACTGATACTTTCTACCAAGTACAAAGGGGGGCACATCCGGACAATCGCTCTTCCAGCAGCCATCTGCAGTATTCTCCACGACATTGGATTTAGTATTCTTCCATTCAAAAGGACCACAAAGCACCATAGCCTGCTTGGTTTTCGGGTGTTCATGGAGTATCTTGAAAACATCTTCAGTGGTAAGCTTGGAGACACTGGCTTCTTGCAAACCCTGCGTTACAATCTCAAGCACATCTCCCTTGGTAAGCATGGATACCCTCAATTCTTTCAAGGTGTGCGCCTGATTCTTCTTGTGTTCGTTGGAACCGGAGAAGGTAGGATATAGCCGTGGTGTGAACACTTTGTGGTCCACGACACGAATGCTCTACCGGTTTGAACCCCGGTTGGGATCGGAATCACCCATGATCAGGCGTTTTGTCTATGATTCCGCTTCAGTCAAGTATGCTCAAGCTTCTCGATAGTGTAGTACTACCATGCAGCCAACGGTTGTGTCCACCGTGTGCCTGCCTTGGCATGTTGTTCGTTTCCACGGGTCAAGGAGGGGCGCACAATGCCCGCGTCAGAAACTCTCGAGCTTCCGGAATTTGCCACGGATCGGGGTTCCTGTTCCCCGACTACGACGTGGGCCCGCTAGCTACCGTTGCGTTTGAGACTTCAAGGGGTCAAAAAGAGCCGCGAAGCTGTCGTGAGTGTAGCTGCTGGTCGTTTTAGGAGCGTGAGGCGTTCTGACGTATAACTCAATTGCAAGCATCATTTGATCAGGTTCCTGGGGGGGGGGGGGCTTCGGGGTTAAAGCGGTCCAGTCAGTTTCGGTTTGATTGCCAGAGGACAAGGGTGGCGTTGATACCTAGAATGTGACAAATTGCGTACACCGACAACCACGAGACGATCACCGTATACTGCCCAAACAGGCCATCTCTGCTTTTGCAACTTGGCAAAAGGTGCTTCGGATTGCCATCGATGTGGCCATCAAGATGCCACAATTGAAGCGAAAAACGACAACAGCCAGGGTGTAACATTTAACAGAGAAATAAGAATAAATATCTAATAGAGGTGTGCAATGTAACAAGAAAGATTCAAATCATCAGCGTACCATCTGGGTCTGCTTGCATTTCTGCACTTTGAAAGCGGAGACGGCCAATCCGAAACTTCAGGATCCGAACCAAATCAGCAGCAATCCAGGAGCTAGAGCACCCGAAAGTCCACAACTTGGGCACTTGCATTACTGCACGATGCAGCTGGATAGTAACCCTCAATGCTTCCTTTCTTGAGACTGCCGCACAAGTTGGAAACTGTCTTGATAAAACTGCTGCCTTCCAGTAAATGGCCTCGCAAGCCAGTAATTGCCTTGATAGTTGATCGGCCATTGACAGACACCGTCAAGGTTCCATTATTGTTGAAATTACTCTCTGATAAATCAAGAGTCATGGTGACTTGTGATCGGGCTCCAAACACGGCCCCTCCTTCAAGTTGCTGCCAATTCTTCTCACGATGACCGTTCGACCATTCACATCCTGTACTACCATCAACTCCCCAACTCTTGATACCCACAATACTCTGTCAAATCAAGAGACTTTGTAGATCTTACCACACCAAGCCAAACGCGTGGGCCCCAAGAAAGGAAACCCTGGCAGGTAGAAGATATTTGACAGTCCACTGATACTTCCTACCGAGCACGAGAGGAGGCACGTCAAGCGTGTCGCTCCTGTATTTCCCACCCACCAAAGACAGGGGATTCACGTTTTTCCATTGAAGATGGCCGTTGGCTGTCGTGGATTGGTCGGTGTGCTAGATGGGATTGTCTGCAGGGGCTTCCGTGGCGGCTGGGGAGGTTTCAGAGCGACCCTCAGGCATCGCTCCTACTTGTGTGGATCCAGTGGGCACCTCTTGCTGACGATTGCGATTTCCAATGGCAATCTTCAGAAGAAAGAAGGCTAGAGCAAGAAACACAGGAAAGCTTCCTCCTTGGGTTGAGGCATCCGTTTCGATCTCAATTAATCAAGACAATGGCTTTATCTTCTTGCTCTTTCTGCAAAGCAATCTTGATCTGTTCATTGCAAGCATGCAGCACATCTTCCCGGGTGAGTAGATTCACTGATTTCAATGTCTTTTGAATCTGTTTGTCCACAAGATTCTGCAAAAGATCATCTTGGGTTCGCATGTTCGGTGTTTGTGGTTCCTGGAAATCTTCTTGTGGGGGAAGGCATGCACTTGTCTCCTGTATACACTTTGCTGTTCTTTGACGATCTGAAGAATATCATCTGTTGTGACTGTGGAGACTTTTACTTCCTGCAGAGTCTCCTCAATTTGCTCTTGCTGCTTGATCAAATGGAGAATATCTTCCCTTGCTGTTGGGCATACATTTTCTTCTTGTGGAGTAATCTGGATCTGTTCCTTGACAATCTGACGCACAGCTTCCTTGGTGAGCATGGAGAAGGGATCTTTTGGGCTGTGTTGTTTGAATACCTGAAGGAGGTCTTCCGTTGTGATGGGTGGCGCACTCTGAGAACCAGACCAAAGGTCTCTGAATAGATATCCAGCAGTAAACATGGCGAGGGCTGTCAATACAATCCAGAACCAAGAGGAAGGGTTCTGCACACTACGATCGACTTGCTTGGGAACCGCAGTGTAGGGTGTCTGAAATCTCGTTGGTTCACATGATGCAACTCCAACTATAGCATCGTAAGAAGCAACTTCTTCAACCGCACCTGCCGGCGGCGCGGGAGGGGATTTATTTCTTGGGATGGAATGATGAGCTTGTCACACTGCTCGCATCATCTTCAGAGGCGCACCGACTGTTAGTATCATCGGTACTAGGAGGCTGCAGCTTTCTGCCTTGTGTTCGATCCACTTTGAATCTGATGGTAGCACCGGCTGGTGGAGAGGGTCCACTACTCCAGGACCCGTCGAGCTTCATGGTCTTTGTTTTTGTGATTGATCATTCTTCTAACCCCCGTTTATCATTCTAGCTATACCATAGTACTAGTAGTCTAATACCGGTAGAGATATACAGGAGTTCTGCGAGAGGATCTTGGATCTTTGTTTGGATCTTTTTTGTGCGACACTCAAGGCTTTAGAAGCCCGGTTCGAGCTGCAACGCATCGTGGAAGCAGAGCGAGGAAACTTATGCGCTTCGTGCTAGAGTACGAGTACATGTTGCGCTTGCGCACTATTTAATTCGTTCTCATCTGTTAGTCTCGTTCGAGAGACTACAGTGTACTGTGGAGTCGAGTCAAGTTGGCTTCTAACTAAAGTGATGATATTGTGGTTGCTTTGATCTGTGAGACGGGAACTTGCCTCGAATGCGGGAATGACAGTGTGGCGTTGTGGTAAAGGTGCAAAATATTTTGTTTTTTAAAATGGGCCAGGGGAGGGGTATGCTGGTTGGTTGATCGCCAGTGGGGTACCGACTGTACTCGAACGTTCGAGCCGTCGTCTGTTCCATTAGGTGCATGGACGTAAGACAGTAGTTGTTCGTTGCCAGGGATTGGTTGCTTCAACCTTGCAAGCTGAATTTCAAATGCGAGAACCTCTGGAGCAATGAAAACGTCTTCCAACCAATCACTTGTGCCAATGAGCTATTGTGCGGTGCGGAACGCCGAACCCATGCATGCAGAAGGAAGGCTACTTTGGACTCGTCTGGAAAACGTTGGCTGGACCTCCCGTAGCCATTCCTTGAAGAAAAGTCTCTGCATCTCCAAACCATCAGAAGGACTTGATGATAAACGTGGGGGAACCATCACAGTCGATCTCTACTATAGCTAGAGGAAAGACAGATCTCAATGTGACGTCTCCAATGACAGCGATCGGACGCATTGTTTTTTAAAAAGCTAACCTTCATCCGATCTTGCCCTTCAAAGCATTTGCTCCGTTCTCGAGGAACAGATGATGCCCCCGAACGAGTGACTCAGTCAGTCAGAGCCAGTCCTCAAAGAATTAATGTCTTGCACGTGGCAAGTCGAACGAGTCCGTTACATATAACGGGGGTCCACTACGTTGGTCATATGACTGCGTTGAGAACTCGAGGAGCATCTGGCGTCACTTCAACCAACTGCATTCACGCTTGTTGAAGCTGCCAGGTTACCACCATGCAACTTGATCAGTTTTGGCCACGAAATCGACGATCGAGCTCCCTCGTCCTCTGCTGTCAGTTCGGACGCCTGCATCCTTTGAAGCCGAGACTAGACTTTCGTACCCAGCTCTCCTTTGAAGTAGTGGTTCCCAGCAGTATTATATCTCTTGACAGCCATAGCGACGGCTCAGACTTCTGGTCCATCACTGCCCCTAGCCAAGATTCTGCCGTGATTTGATTTGCCCACAAATATAGCCACCCAACCATTACGATGACCCCACCGGAAAAGGAAGGGGTCGGAATGACCGTACCTCCCACCGTCAAGAGCCAAAGCAAACCTCGTCCTCATCTACAGATAGAGGATGAGGTGGATGTCGACTCCTTAGTGGTGGATCTCGAACAACCCAAAAAGACACCAACAGAAGAAGGTGTCACCATGGCCAAATCCTCGCCCTTCGCCGTTCCTAGCGGTGTATCTGCCTTTATGGAATCGCTGAACCCCAAGGATGTGGAAACGCTCGCACACCTACTCAAGCCAATCATCCTTGCTACAGATGGAAAGAAACAGGAATTGGAGGAATGTGAAGTGCCCACACCTTCGGTGACTTTGGCCAGTGACAAGAAGGATGACTCGGAGTGGCATAATCCCTACAGTGAAAGTACCTACTCTCTCTTCTATTTGTGCAGCACCGATAGCTTTGCATTCTGGTATGCCATTTTCGTCTATGTCATCCAGGTAAGTGTCAACGGGTATGGAAAAAAGTGAAAAAACGACCTAAGGCTATTAGTCGTGCCAGTTCGCGAGTACCAGGTATCCGCTAAACTTTTTCATTGCCTCGCCAAATAGATCACCAGCATTCTGCTCACACTGATTGACGTTGTCGACTGGAATGGTGGTGGCATCCATATGCCACCAAATGTTGACTTGAGTGTCACCATTGCGCAAGGAGTGGCACTTTTCCAGGCCATTGCTTTCCAATCGGATCTCCTCGAAGTTGTAGCAAAGTGAGTTGTACCATTCCTTTTTTGTTCTTTGTACCCCTTCCTCAAATGGTCCCTTACAGAACGATGCCTCTTATTCTTCTAACCATTATATTTTGCTCCCTCCAGATTCAAGGATGGCTTCCATCCAGAGGTGCTCGCAAAACATCCTGGAGCAACCTACTCTACTTGGCTTCTTTCTTGTATTGCTCAGCTCATGGCTGGACTACTCTTACTTTTGACCATCTACATCTTGACCATGCAAGTTGACAGTGTATTAGGAATCATGCTCAATTTTGCCGCTCTCCATTTCATGGCGGATATTGACAACGTGGCATTCGATCTTGCCAAGGCAGGCTTCATGGGAAACATGCTTAAGAATGCGGCCAACGATGTTGTCAACTTCCAAGTCCATAAGCCTTCGGCAGAGCAAGGATTTCTACAACGTTCGTGGAAGGCTGGGGTTTTCCTTTTTGTCCTTGCAGTCATGGTTGCTGGCTGGATCACTATTGTGATCTCCCGGACATCAGGCAAATACATGTGCAATACCATCATCGTGAATATGGGAGACAACTTTGTTCCCTCCCTTGGAGCATTCAATGGATTATATGATTTAGACCCCTCTGTAGCCTCTGGGCTGGAATGGAGAGCGGAATATGTGGAGAGACGCTCGGTGGAGATTGGCACTCCTGGTAGAGGCGTCTTTGGGTACTGTAATGACATCAAAGCTTGGACATTCCGGGTGGAACCAAAGGAAAGCAAGGAAGACTCAGGCCCCTGCAACTGGATTGCCAGATCCTCTGAAACGGACACCTATGATATCAGAGAAGCTGCCTCCAGTCAATGGTTTGTCATTGATGAGACGCTTCGTGAAGCTACACTGGAACCATTTAGCCTCTTCTGCTTTGACTGCTCCAATGAGGGTGAGGGAGAGAGCGATGACTGTGGCGGAAAGGGAACCTGCAGTAGTGCTGTTTGCGATTGTGAGGATGGTTGGTACGGGCTCAGATGCCAATTTGTCAGTCCTTGCCCCTCGATTACCATTGATGCTCGGACTGACAAGTTTGCCAGTACCAGGGACTGGGCAAGTCAATATCATTCCATTGACTTGGGCAATGGTGCATTTGTCGAAGCATACCACCGACCAGTGTATATCCAGATGTATGGGAGTGGCGAATATGATGTTGTGTTGTTCATGGGTGGGCGTTGGGCTTTGACTTCATCTCTTTTCTTACCTCATGCTGGAAGGATCCCTGCTGATGGTCTTTCTGAAGGCCAGGATGATGTTGGGAATGACATTGGAAACTTCTTCAAGCACTCCTTTCATGGATTCAAAGGGTTCTCAACCAACTTTTCTGTTGCTTTTCTCAGTGACTACATGGAGATTGGGACAGAGCGTGACTCAAGCTCCCCAGTTGGATTTTCCTGGTATCATGCAGAAGAAGCCACAGCTGGTAATAAGAACCAGGCGATTGGGAATGGTATTTCTACTGAGCTCCTTTGCCATGTCTGCGAGGAATCCTCAAACCCTTGCCTTTATGATGGCAAATGTCTTGAAGGGGAATGTGGGTGCTCCCTTGACTCGTTTGGTAGCCTATGTGAAGTCCCTCCAGGTAAGAAATGATATTGATCCTTTCCAGTCGATTCCACACCATGCCAGTTTTTCCCAATTGCTTGCTTGCTGCATAGTCAAAAATGGACACTGCGACCCCTATTTCAACACACCAGAGTTTAAGATGGATGGTGGTGATTGCTGTGAGTCCACCTGTGAAAGTACATCACAGTACGTCTGTGGGGCAGAGAAAGAGGGGTATGTCAGCACTGGGTATTTCTACTGTGAGCAACCAAAAGATGAGTGGCAAAGCCATCCTATTGGCGGTGATGCAGGCTCCTATGCTGGTTTTGCCTTGGGTATTTCGATGGGATCAATGGCTGTGTCAGAACTTTTACAGGATCGTGTACGCATCTATGACCAAGTCGGGTCTTCCTGGGTCCTACGCGACACGATCTTGGGTGCACCCAATTCAAGATTTGGCCTACGAGTGGCCATTTCATCTGGGCCGTTCAATGTGGTCGGCAACCCAAGCTTCAAATCTCCCCTTACAGTTGCAACAACGGATACTTTTCGAACTCTACGCATCTACAAATGTGACATGGATGGCTGTGAACTGACACAGGAATTCTCCACTATCCTTGTATATGACTTTGCTCTCTCCTATGACAGCACTGTGCTGGCGGCATCTTTGCTTACATCAAACCAAGCTCCAACCATGATACGAGTCTTTGAGTCAAAACAAGGCTTATTTGAGTTCCGGACTGATGTCACCAATGTGAGGCAAAATTTTACAACAAGTCTTTTATCGATGTCGTTGAGTGGCGATGGTAGCACACTTGCTGTGCAAAATCAGCTAGCTGGAGTTGACCCTGCCACAAACATCCCTATGGTGATTGATGAGCATGTCAGTGTCATGTTCTGGAATGAGTTCGCACGCCTATGATGTGGAGGAAGAGTTTCGACTGGAGTCCAAATTCAACACCATCGGTTACCCTCTTTCAGTTCGACTAAGTCAGGATGGGTCTGTTCTTGCCTTTGGATTCCCAACATGCCTGGACGCACGGCTCCGGGTTCGGGTGCGCAATGATGACAACAAATGGTCAGATCAACGAGCCCCATTGATAGTGATTGAATCAACTCAATGCACTGAGAGCGAGAGGCCCCATCGGAATAATGCCTTGGCTCTCTCTAGTGATGGATCTAAAATTGCTTTCAGGGTCGGCACCAAGGTCAAGGTTTTTGAATGGGATTTTGAATCTGAAGATTGGAGTGAGGTTGGCGATGATTTTCCTTTCCTGCATTACCCGGTTTCCATGTCTTCTGATGGCAGGACTCTGGCAATAGGAGCCCCAGAAAACGGGATAGGGGGTGTCACCAGTATTTACTCGGTAGCCGGGAGGAAATTGTGTCCAAGTGACATGTCTCTTTTGCGTGTCTCTATCACCATTGACAGGTTCCCTGAGGATGTGCTGTGGAACCTTTCCAACAACAATACAGGCGAGATCTTGTTCGAGCAAGATGCATACCCTCCAGAATATGCATATGCCACAATTTTGGAGGAAACATGTGTCCCAGCAGATTCTTGTTTTGTGTTCTCAATTCGCAATCGCAAGCAACGCGGCCTGCAGGCTCCAGGACAGTATGCACTCCTCATGGATGGGGAGACTGTTGTAAATGGCACTTTTGAGGGTTTGTTTGCGAGAGAATACTTTGGGAACTGCCCCTCATGCCCTGCAGGTACCTTTCCATTCAGCATGATGATGATGTCCTGTGAGCCAATACGGTGGCACCTGTTGGAAGTCACCTCTGGAGGCAATACTAGTACCACTGGTTCAGAGTTGGCACCACCATCATCTTGCAACGAAGGGTGGAATGGAGAGAACTGTACTCAATGGGTTTCCTATGAAACATGCTTGGACCCGGTGTGCTATATATTTCAGGTGCTTTCCCATCGCCAAGCCCAGGTCGAAGTCAGCTTTTGGAATGTTACAAGAAGACCACTGCCGAATGCCGTTTGCTTTGGAGAGCCCCAATTTGTTGGTGACCTCTGGAAATGCAATAACGGGGCTCGGGAGGTTGTGCATTCTAGTGGTTAGGTTGACATTCCATTCCCATAGATTAAATACCACTGCTGGATTTCGTAAGGTACACATAGTGATAATCCATACTAGCTAATAGCCACCTGTAGATAGAGATTGACAAGGTTCCATTGTATCCATTGTCCTTTGACAAAGTCAAGCGTCAATGCGGGAAGCTTTACCGAATTGGACAGCAGGGCAAAGATCGAGTCACTCTGGATCCACCAGAATACACCCATGATTCACTGAAAAGCAACCTCTTCAACCGCACCTGCCAGCGGCGCGGGAGGGGATTTATTTCTCGGATGGAATGATGAGCTTGTCACACTGCTCGAGTCATCTTCAGAACAGCACTGACTGTTAGTATCATCGGCATCATCGGTATTAGGAGGCTACAGCTTTCTGCCTTGTGTTCGACCCACTTTCAATCTGATGGTAGCACCGGCTAGTGGAGAGGGTCCACTACTCAAGGACCCGTTGAGCTTCATGGTCTTTGTTTTTGCGATTCTAGATACTGTAGCTTCATGGTCTTGTTTGTTTTTGCGATTCTAGATACTGTAGATCGACTCAATTAAGCCAGCGCAGCTGTGTATCCTCGGCAGAAAGGTTTCAGTGTAGAAGCAGATACCCCTATTAGCTAGCTAGCTAGCTAGCTAGAAGCAGATACCTTTAGTGCTTAGCTAGTGCTTAACTTGCTCTTGGCTAGCTAGAAGCAGATTCCCCCTAGCTAGAAGCAGATTCCCATGGCAAGCTAGAAGCAGATACCCCTAGCTAGCTAGAATACAAGTTATATAGCTTTCGCTGGCTTTAGAGTTTTTCCTGGTAGAAGCAGATCCCCCTACTAGGATGGGGATTCATAGTTTTTCAATGTGATCTTGTAGAGTGCTTCAAGCTTGGGGATCAAGTTCTCAATGTAGGTCGTGGCAGAGAACTCCCAGAGTCCTGTCTCAGGGTTGAAGGTCAAGTCTCCTCCACTGTAGTACTCAGGGGTGCCTACTCCTTTCATCTCAAAGTGGTAGATGTCCTTGAGGGGTTCAATCACTTGGTGAGGGGCCTTGGAGAACACCAGGAGATCTCAAAAACATTGTCAGTCAGACAGATGACATTCCAGTTAACCAAGAACGACCCAATGCAAAAGCATGGAAAGCATGGAAACAAGCCCTCAACTTACTCTGTAATTGGAGAAACCTGAACCTCAACAAACCACTTGGAGCCTGGACTGTACCACTAGCAGAACAGAGAAGAATATGGACACATTATTATGATCCAGAATCCAACACATCTACAAAAGAACAATGGACAACAAATTCAGCAAGCATGCACAATTATTCCACAGCTACGATACACACAGAAATGACACAGTAACTTCCCTACTCTATCAGCAACCCCAGCCACCGTTGATGAGCACCAGGATCTATGGTTCCTTGAAGGATGGAAATCCATACCAAGCCTCACAAGAGTCGACACAGCCAACAACAATTATGAAGCCATTCCACACCTTGAAGAATGGGAGAGAAAAATGCTGGAACACCTTGAGCTTTTAGTCGAGGAGACAAACTATGGGAAACCCTCTGCAAGAACCATGTATCATATCACAGTGACGGCTCATCACCCAACCCCAAAGGCTCATTTGCATGGATCATTAGCAAACATGATGGCACACACCTAGCCCGCTGCTGTGGACCAGCCTTCGTTTACAAAATCAACTCCTACAGAGCAGAAGGATACGGAATCCTCTCAGCAATGAGGTTCTTAGCACAGCTCCAAAAGATTCATTCACCCACAAACAAGAGATTCTCACAAGCATGAGCACCTCTGTGACAACAAAAGCATCGGAGAAGTAGTCCCAAGCACACATCATTTCACAAAATATACCCCAACACCAACACTGGGCTCTGAGTGGGACACATTGCAGAAATCAGACACACAATGTTAGAAGACCTCGACGAAGCATCCAGGCCCTCAATCCATACATAAAGGGACATCAAGACGAAAACAAACCATATGACCAACTCCCGCTGAAAGCTCAGCTGAATGTAGATCCGATAAGCTAGCCGACACATGGCTCCAAGCTCACTCGGACACAGACTTCACCAGAGTTCCCATCTTACCCACCAGTGGATGCAAAGTTGAACTGAAACAAGGAACAGTCACATTCAATCTCAAAAAAGAGCTGAAATGTGCCAGAACCTACCACTGCTCAAACAAAATTGATGAAAGACTACAAATGGTCAGAAGACACATTCAATGACATTGACTGGACCGCACATGGAAGAGCTTTGCGAAGACACGATAATCATCGTCCAACAATGTCAAATACCTCAACAAAGTCCTACCTGTTGGAGCATTCCTTCATAAAACAAACCCCAAGTATTATGCAGGATGCCATCATGCAACAACCCTTCAGAAACAAGGCACAATCTGATGGAATGCAGCAGCCCTGAAAAATCAAATGGCGCGAGAAATGCTACAGTGCAGTCCTAGCATATGTCCAGAAAAAGGACACCTCTCAAAAAATCCAGGGGCTTCTCCTATCAGGCCTCAAAGTATGTTTACATCACCAAAACCCAACAACAATCCAAGAAGATCCTTCATGGGACACCCTGAAACAAGCACAAGATGCCATTGGATGGAATCATCTGTTAAAGGGAGAATCTCTAAAAAATTCAGTCAGGAACAAGACCGATATTTGAACATGAAAAAGACCGCAACCAAACGCAACAATGGACTCACAGGCTCACTGGACTCATTGACATTATCTATAAGAATGGTGGAAACTCTGGACATGCGCAACCAAGACAGACATGGGCACGACATGAGAACCAAGTCACAAGCAAAGAAAGCACAAGCAATCCGACAACTCACTCAGTTCTACGAAGCATACCAGCAAGAAGTCCCTGAAATTTGGAATGGCTATTCCAGATACCACTCGAATCGCGCATGCAACTGAATACACCAGTCATCATTAATTTTTGAACACATGGGAACCTGTGTTACAAGAGAGTCACTACACCACAGCCCTGGAAACAGGATAGTCGGACATTCCTACCATCCCTTTTTCCTTACCCCTCCTACCCCTCTCAAACTTCTTTACCAACCCAACTCTCTTCAACAAAGAGCTCGTGATTTGTGGTGAATCATGGCTCTGACCTCAGTGTACAAATCCTTAGATAGCTAACAGGCGTCGCACCCTCTCAGGAGGCCAGTGTGGCCGGTGAGCAGACTTGACTGTGGAATACCCGAGCCCTAGCTCGTGGGTAGTCCTCAAGCCATCTCGTCTGATCCGTTATTAGACGTTCAGTTTTTTTTTTTAGATGCATGTAAATAGCTTTAGCTGGTTTAAAGCACCATCCTAGGATACTTATTAGTTTTTGCTGACTTCTTTGTATTCGGCTTTTTTTCAGCGTTCGTCTCCTGTTTCCTCAGTTTGCTCGCTACTTGGATCCTTATGGACGAATACATGCACAACCGAATATTTCTCAATCCAGCCATTGTAGCAGTTACCTAGAGTTACATCGATCGTACAGTGACAACAGTACCGAACACACTCAGGTTCTGTTGGGGATTCGCGATTAGGGATTCAACCTGTACCTCTGTACTAGAATTTTATGCCAGTAGAAAAAGCCAAGGAACCCACTTTTTCAGTAGTATCTCAATAGACAACAGTAACAACTAAGAGAGCTTAGAGCAACTAACATACTACTGAAAAAGGCTGCTATCACGAATAGCAGTGTCTACTATCGAGTCGAAGAAGCGAAGAGGAGCTATCGAAGCACGGCCACCGTGGTAGCAGGAAGATCGCGACGCGAGAGAAGATCGACGACACGAGGATCGATAGAGACCAAGCCTGTCGAAGGATCGGCAGCAACCACCGCGACGACGCGACGAGGAGAAGATCGTCGACGCCGTGAAGTACAAGACCTGGAGCCTGTTGTTCGACGTTCGAACGACAGCAAAGAGAAGACTGTCGCAGGATGACAGCACCGCGACGACGCAAGGATCCGAGGACAGATCGATCGCGACGATGCGAGAGGAGACTGCAGTCGACGACGACGCAGCAGAGTTTCATCGGCAGAATCCACAAGGATTGTCGATAGAAGAGCCGACAGCATCCAGCCGGAACTGTCAGAGCCAACAACAAGCGCGAAAGCCACAGTGCAGCGCAGGGCAAAGGACGGGCACCAACAAGGAATCAACAATAAAAGAAACGGGTTTGGAGTGGAACGACCGCACAGTGTGTGAAGCAATCGTTCCTCCTTGCAAGTCTTTAGTACATAGATTTAACACTCCCTACCAGAGTATAATTGCAGTTATCGCCCATAGCCAAAAGACGAATAAGTAGTCGGACGAGACCTTAAATTAAAGAGCTAGTCAATCAAAAAACAACGAATTGAATGTCACTCCGTGCATGACAATGAGCGGTAGAGGTAAGGAAAGAGTGGCCGAGGAGGCGGAAAAGGCGAGGGCATGGAAGATCAGCCCATCGTCGTCGAACACAGAAAGTTCATGCAAAGCCCTCGACCAAACTGTGTTTAACTTCGGTACAACTGGATCTGGAACGGCAGACCAGATGATACGACATGGGAGAAGATCGCCATCTACGTTGGACAACAGATGGGTAGACGACATAAGCAATGAGCTACGCAACCCGAACTACAGTGTTCGGTGCACCGATGTACTCAGCGGAAGAACCGGAACAGGCCTTTTGAAACGGGAAGGTACGACGTGCTAGCGGAACAACTACTCGTCTTCTATGTGCAACCACAAGCCATGCCTACAAGCTACTGGAAGCAGAGATAGCCGCAGTACACCAATGACCCCGACTCTCGGTAGCCTACGCACACTAACGATAAACAAAAAGGTCAACAATGTTCCTAATGAATGAATAGCCCGACTCTCACATACGGCAGCCATATATGCGCCACCCGACCAGAAGAGGATACCATCCGGGGCTCAGAGAAAGCAAAGAGTATGCAAGAGGGCTCATGCAAGATCCCGACCTATCCGAAAGGTTGGCAAACATGACATAGAACAATAGACGCGCACATAGCATTACTAAACTTGATCCTAGGGCAGTGCACCCGACTATTAAAAGGACAAGATGAAGCAGAACACGGACTTCGCATGAATCAGTCAGATCTGCTCTAATAAGAGGCGCC